CAAACTGACACAAGAACAGAAAATGAAACACCGCATATTCTCACTCATAGGTGGGTGATGAAAAATGAGAACACATGGACACAGAAAGGGGAGTACTAAACACTGGGGTCTATTGGGAGGAAAAGGGGAGGGCCAGTGGGAGGGGGAGGTGGGGAGGGATAGCCTGGGGAGAAATGCCAAATGTGGATGAAGGGGAGAAGAAAAGCAAAGCACGCTGCCATGTGTGTACCTACGCAACTGTCTTGCATGCTCTGCTCGTGTACCCCAAAACCTAAAATCCAATAAAAATTAAAAAAAAAAAAAAAAAAAGAATGCAACTTAGAATAATGATGTGGCAGAAATTCACAGCCATCAGATTGGCAAAAATTATAGTATGGTTTTGGCACTGATGAAAATTCTCATAATTATAATCGGATGTAAATTGGCATGATCACTTTTAAATGCAATGTGGCGTTATTTAGTTACATTCATATCTACAATTTGGCAGTGTCATATCTAGATAATAGTGCTAAGAAAAATACAAGAAGATACATACATCGCCTCTAATACCAGCTACTAAGGAGGCTGAGGCAGGAGAATCACTTGAACCCGGGTGGCAGAGGTTGCAGTGAGCCAAGATTGTGCCACTGCACTCCAGCCTGGGTGGTGACAGAGTGAGACTCCATCTCAAAAAAAAAAAAAAGAAAAAGAAAATATGTACAAGGATTTTACTGCAGGAATGTTCATGATATCAGAAAAGTTATTTTTCAAAATTGTTTTGGCTATTCAGGACCCTCACATCATTTGGGCCTCTGCCTCCTGTGGCAGTAGGGAAACAAAAGTAATAGTGGTAGGAAAGAAACATGTGCTGGAAAATGCCACTGGCAATTCAGTGAACTTCAAGTGGGAACATTTTAAAGTGTAGATTTGTAGGAAGTAAGGATTTGGGGTATGAAAGTTTTGTGAACCAGTAAAAATTTCATACGGACTAGCATTAATTAGAAAATTGGACTAGGTATTCCCCAAGTCCCCTTCAGACCTCGATATTCTGTGGTTCTTACATATTTAAGCTTTCCCAAGTGACTTCGCATACTCTCAGTTACTATGTAACTGTGAAGTCGAATAGGGGATTCATATTATCTCATTTAACTCCTGGAGGAGTGGTTCATGCAAAGAATAATATTAACTGGGGGGTGGGGGGAGTAGTTAGTGTTCTTATCTCATATCTAGATCTTAATAGAAGTAATTCTGATACCTACTTTTTCTAATTCCTAGAGACAGAATAATGTAGTAGTTAAAAACTTGGACTCTGGAGTCAAACTGCCTTGTTTTAAAAACTGGCTCCTCTACTTATTAGCGTCATAACCCTGGCAAGTTACTTAACCTCTCTGTAAACTGGGAATAATAAATAACAGTAGTTATCTCCTAGGTCTTTAGGATTAAGAGTGAATTTAGGTAAAGCACTGAAAACGTCAACAATAAAAATAATGTAAATTACATAGTACGAACTGGTAGGTGTTAATTATTACTAAAAGAATGGCTTCAATCCTAAGAGGAACAAATGACTCATGGTGCTTTAAAAAAAATGAAAGGCCAAGTTATCTTTAAGCTTTTCAAAATGAAGGAGGAATTTAAAACAACAACAACAACAACGCTTTTTCTCCCTACCACCTTTCACTTGCTAGCTTCCCCTCTGAATTCAGAGGTTCTTAACCGGAAGGTGTAGAAGCCTCTGACTTAGGTGGAAACAGCTGAGGCAATGTATTTTCCTTACCATAATGTTTATGATCTGTCATCATCACCAGCTGCTGAACTTTTTTTCAGGTTGGACGGCAATTAGAAGCTGAGCAGGCCTACAAGTACACGAAAAAGGTATGACACAGATGCCTGTCATTTGCCTGCCCCATGTGGTGGGAAATTAGGAGGGAGGTACTGGCTTAATTCAGGACTTTCACATTGTTAATATTTTTTCTAGAGGCTTTTCTTGCCATCTTTGCAATTATCAATGGGCTGCTGGGTTTGTAATAATAACCTTCATATTGCCATGGATGATCTTTCTTCCAGCTCTTTAGAGAGAATATGTAATAGTTAATAGAAAGATAGCCTGGGAGTCAGTCAACCTGAATTATGATTCTGGTTTTGCCATTAACTTACTGTGTTGATAATATTGTGAGCTTCATTTTTCTCATGTGTAAAATATAGGGGTTGGTCTAGTCTAGGGGTCAGCAAACTTTTTCTATAAAAGGCAAAATAGGAAATTTTGGGGGATTTGTAGGCCAAACAGTTTGTTGCAACTACTAAACTCTGCACTTGTAGTACAAAAGCAGCTACAGATAATACATAAGTGAATGGCTGTGTTCCAATAGAATTTTACTTACAAAAAACAGGTAGTGAGCTGGATTTGGCTCATGAACAGCCCCTGGTCTGTTTTATCAGTTACATATAAATACATATTTTGAGACAGAATCTCGCACTGTTGCCCAGGCTGGAGTGTAATAGCACAATCTCAGTTCACTGCAACCTCCACCTCTGGGTTCAAGCAATTCTTGTGCCCGAGCCACCCAAGTAGCTGGGATTACAGGCATGTGCCACCACACTCAGCTGATTTTTTGTATTTTTAATATAGACAGGGTTTTGCTATGTTGGCCAGGCTAGTCTTGAACTCCTGGTCTCAAGTGATCTGCCCACCTCAGCCTCCCAAAGTGTTGGAATTACAGGCGTGAGCCACTGCGCCCAGCCTGTTCTATTAGTTATGAATCCGAAGTAACTTGAAAGACAGTGGTTTAAACAAATTAGTGTTTTTTCATCTAATGAAAAGTCCAAGGCTGGTACCACAGCTCCATAATGTCATCAGGGACCCAGCCTCTTCTTTGTGCTCCACCAATTGTAGCATGCAGTTTCTATCCCTCACAGTTGCAAGACAGCCAATGTAGCTTGCTGTCATGTCCATGTTTTCAGGCAAGATAAAGAACAATAAGGAAAAGAGGCCATGCTACTTCCCTTTCCTTTAAATGACTTTCCCTAAATAAAGGGCTTCTCCAGGTGTTCTACCCAATGACTTTAGTTTCATTAGGCCACAGTTGGTCATATGACTACCTCTAGCTGCATTGGGAGCAGGAAAATGTGGCTTTTTAGCTGATAGCATTGCTGCCTTAAAAATACATTAAGATTTTGTTAGTAAGAAAGAATGGGTATTCAGTAGGCTCCTAGATGTCTCTACTACATATCTAGATTCTAAAACTAAAACCAGATCGAATACAAGCCTATTTCTCCGATTCCCTGCTGTCATTTGCCAAATGGGAATACTACACATTAGCCAAGAGATGCTGGTAATAATGTGAACACTTTTTAAAAATAAAAAAAGTAAACTTTAATCAAGTTATCTTAAGTAAAAATGTACAGATCATGACTGTTCATAGTGCTTGATGAATTTTCACAAAGTAAACATATCCATGTATCCAAGACAAGGTTTTAAGGTCTTCTAGTGGAGTTTTCATGAAGTAGGGAATAAAGAGCTAACTCCATCCCAGGGAACTATGTTCTTTAGCTGTAGTCCCACAAAAGAGAGGTCTTCAAAGCCACATAAAGTATATCATCTATGACAAGTGTTTTTCCCTTTCTTCCTCTTTCATGTAGCTGAAATTGAAAGATGAGGCCCTGCTTGCAGAGATCCACACAGTACAGGAAACCGTTGGCTTTGGAAATCCATCTTTCTGATACTTCTCCAGCTGAACAATTTTCTATATGAGACTCTGAGTTCCTTTCCTTCTCAGAGAGTTTCACACCATATGAAGCCTGGAAATGGGCTGCTGGGTTTGTAATAATAACCTACAAAAGAATCTTCACCATAAATAGAGACCCATTCATTTCTTTCCATTGGTTGTGTTACTGGATGTTTTACTGGTTGATAAGAAACTGGGTCACAATAAAGATGAAAATATGAAACTCAAAATTCATCAGTGTGGTTCTGGAGTTAACGTATACTGAGTTACATATAGGTATTATATAAATAGCTATATATAGTGTAATTGCTCTAATAATTATATGACACATGTATAACAAAATGTGTATACTGGGGTCATTATTAGGATTTCTGATGAAAGTTTATTGGATCATTCCTGGAGAAAGTCAGCTGCTAAGATCTCTGGCCAGGTTCAGTCAACTGAAATAGAGGAATGAAGGCATCATTTTCAAAGGTGACCCTGGAGGAAGACTGCTATGCTGAGCCACTGTATTAGGGTAAAGAGCATATTAGCCCTTTGAAACTAACAGTGAACAAAAAAAGCTGAACAGGGAGGTCTTGGCTGAAGGTGGAGCTATGGACACCTCACCAAACACAGGCATTTTCATGGATATAAACCACTAGGGCTCTAGGGAGACAGCATTACCTTCATCACTGAGGCCATATACTAGGGCTACAGATGTTAAAAAAAAAAAAAAATCATACTTCACCTCTGCCCAGGATCACAGCATGGCAAATGCAGGAATGACCCCTCCTTTATTTTTTTAAGGTGTGATTGCCTCGATAGGGGTGGGAGGATCAGAGGAGGAAAGGGAACTATGTTCTTTAGGGAGAGGTAAATGTTTTGGTTAAAGAGGATAAACTCTAGTCACTTATAATCCTTCTAGTCTCGGCCCTGACGCTACCTCCTCTGTGAAGTCGTCAGCAAGCATTAGTTTTGCCTTCTCTGCTCTACTTGCACTAAGCACTACAGATCGCCCTAGTTTCTCTGCTGTAATCTCACGGTCTCCCCAACGGACTGTGAGCTTCACGAGGAAGAGATAGCGCCCTTTCATATTTGCGTTCTCAGCGTTGCGCCCCGGTACCAAAGCGAGCAAGGTGGCTGGATGTTACAGCACTTCTCTTTGCGCGGCTGTTTCGCCCAACAATTCTGACTTCAGCAGTGACTCACAAGCCTGAGAGGAAGCGCACCGCCACCCCCGCCAGACACCACGAGAAACGCCTCTTTTGCAGCAGTTAAAGGTACGCTAGCGGTCACCGTGTTGCATCGTGGGAAGTGTAGGGCAGCAAGCGGAAGAGGCGGGGCGAGCGGATCACCGCTTCCAGAGTCGAGGCTTTCGGGCTTGGATAGTCGGGCGGTCAGGTGGCTTTCCGCCTGTCTCGTGTTTGTGTCGGTCCTCTGCCCAGCCAAGGCCGTATTGTTGGTGCGCGCGGGTAGCGGGCCGCTCCAAGGAGCCGCACCATGGTCCACCTCAGTGAGTCATTGGGCCCCCACGAGACGTTCCGGGCGGTCACGGGGCTCGGGAGTTCGGGGCCGGGTGAGGCAGTGGTCTCCCTGGCGCGATGGAGGGAACCCAAACCTGAAGCAGCCACACTACCTTACATTTGATCCTTCTCTCAGTTTTTTTCCCCCGCTTAATCACCGCTGAAAAATCCCCACCCCACTGAAGCCGCTAAGGTTCCGACAAGGTCACAGAGCTAGTGAATGGCAAACCCATGCTGAGCGGGTTTGGGTATGAAGAGGAGATTGTTGCTGGCTGGAGTGGCCAAGAGGTGTTTCATAAAGAACAACAGTATCTAAGCTGAATTGACAGGAATGGATTGGAAGTGAGGACATTTCAGTGGAAAAAGGGAATTGTTCCGTCTGTGTCATTTTGCCCGTTTTGTGCTGTTCTTGTGTCCTAACCAGCTGTTTTTCTGCAGCTACTCTCCTCTGCAAGGCCTACCATGGAGGCCATTTAACCATCCGCCTTGCCCTGGGTGGCTGCGCCAACCGGCCCTTCTACCGCATTGTGGCTGCTCACAACAAGTGCCCCAGAGATGGCCGTTTCGTAGAGCAGCTGGGCTCCTATGATCCATTGCCCAACAGCCATGGAGAAAAACTCGTTGCCCTCAACCTAGACAGGATCCGTTATTGGATTGGCTGCGGGGCCCACCTCTCTAAGCCTATGGAAAAGCTTCTGGGTAACTCAGCTCTGGTCTTTCTTTATTGAGGGGATTTTAAACTGAAGTCAGCTCCAGGACAGTGGGTATAAGAATGATTTTTCGGCCGGGCATGGTGGCTAACGCCTGTAATCCCAAAACTTTGGGAGGCCGAGGCAGGCAGATCACCTGAGGTCAAGAGTTTCAGACCAGCCTGGCCAACATAGTGAAACCTCATCGCTACTAAAAATGCGAAAAAATAAATTAGCTGGGCGCGGTGGCGTGTGTCTGTAGTCCCAGCTATTGGGGAGACTGAGACAGAAGAATCACTTGAACCCAGGAGGGGGAGATTGCAGTGAGCCAAGATCATGCCACTGCATTCCAGTGTGGGCGACAGAGGGAGACTCCATCTCAAAAAAAAAGAATGATTTTCCTTCTCTCTAGGTTGTCCAGGACTGAAGTGAGAGCTGAAGTTGTGATCTAATTGGCATTTTGAATCTGGAGACCCCATTTGTGGACTCCTTTGTAAGACATTTTGGGTGACTGGTATTTTATTCTAAAAACAGGAATAGTGTGTTTTGAATGGCCATCTGTTAGCTTATCTTTTTTAAAGGGGAATACTTTTAGGAAGTAGACATCCAGTGTCTCCTTGCCAGGGAGAAGTAGTACAGAGTTCGGCAAGTGAGGAGCATGGTTTACATCCATACAATGGGTCAGATCTCATCTCCGTTCTGCGAGACAAAGTTCCTAGGGAAGCATTGGCTTATACTGTGTTATAATTGAAAAATCTGTTGTTTTTAGGTCTTGCTGGCTTTTTCCCTCTGCATCCTATGATGATCACAGATGCTGAGAGACTGCGAAGGAAACGGGCACGTGAAGTCCTGTTAGCTTCTCAGAAAACAGATGCAGAAGCTACAGATACAGAAGCTACAGAAACATAAGTGAGCTGACTTAAAGGAGCATAGCAGTGGGAACAAGGTCAAGGTCCTCTTGAAACACTGCAGAGATCTTACTTTTGTTAGATTTGGAGTACAATAAATGGAGTATCCTGAGTTGCCCTTGCTCTTCTGGCCTGGCCTGCACAGGCCCCAGGGAGAGATTTCTGCTTGTGTGACATAGAGCTGGGTGTGGGTACTAACTAGCTTTTTTGGACTTTCTCTTGGGAAAGATAGTGGCTGTGGGAGGATTGGACTTTTGAATTGGGCTCTGGGTCTCCTGGACAACTTTACAATCTACTGGCTTCCAAGACTTCCTGCTTCAAAACCTCCAGCCAGATTATTCATGGCCCATTCAAATCTTCATGTTCTTCCCTTAAGTGCAAGAACAGTTACCTTTCTTACTGATTTTGTAATTGTAGAATTATATTGTCTTGCTTAATGCATATTCCTTTTTTTCTGAGACAGAATCGGTCTCTTGCCAGGCTGGAGTGCAGTGGCGCGATCTTGGCTCACTGCAATCTCTGCCTCCCAGCTTCAAGGGATTCTTCTGCCTCAGCCTCCCAAGAAGCTGGGATTACAGGCACCCATTACCACACCCAGCTAATTTTTGTATTTTTAGTAGAGACAGGTTTTCATCATGTTGGCCAGGATGATCTCGATCTCCTGACCTTGTGATCTGCCTGCCTTGGCCTCCCAAAGTGCTGAGATTACAGGCGTGAGCCACTGCATGCATAAATATACAAAGGTAGATTGTTTTGCTTTTGGGCTATAATCTACCTTTTTTTTTTAGATAGAATTTCGCTCTTATTACCCAGGCTGGAGTGCAATGACATGATCTCGGCTCACCGCAACCTCCGCCTCCTGGGATCAAGCAGTTCTCCTACCTCAGCCTCCCGAGTAGCTGGGACTACAGGCTGCGCCACCATGCCCAGCTAAGTTTTTGTATTTTTAGTAGAGACGGGGTTTCACCATGTTGACCAGGATGGTCTCAATCTCTTGACCTAGTGATCCACCCTCCTCGGCGTCCCAAAGTGCTGGGATTATAGGTGTGAGCCACCATGCCCGGCCAATCTACCTTTTAAGAATGAGAAACTGCTGGGTTTAAGGGAGTTCAGAATGAATCAAGACTGAAACATTCAAATGTGGTTGTGGTTTCTGCATATATTATGGATGGGATCCTTCTGAGAATACTGGAATAGCGAATTTTGACACCAAGCCAATTCAGCTGTGAACCTTATTCTTCTACTTTTCTTTCTTGCTGGTAATTTTATGGAGCAGGTTAAGAAAGTTGCTCTGTGTTGGGATAAACTCTGTACCAATAATTTTGAGAACCTGTGATGAGTGATGCATTTTACTTGTACCTTTTCCTTCCTACCTTGATGCCAGTAATGTATAAGGGATCTTTATAGTTTGAATGTATTTGAATAATTTCAGTATCCTTTAGCTCTACTTTTTTATTTGACTCAAATAAATAAGACCATTCATAGGTCTCAAATATTCTCATGTGTTTTAAAAGCCTGAAGTCAATGAGGTGAAACTCAACATCAATAATATGAAGTAACTTATAAAGAAATAATGTAAAGAAATCACTGGGGCATTGGCTCACACCTGTAATCTCAGCACTTTGGGAGGCTGAGGTGGAAGGATCACTGGAAGCCAGAGTTCAAGACCAGCCTGGGCAAGACACCGTCTCCAAAAAATTTAAAAATTAGCTGGGCATCGTGGTGCTCACTCATAGATCCAGCTACTCAGGAGGCTGAGTCACTTGAGCCCAGGAGGCCAGTGCTACAGCAAACTATGATTGTTCACTACAGTATTGCCTGGGCGACAGTAAGACCCTGTCTCAAAAAGAAAAAACATTAGGTAGTTTGGCTGGACCATAATAATTAATTTGATTTTCTGGTTTTCAAAAATGTGAGTTACAATAAAAGAATATTTCAATGTGCTATTTCGGTTTTCAGTAGCAAAAATGTATATGTAGAAAAATGTTACTGTATGTGAGTACCTTAAAAAATGTGAGAAACTGGAAGAAAGAAAATACTGTAAAGCATCTACATATATCCTAGGCCTTTTGTATACACAGTTATTTGTGATGATTACAAGGTATTATGAAGGCAGGTAGGGTTATGTCCATTTTACCGTCAGGGAAGCTGAAGCCTAGAGGTGGAAACTTGTTCAGTGATGTAAGATTTATACCTTCGTTATACCCTGGAAAGCCCTTCCCAACATGTTGTCCATACAGGGAAAAAAATGAGCAAAGATAAGTGGCTTAACTCTGATATGTGAGTAAGATATAGGAAATTTATAGAGGAGTTTCTCTCAATGTGCCAACTTATTTTGTTCTGTGTTTTATATTCTGAGAATGATCACCAGCCATCCCAAATTCTGTGGTTGTTAAAGCTCCCCCGGGGTTGTTCCTGGTTGGCCCCCACTTGCTTTGAGACTGATGCAAGGGCAGGTTGAGAGGAAAAGTGACTTTAGCTGGGTTTGTTCTTGGATCTGGGAAAGAGATGTGCTTTGAAAATCATGGCAACTCTGGGAGGTTAAAAAGATATTAATGTATCCTAGAGAGTTTGAGGCTTTGCAGAAATTTACTGGCAGAGCAGAATGATTCTGGTAAGTGTTAAGTCGGTGAGGGGATGAGATATATGATATTTTCTGCCAAGTTGGGTATTCTCTCAAGTATTCATTTTGCATTGCTTATCCTTTAAGATATGAATATACATATTTCCTTTGTGAGCTTATCCTACTTCCAGAGTTTTCTCCCCAGCCTGAGCCTTGCTTTGGGTCTTCAGGCCCAAGTTTCTCCCCATGTCTTGGATGATTGCCCCCACCTACCCTGCTGCCACCTGGGATCCAACATGCTCAAACCCAGCTGTGAACTAAACAGAGTATTAAAAGAAAGAGCCTTTGCTTCAGCAGTTTATGTTAAGACGGGGGCTTGGGTCATCTCATCTCCACGAATGTGTAAGGTGAAAGTCCTGTTAGATAAGAGTTTTTGGAAGACCCATGTTTTGTGCTTTTTGGGTTTCAGTATAAGGTTTTTCCTGCAGGGCTGCAGGGAAAGTTCCCGAGCATTTCCAACCAGTGAGGTGCAAAATTATTTGGGCCTACAACTCTACCTATTCCTTTCACAATCATTTTTGAAAAAACACATCTGTTAAGCTGAACCATGTGAAACTGCTGAATGCTGATGTTTGGCAGTTTTCTACTTAAAAAATAGGCCAGCAGTTTTAAAATTCAACTTAATATATGAACTTTTTGAAAAAGCTTTTCTGGGAAACTAAACGGAAGACGGACGCCAGATTTCTAGAGCAAGGGGAGGAGGGACCCGAGCAACATCTCTTCCCAGTAACTCCTGGCTCCTGCGCGCGGCCAGTAATTTCGACTCCGCCCGCCGACTCACCTGCCCGCCTTGCCACGCCCCATTTTGCGGCCGCCGTAAAGTGGCTGCGCGGCGTGGCCACGCCCCTTCAGCGCTTGTTGTGACGCAGGCGCCCTAGGCTTTTTGAGCGGGAAAAAGAAGCAACCCTGAGTGGTACCCGGCGCTGTTGGGAGCAGCTGCTTTCTCCCAGGCCCTATCTCCCGTCCCTGGCATGGGGCTACTGGAGCTTTGCGAGGAAGTGTTCGGCACCGCCGACCTTTACCGGGTGCTGGGCGTGCGACGTGAGGCCTCCGACGGCGAGGTCCGACGAGGCTACCACAAGGTGTCCCTGCAGGTGCACCCCGACCGGGTGGGCGAGGGCGACAAGGAGGACGCCACTCGTCGCTTCCAGGTATGCAGGATCCCGCCCCGAGGCCGACGGGCCACCCGGGCCGCCTCCGCCTTTTGGCTACCGGGCCCTGCCCGGGGGAGCGCACTGAACTGGTCTTTGCGCCTCCTGATCTTGTCTCGTGCCGCGGTTTCGGTGGGAGGAGCAGGGATGACTTACGGATACTCTCTGCCCTCAGATCCTGGGAAAAGTCTATTCCATTCTCAGTGACAAAGATCAGAGAGCAGTGTACGATGAGCAAGGAACAGTGGACGAGGACTCTCCTGTGCTCACCCAAGACCGAGACTGGGAGTCGTATTGGCGGCTACTCTTTAAAAAGGTAGGGGATTCTGGAGGTTTGCTTGTGACTGTTACCATCATTCGATCAACAAACCTTTATTAATTGCCTCTAAGGTCTTGTGTTAATTTTGTAGGAATGAGGAATTTTGAGTTTGGCCTTGAAATATAAATACACTTACTGAAACAGGCTTTTTATTTCCTGTTAATGCGACTGTTGCACTAAAAAGGGCCGATTTATTTTTTTGTAGGATGATGCACTTTATTTTACATATCCAATGTAAGTCCTGATTCCGGGTCGCCTTTCATCCTTGGGAACTTCACTTACATTTCTCTTCCCTGGTCCCTAGTTAGCAGTTGTGAAGACTGGACTTAGAAAGGAGAACTCCGGAAAAGCTTAGGCATAGAAAATCTGGTTCAACAATTGCAACTCAAGCAACTGTTGTGTTACAGTAATTCAACACCTAACTCTAGTTTTACTAGTGTACCTTTTATTTAAAGTAAAACTCCCAAAGTTAAAGCAAATCTCCTTTATTATCAGATATCTTTAGAGGACATTCAGGCTTTTGAAAAGACATACAAAGGTTCAGAAGAAGAGCTGGCTGATATTAAACAGGCCTATCTGGACTTCAAGGGTGACATGGATCAGATAATGGAGTCTGTGCTTTGCGCGCAGTACACAGAGGAACCCAGGATAAGGAATATCATTCAGCAAGCTATTGACGCCGGAGAGGTCCCATCCTATAATGCCTTTGTCAAAGAATCGAAACAAAAGATGAATGCAAGGAAAAGGAGGGTAAGATTTTGAATACTGTTGATTTATATCTTGACTGCTTCCAAAAAGGATTTGAGAGTATTTACAGCAGTAGAAGTAAACATAAAGCTCCAGAAATGACTAGGGTTCACTTGGTCTGATAGCTTTCATCTAATAAAATGGACATACTGGAGGCACGCCTGTAATCTCTGCACTTTGGGAGGCTAGGGTGGGTGGACCACGAGGTCAAGAGATTGAGACCATCCTGGACAACATGGTGAAAATACCATCTCTACTAAAAATACAAAGATTAACTGGGCGTAGTGGCACGTGCCTGTAATCCCAGCTACTTAGGAGGCTGAGGAAGGAGAATTGCTTGAACCCGGGAGACAGAGGTTGCAGTGAGCCAAGATCGTGCCACTGCACTCCAGCCTGGCGACAGAGTAAGACTCTGTCTCAAAAAGTAAAAATAAAAAAAATAAATAAATAAAATGGGCATACCAGTTCATCAAGAGAAACTATTTTTCTAGTATATTGTGCTCACAATGATTTTTATTGTTTAACTCTTACCATAGTAAAGTAGCACTGAAGTCTTTTTTTCATATGGGCCAATTCTTGTAGCCTTGTTGAGGCAACCCTCAGGAGATAAAGTTAATGGAGCCTGGATACACAGGACAGGCAGTGATCCTTATTCAGTTGGGGGGTAAGAAGAGAATGGCAGAGACTGTCTTGTTAAAAGTGCAGATTTGGGGGCCTTTGCCAGAGTTCGATTCTTGAGGTGGATACAGAATTCTTTTTTTTTTTAATCGAGACGGAGTCTTGCTCTGTCACCCAGGCGTGATCTCGGCTCACTGCAACTTCTGCCTCCTCAGTTCAAGCGATTCTCCTGCCTCAGCCTCTGGAGTAGCTGGGACTACTGGCACACACCACCATATCCAGCTAATTTTTGTATTTTTAGTAGAGACAGGGTTTCATCATGTTCACCAGGATGGTCTCGATCTCAACCTTGTGATCCACCTGCCTCAGCCTCCCAAAGTGCTGGAATTACAGGTGTGAACCACCGTGTCCAGCCTTTTTTTTTTTTTTTTTTTTTAAGAAAAACTTTAGCTTTGTGGTCCCCAGCTGTGCCAGGGGTATGGTTCAGGATGAAACCTCAGATCATCAGGCATTAGATTCTCACAAGGAGCACACAACTTTTAGAACCATTGCTGCCTTCATGAGTGCCCCCTGGAACTTTTCTGCAGCTTTTACATATGAAATGCACACAGAGAAAGCTGTCCTTTTTATTTCTAGTGAAAATTCACAGGGCCTGTTTTGCCTAGATGGCTGCACCCTCTCTGGTGAGCTGAGGGGAGCCGTGGAGTGTATATCAAGATCATTTTGGTTCATAGGCTACATCTGCTAATACTTAGGCTGACAATTACCTTAAGTTCATTTTCTGAGATGAAACTGAGCACAGCTGCATTCACGGTAGACTGTTAGCTTGAGAAACTTCCCTAGAATTTGAGAAAATGGTATAGTTTTGAGAGACTGTTCAACAAACCTGAAGGGAATGCTGAATTTAAAGAGATAATTTGAATACAAGGAAACAGTGTCTTCTTATAGATATGGGAGGTCCTAATGTATCATCATCCCCACTATTAATTCCATTAATTGCTACTTGGAAAATTCACAAGGGATGTTGGGACCTCTTAAGTTGTTGCCCTAAGAACACCTTAGTGTGTTCTTTTGTTCTTAGTGATATTTTGGAAACAATGCCCTAGGAAAACTTGGCAAAGGAAGACTCCTTTGAAATCAGGTAAAGAAAGGTTAAAACTGAGTCTGCTGATGTTTCTTCTGACTACTCAGAAGTCATTTTAAACTGGGATTCCCAAGGGGATTACCACTCATGTAGTAAATTGGGTTTCCAGGAGAGGAATTGGAAGTATCTGTATCCTAGCAATTGCATTGTTTTCCTTACTTTTTTTTGTTTTTCTTTGTTTTTAAGAGATGACATCTCACTCCATCACCCAGGATGGAGTGCAGAGGCATGATCACAGCTCACTGCAGCCTCAAACTCCCAGGCTCAAGCTATCTTCCTACCTCAGCCTCCCTAGTAGCTGGGACTACAAGCACATGCCACTACACCAGGCTTATTTCTTTTATTTTTTGTAGAGTTGAGGTCTTACTATGTTATCCAGGCAGGTCTCAAACTCCTGGGTTCAAGTATTCTCCCACCTTGGCCTCCCAAGGTATAGGGATGACAAGTGTGAGCCACCACACACAGCCTCCTGTTCCTTTTTATCACAATGTGATTTATGAGTGCCAAATTACTTACTACCTCTAGCAAGTAGAATTGGGGAAAAAGCAAATAAATGGTAATTGGAATCACAGGATCTACTGCTTGTTGTCAGCATTGTTGCCAGCATTGTTGCCTTTTAATAAATAACCTAGTTAGGTAATTCTATTCATTTTGTCTATTCATATAATCCTCAAATTGAAACAGTATTATGGATTTGCTTTTGGGAAAGAGAATGTATTTTAAACATTTGCTGGTTGCTCTGAATCTCATGTGAGTTTCTGTTGCAGGCTCAGGAAGAGGCCAAAGAAGCAGAAATGAGCAGAAAGGAGTTGGGGCTTGATGAAGGCGTGGATAGCCTGAAGGCAGCCATTCAGGTAAACTTGGCAGTTTATTGCCACTTCTTCCTTAATGATCTGAAACCTGTTGCTGATATTTTCTCTGGAGTGTTGTATTTGGTTTTCTTCTCGTAAGACATAACTCGCATGCCATCTATTTGTCCTTTTCAAGTGTACAATTTGTTGGTTTTTAATATATTTACAAAGTTTTACAATTATTAACACCAATTGAAGGACATTTTCACCACTCCAAAAAAACCTCCATACCCACTTCTCCAGCCCCTGGCAACCACTAAGTACTTTCTATGGATAGTGTTGTGAAAGCTTGTGTTTTAACTTCTCAAACAGAGCAGACAAAAGGATCGGCAAAAGGAAATGGACAATTTTCTGGCTCAGATGGAATCAAAGTACTGCAAACCTTCCAAAGGAGGAGGGAAAAAATCTGCTCTCAAGAAAGAAAAGAAATAATGAAATTTTTCTCTTCAGAGGTGCTTAGGTGTAAATTGATGCTATCGTAGGCAAGGTACAGTCAAGATTTGAAGGCAAAAGTCAACTCAACTCTTGAGAAAAGTTGTTTTCCAGCCTGAATTTTTCAGATAGATTAGACCAAGCAGAATCTGTCAACCTGATATTAGTATTTCCTAGAAAGCACCTGACATTGTGTGAGGTCTCACCTGAAGGAACTTGGTGGTGACAGTTGGGAGGGCGGAGGGAAGCAGTGTCCTTCCTGACAGAACTTGCCTCCATGGATCGTCTGTACATGGAACTCTATCTGTTCATGCTGTTTTCTGTGATGTGTCTGTTAGAATAGGCTCTCTACCCAGCTAGAACACCTTCCAAGCACTTGTTGGACAGCTGCCTTCCACATACTTCCCAGTTTACATTTGGTCTTAATGATCTTGAATAGACCCTCTATTCGTTTTACTCAGTCAGGTTTTGTACTGATGTACAGGTGTTAAATTACTTCAGGCATTTTTGTAACAATTGTATATGATTAAATAAAAAAAGCGATGGTTAAGTTCTGGGGGCTTTGTAAATGATCCCAGTGAAATGTGACCTAGAAAAATATGAATGGTGTTTAGGATGAGAGAGAAGGGGAAAACAGTAGTCCTGGTCAGCTTTATAATAGAGAGCCTGGTTTCCGTAGCAGGAAGAGAGATGTATATTGTAGTCCTGCCACTAATTGCCGAATGTCTTTAGTTGGGCCACTGAGCTTGTCTGAATCTGTTTCCTCATTTATAAAATAGTTATTACATTGAAACAAAGAGTGAAATCCAAACTTGTCAAATTGTATTAAATATGTCCAGCTTTTTGGTTAAAAAATAATTGCACTGGCTTTGAGGGAAAACACACAGGGTGAGGGAATTGGGCTAAATGACTTCTTAGAGGCCCCTTTCTGACTCTTTAACTTTGAAAGGCAAACCATCCAATTATTATAGTGAACTCATGGTAATGGTTTGTGAGAACAGTACAGAGATTTTCATTTCTATTTAGATGAGTTGGTATGAGAATATATGGAATTTTTTTTAGGGACTGTTTAAATCTTTGATTTGTAGACTATGAAATACACCATATGCATAAAGTAACCCTTTAGCTATTGAGCCTTATATATCATAATTTATCTAAGGTAAACATATATGACACATTTTCAGTTTGTGACTACAAATAGGTTAAAAGTAATTTTTAATTGTATTAAAAATATAACTTAATGCAGGTTGTTTGAAGCATCTGTCTTCATATGATAGCATTAGAACACCTTGGTATAATAGTTACCCTAATTTATGATTATTTGTGTTTAACTCTTCTGAAAATTAATAAGATCTAAAATTGGCATAAGATTAGTATTTTAGTGAAATTTAAAATAAATTTAAGCCATAGTTAAAGCCATTGCTGCATTCATGAGTGCCCTTAGGAAAAGGTCCACAGTAAAACCAGAAAGTCAAACCTCTCCTCCTCCATACCCATATCCTGCTGTCTATAGGATATGTTTATGCTGGATTAATTTTCAGGTTTTCTTAAACTTTTAAGGAATTATACTCTGGTGGCTCACTAGTAGATTCTACAAATTATTTTTTAATTGACTTCCTTAGAGTTGCAGGAGAATATCTGGCAAGGTACATTTAATATTTGGAAAAAAGATATGACCAGTAACATACTTTAGTAAGAAAATAAGCATAACCTGGCATCAGGTAGGCATTTTAAGGTTGAGCTGTCCTATCTGAACAAAAAAAGCAATATAATTTATTACAAAAGTTACTTTACACCAATGCTTAACATGTATGTCTTTAGGTACACACTCCTTCCATTTTAATATGCTGATAGGGTAGGACATCTAAAGAGAGCTTTAGGAATGACATCTATTTGATGAGGTCAGATTTTTGACAGCAAAATGATTTAAAACAGTATAACTCTCCAGAAATGAGCACAAGCTGAAGTATTCTGAAGCCAGTAATATTGTCACTGATCATTTGCTGCTTTTTGTGTATGTGTGAGCTCATCAAATCCTATATAATTGAACTGATCATTGTTAAGAGACAACATGAGCAATTATTTGGGTATTATTCATTGTTGCATCTTTGGGTACAAACTTTCCTTTCCAATGGAGTAGGTTAATTTATGCTGAAAGAGTAACTGGAGGTAGAAACAACACTCATGTCATTTTTGGCAGATAATGCTGTTTTGTTCTTCAGTCACTTGTGCCAAAATCACTCTTCATGAAGATGGTTTCTAATCAATCTTCTGTACAAGCTCTACATCACTTGATGACTGAACACTGCTTCATGAAATCTCGTGTTTTCTGCAGCCTGATAGGTTCTTCTCATTTGCCTTAAGGTCCCTGCCTGGTTCGAGAGACTGGTCCACCTCTGCTTTGAGATTTTGTAGACCCATGTAACTGAGGACCTGTCAGATGACATCACAGAATAACATTAGTAGACAGTCTAGGTTTGATAATAACTCAAGTTTATAGCTAAGGGCTTTCTTGCTCCAATTATGAATTTGACTTTCTTAAGGTATGAAAGCAGTAAACTAGTTTTGCAGAAGAGCCCACTAATTAAAAAGAACTAAGATGTCTGATTCACTCACTTCAATATTACATTAGTTATACCCAACTATCGGTGTGGCAGAAATTACAGCTCAAACGCAGATGTGAAAGGAGAATCTGACAAAAGCATTTAAAGACTACCAAACAATGCTACAGGGAACTGGCCTGAGAAATCACTTGGACTACAAAGATTGTTTGAGGCAGACTAGTTTTTACTATAGTTGCTGATTAATCTTATTAACAGGAAAAACATCGCAGCTGTCCATTACTTCTAAATGCACCTTTAGCATAGTGAGAATGACCCTGATGTGGTGAGAAGACGGTAAAAGGCAGAATTAAGATATCCTGCAGCCTGGGCAGCATAGTGAGACCCTGTCTCTACAAAAAATAGCTGGGTGTGGTGACACTACTTGTAGTCCCAGCTATGTGGGTGGCTTAGGTGGGAGGATCCCTTGAGCTCAGGTGGTTGAGGCTCCAGTGAGCCATGATCATACCACTGCATTCCAGCCTGGTCAACAGAGTGAGACCGTCTGAAAAAAAGACATCCCTCTTCACTGGAACCGAGTCATTTTGGGTGCAAAAAGAAAAAAAAAAATCCCTCAGTTTCCTCCCATCAATTCTTTGTTAGTACATCTACAGGGTATAATTTGAAGATAAAAAGAGTTAATGGGATAGCGTCAGACTTGGCGTACCATGATGGTTTAGAATTTCTTTTCTTTCCTTGGCCTAACAGATTAACTGATCCAAGCAGTTTAATCCGTAGGAATATGGATTTTTGCCTACATAATAAAATCCATGCCATGTTCTTATAGAATATTTTGAATGTTCTAACAAGGACTAATTAGGGTTAAACTTTTTAGATTAAAAAAAAAGCAGTTGACCAAAGCAGTGAGAAGTTAGTTTACATGGTATGAAAAAAACCTGAAACTTTTTGGCTCTGAGAAATAGAATTCTCCTAGCTTTTTATTATACCCCATGTTCCAAAATGAATTTTAGGTGATTTACAAAGATGTGGGGAAGCAATAAATCCAAGAGAATCTGAAATAGGTGTAGGAATAAGACAAAAGCTGGGTCTTAACACATCCACACAGTTGTAAATAAGGGCCATGACCCCACCTGTACCTGCAGATCCCTTACCAGGTCGTGCCTGATGAGGATACTCAACTGCGCATGAGCGATGATACTGTGTATCCAGCTAAAAGAGAAAAGAGGAGACACTTCTTACGATGCAGCTTCTCCCAAAGGATAATATTTTAGCAGGTTCACAGGAAAACCTTGAAATCAACAGTGTAAAAGGCACAGACTACCAGCCTGAGGGACAAGTCAGCTAAGTGCCCTGTGTTGAATTTCAAGTAGAAAATGCCAAGCCAGATGCCCACAAAGCCATTTATTGTAAAAATTGTGAATTCTTCAATGTTATTACTATGCTGTTACGCTACTTGCTATGTGTGTGTGTGTTGTTTTGCCTCTGAACCTGTTTTTTTTCTTGTTTTGAGATAGAGTTTCACCCTGTTGCTCAGGCTGGAGTGCAATGGTGTGATCTCTGCTCACTGAAACTTCCACCTCCTGGGTTCAAGCAATTATCCCATCTTAGCCTCCTGAGTAGCTGGGATTAGAGGTGTGTGCCACCACACCTGGCTAATTTTTTGTATTTTTAGTAGAAACGGGGTTTCACCATGTTAGCTAGGCTGGGCTTGAACTCCTGACCTCAGGTGGTCCGCCCACCTCAGCCTCCCAAAGTGCTGGGATTATAGGTGTGAGCCACCATGCCCAGCCACAGCTAGCATTCTTAATAAATTGAGCAACTAGCTATCTCTCTTTTTATAACAGCAAATGGGGAGAGAAATGGTAAGTAATTTTTACTTTTTTTTTTTTTTTTTAAACATATGAGAAAGAGAAGACTGAAATGTTTTCACCTGTTGAGTTTTATTCCTAAGGCAACCAAAAATTAAATGTTTTTAGTGAGGTGCAGAGGTGTACCCCAGGAGGCCAAGGTGGGAGGATCACTTGAGCCCAGGAGTTTTAGGTTGCAGTGTGCTGACTGCACCACTACACTCCAGCCTGGGTCAGGAGTGAGACCCTTGTCTCTTAAAAAAATGAAATGTTTGGCCAGGAACGGTGGCTCACGCCTGTAATCCCAGCACTTTGGGAGGCCAAGGCAGGTAGATCACTTAAGGTCAGAAGTTCAAGACCAGCCTGGAAAACTTGGTGAAACATTATCTATATTAAAAAAAAAATAACAAAAATTAGTCAGGTGTGGTGGCAGGTGCCTGTAGTCCCGGCTACTTAGGAGGCTGAGGCAGTAGAGTCATTTGAACCCAGGAGGCAGAGGCTGCAGTGAGCTGAGAATGCACCACTGCACTCCAGCCTCTGCGACAGAGCAAGACTCCGTCTCAAAAAAAAAAAAAAAGAGTTTGAGAGAATCTAGCTGTGTAATATAATCATCAAGTACTACTTAACATATGTCCTGTATCAGATTATGAGAAGGCAAATTCAGTAGAAGTTCTCAAACTTTTGGGGTTCAATGTGAACCCCAAGAATCAGAAATGCTTATGTTTCCTTTTTCTTGTTTTTGGTGAGTTTCCCCCTAAGTCAACTTCGTGGGGTCTACTATGTTGAATAGTGTTCCCTCAAAATTTACGACCACCTGGAACTTGTGAATGTGACCAAGTTGGAAATATGGTCTTTCAGATGTAATTGAGGTAAAGTCATACTGGATTAGGGTGGACCCTAATCACTAAATTCAGTGACTGGTATCTTTATAAGAAGAGAGAACTTTGGGCACAGACACATAAGGAGGAAAGCCATGTAAAGACAGAGGCAGGCTGGGCCTGTGACTCATGCCTGTAGTCGCAGCAGTTTGAGGGGCTGAGGTGGGAGGATCACTTGAGCCTTGGAGTTTGAGACCAGTCTGGCCAAAAACGGTGAGACCCTATCTTTTTTTTTTCTTTATTTTTATTTTTTACTCATAATGGCTAATGTATGTATATAGAGACCCTATCTCTACAAAATGAAAAATAAATTAGCAGCAGAGAGTGGCATGCGACTGTAGTCCCAGCTACTCAGGAGGCTAAGGTGAGATGATCACTTAAGCCCAGGAGGTTGAGGCTGCAGTGAGCTATGCTCTGCACTCCTCCGGCCTGGGCATCAGAGTGAGACCCTGTCTTAAAATTAAAAAAAAAAAGGAGTGGTGGCTCACGCCTGTAATCCCAGCACTTTGGGAGGCCAAGATGGGCAGATCACTTGAGGTTAGGAGTTTGAGACCAGCCTGGCCAACATGGCAAAAGCTCTGTCTCTACTAAAAATACAAAAATTAGCTGGGCATGGTGGTGCACGCCTGTAATCCCAGCTAATCGGGAGGGTGAGGCAGGAGAATCACTTGAACTGGGAGGCATAGGTTGCAGTGAGCTGAGATTGCATCGTTACACTGCAGCCTAGGCAAGAGCAAGACTCTGTCTTTAAAAAAAGGTGGTGGGGGCGGGGGAGAAATTGGGAGTGATGCAGCTGCAAGCCAGGAACACCAGGGATTGCAGGCAGCCACCAGCAGCCAGGAAGAGACAGATTTTTCCCTAGAAGAATCCAAAGGGAGCATGGCTCTGCTGACAACTAGATTTTGAACTTCTTGCCTCTGGAACTGTGAGAAAAAAATTACTGCTGTTTTAAGGCACCCAGTTGTTGGTCATTTCTTATGACCTAGTAAACTAATATAAAGGTCTATTCATAGATTATCTTCACTACTCTTCTACTAGAAGAAAGATTTTGCAGTGCATTAGCCTGCTGTGTGGTTCAAGGGTCATGAGCTGGGATAAGTATGCTGCAAACACCACCATCCCGACAACTTCCAGGATGTGGAGTCCCTGGTTACTTCCCCAGGATCTCCAAGCGCTCTTGCCACAGAGCAATTTATGTGGGGTCGAGCTTCTGGCCTACAAATGGGGAAGGTCAGTGCATGACCCCATTGCTGATCAGGTTTTTCCTATTAAAAGGGATAGTAAATGCACAATAAATGGTAGTGTCAGCATTTAAAATGCCAGTAGAAAGAAAAGGTCCTAAGCTAAACTGGGTGTTTAGGACTTTTTCTAGATTGATTATCAATATAAAATTTTTTTCTTTTCATTCTTTTTTTTTACAAAAATTTTTTATTGGATCTAAACCCATGGGCAAACCGTCCTAAGACTACCTAATGATTAGTGTCTAGGCATAGATTTCAGTCTTATACTCATCCACCAGGACTCATAATCTGAGACCACTTTTGATATAACTCCAGAAGAGCAGGATTATACAATAAAGTTAGGTTCATCTGATATGCACTGGGGTTTTATATTCTTGTGCTCAGACATAGCTAAGCATTAAATTGCTTAGAATTTGTGATTTCTGTATAAGGCATTAAATAATAGGTGTCAGGGACCAGTTAGGATGAGAACAAAATGTATTTATAACACTTTTTATTGTTGGAAACTCAATTTCATTCTGAGTTAAGCCTCTAGATAAAGTCTTAAGTCTGCCAAACTAGTATTCCCCCCACTTCTTCTTTCCCCACTATCCAGACCATTCTAGGAAGTATGTCACTATACCAAAAATGATTGAGTTGTGTTGGGCCTGGAGAAAAAGTCGTGCAAAAGGAGCCTTTCTTGGGGTTGCTGATAGTTAGGCTCATCCACCACTGCACTTCGAGCTCTGCTGGAATCACCATGGGGTTTCTGCAAAGGAGACAAAAGTTACAGAAACTCTGAAAACTATCTGTAAGTATGTAGTCAAAACCCTATCAACCCTGGCAGATACGGTACGTGCAGGCCAAGCAGCTCCAATTCCATGTCATAAATTAGCACTCAGTTTGTACTTTTGACAAAACACAGTATAAATCAAGATCAGAGCACAAATCTTGCAGAATTACTGCCCATGAGGCTGGATAGTAAGCACATGGAAAGGCAATATGAAAGAAACATACCATCAGTCTTTGTGGCCTCACAGTGCTCACATGTTCCACTTCAGCTGTGCCAATAGGTGGTAGTAGATTATTTCGACTCAGAGGCATTGGTGAGGGAGAGGAAAGCAAGTCAGCTGCCACCGGGCTACAGATCCCACCAACATCACGAAGGTATGAAAGCATGAAGTTAGAACAATACCAGCAAATTGATTAGAAATCAGATAATTGAAGCAGATGAATTTAATGTGCACAGAAAGCTTTAGGCTGCCTATGTTTTTAAGTAGAGATCTCAGGATTTTAGAAAAAAATAAGAGTTTTTAAAATAGTGCTGATTTTGTTTTGAAGCTCTACACTGGGCAAACAACAGAAGTTGGCCTTTTCTTTCCCACATAACTGGACTAAAACATTTGTCCCTATCTGGTATTGTACTTCTCTGCTGATTTGGATTTGTAAATTCCCAGCTGATGATGGAATTCTTGATAGTTCTGGACCTTCTGGTTATCCTTCTCCCTAATAACTATAGTTCTTGGGTACAGTTCCTAAACCTTCATTCCCTTCAGTAGGATCTGGAGGAGCTTTCAGTATTCCTCATACTTAAGACAGTAATTGAAACTGAATGATAATTTCATGACCCAGAAGTAACAAAGCAACTTATTTTTCAACTTTGAAAAAAAATACTGTCAGATGGAATGAGAGATTAATTATACATCAAGACTACTCATCCCCAAATGAATGAATTTATAGCTCTGTTGGTATAGATACAGCTACATCCACATAATAAAGCTTAACTTGGAAGCTGAATTGAAAACACTGTTGTGGCCTTATTATCTCATACCTTTGTTATATTTTTAGAAACAAATCATGCTAAGACAGTTTGTGAATCAACAGCTAAAATAATTCTGTGTTTAAAATTGGCTCCTAGGTATTTTTTGCGTAACAAGGCTCAGAGTGTAAAGTGAATGAAGGGTGGGAAAAGGAAAGGAATTATTTTTAGTGTCACTTCCTAAGAAGTGCTAAGGGGTATTTTTCCTGGTAAATAAGCAACTACTTATCTGAGGTTTATAAAGTTTTCATTGTCAATGGAATAAGCAGATCCCAATGGTACAGAAAAACCTTAAAGGGGAATTAACTGTTACTTTGGGGTGAAATTTCACTTAAGATGTTCCCACTACAAAAAACATTTGATTAAATAATAAATAGGTTCGTTATTCCTTTTGTAACCCCAATATAGTATTCTAGCCAACATTTTATTTTTACAAGTAGACATAGAAGTCTTTAGCTAGATCAACAGAAAGATTCATTATTTATTTCATTAAAATTTAATCCCAGCCGGGTGCAGTGAGTCACACCTGTAATCTGAGCACTTTGGGAGACTGAGGCAGGCAGATTGCTTGAGCCCAGGAGTTTGAAACCAGCCTGGGCAACATGACAAGACCCCTGTCTCTACTAAAAACACAAAAAATTGACCTGGCATGGTGGCACCCACCTGTGATCCCAGCTACTTGGGAGGCTGGGGTGGGAGAACCACTTGAGCCCAGGAAGTTGAGGCTGTAGTGGGCCATGATCATGCCATTGCATCCCAGCCTGGGCAACAGGAGTGCAACTGCATCTAAAAAAAAGTAAAGTAAAATAAAATTTAATCCCATTAAAAAATATGGGCAATCTGTCATAAGACTACTTAATGATTAGTTTCTAGGCATAGCTTTCAGCCTTACATTTAAATTAATGCTGTATGTAAAATGCATTAGTTTTACCAGTTTCCAGAAGTTCTGCTTTTGAAACCTACACTCGGGTTCCTCTGAGGATTTCTTCCACAGGTCTTGGTGTTCCAGCACATGAATGGCTGGTGCTGATCGGATGCAGGGTTCGTGGTGGTGGATTGTGTCTCCTGGCGGACTGCACTGTGTATGACAGAGATGATGTACTAAACTCCATAGCTCGATTTGGCCAATTTCGAGTTGAAAGGATGGTACTGGACCCAGGCCTCAGAAGTAGCTTGTCATCAAGATCTCTAGTAGCCAAATCAGAAACCCACAGTGAAGTAAAGATCTCTATGTAAACAAAGACAAGACTCACGGGTTAAAGCCTTAGATTAGAAACTACACTTAGGGGAAAATAAAGCAAAAATAAAAACCTTTCAATAAGTAACCTAGTTTCCAAATGGTACTCTAGCTCAGGCATGAGAATCTGTTCTTAAAAGTAGAACATTATTTCAATCATAAACATAGTTTACTAGAATGGCCATTTGGGAAGGCAAGTCTGTTATTCACCTGCCATCACAGTCACTTTTAGTCACCAGTGAAGGCAAGCCTGAAGGACACCTACTCCAAAGTGCTTCCCAAAAATGTGCCACAGGGGCTGATTCCTATTTTAAGGCATTCTTTTATGCTGAAAGATTGTTACCTGAAAGACAAATATTGCTGCTTGGGAGTAGCTGTGGTTTCAGTGTGGCTCCTACTGTGGCGATTAAAGTGCTGAGCAAGTTGGAGCTGGCAGGGATTTGGGTTTGGGTTCCTTGAAAGCTGGGAGTGGGCAAAGGGTCTTGGGCTGCCCAGAGCCAGAGCTGTGGGACCACAGTAGCCTCATCTGCATACATAACTGAAAGACAACCCTTTTCTGTAAGTCTTCCAATAAATAAAATACTACACCTAAACAGTTCAGTAGCTTAAATACTGCGCTACAGATTCAGGTGTATTTTGTGTTTTAAAGCAAATGAGAGGACATTTGACTATTTTAAGACATCTAAGGCTGGGCATGGTGGCTCACGCCTGTAATCCAAGCACTTTGGAGGCCAAGGCGGGCAGATCACCTGAGGTCAGGAGTTCAAGACCAGCCTGACCAACATGGTGAAACCCTGTCTTTAAAAAAAAAAAAAAAAGACATCTAAGAGTATCTGAACAGTGAAATCGAAGGGAAGTGAAAAGAATAAAGCAGCTAAGCTCTGCCATTTGCTCCTACAGCTTTCAGCAAGTTCCTCAACCTTTCAGGCCACTTTGGTGTCCTCTAGTGCAAAATGGCCCCGTGCTTGGAGGACTTTGAAGAGATCCTGCCCGTCAAGGTATAGGACTAAACTATTCTGGTCTTCCTGCCTCTCTAGCAATTAATTCACTTATGCTTTTTTCTTTTTTTAAACACACCCTAACTGCTTTCTAATTACACAAGTTTAGGCTTTAGCCCTTTATTTTTTCTATGAACTTCTAGATTTGATTATGATCTCTAGCCAGGTGACTTTTAGGTCAATTTCCAGATCTGAAATCTCTTCCACATTTCCAGTGAGAATGGCCCATCTTTTCCACCAAAACAGCCTTCTTTGAAGCTTGAAATCTGAGATGACTGATTCCTCTATTTCTGTTTAATTCCACTTACTTGACAATATCTCCCAAAATAACTCATTCCTTTCTCACCCTGTGTGGTCGCTTGAGTGCATACCCTTAACAGCTCGTGTGGACTCCTGCACTGACCCCTTACCTTTAGTCCCTTCCACTCTATCCAATCGATGTTCCACTGCTGTGAAGTCGACCTTTCAAATTCCTGATTTAAACGTATGTGCTGCCAAACCAAAACTCATACATTGCTGGAAGAAGTGTAAAGTGGTACAACTCCTTTGGGAAACTATGGCAGTTTCCTATGAAACTAAATATATACCTGTCCTGTGACCCTTTTACTTCCAGGAATCAATTCAAGAGAAATGAGACCGTAAAACCACAAAAAAGACACATTAGAATATTTATAGTACCTTTACATGTAATACCTCTAACCTGGAAACAATCCGTGTGTTAGTTAACAGGAGAAAAGATAGATAAATCATGCGTATTCTTACAATTGAATACTCCTCAGCAAGACAACAGGTCATATGAAACGACGTGGATGAATCAGAAAACATGACACTCAAAACCCTCCACAATCTGGTCCTAACGTTCATAAGTTCCATAGTCACTTCTTTCTTGCTAATCACACCATGGCCTATTTTAATTCTAGAAGATTGCCAATTATCTTTGTCCGGAAACATTAAAGTTCTGCCCCATCTTCCATCCTTTTATATCAAAAATGGTCTGCCTCTCCTAAATGTTTTGTATTTTCCTATCTCCAAACCTTTCCCCATATCATTCCTATACCTAGAATGCCCCTGCTGCTCTCCTTTGCTTATCCAAAGCCCCATCTTTCAAGGACAAGTTCCAAACCAACACTTACCCACCAGAATGCTTTGGGGCTGTCACAGCACTCATTCTGGACAGCACGCGCATGGCATTCAGTCACAAAAATGTCACATACGGTTAGGACTCTTTTTACCCAAGTATGTGTTCTCTTTCCAGTTATATTACCAGCCCCCTGAGGGTGGAGTATTTTTGTTTTTTGTGTTTTTGTGGTTGCTTGGTCGGCACTCAGTAAATGCATGCCGATGAACTGATTTTCCTTTTCTCTATTTCCTTTTTACACTCTATAGTCTGAAAATGTTGAACCTCTTACAGGAGCTTGTCCATTAGGGAGAGATTTCTTGGCTGTAGAGGCATCCCGTGAACCAAGAGACCATTCATGTTTGGCTGATGACTGCTTGCTTGACAGAGACTCATCTACATGTCGAAAGAAGACAGTACTTATGATTGGTTGGAGAAGATACCTGTTTGGTTTCCCAACCTTGCCTAAAGTTCATATTTTCAATTTGGTTATTTATACTTTTTCCCTGTGCTTTAATTTTTATAATATCTCGGGGACCTTAGCTGGGGCCCCAAGTCAACTATCCATGTGATAGAGCCCCTCCTTTCCTCTCCATTCCTAAATGATAATAGGTAGGGGGAAGCCTGATCAATCTGGATGAAAACAATTAACAGACCTCTCATGGGGAGTGAGGACCTTCATTATTATTATTATTGTTTACATTATAGTAGAAGAGAAAACTCAGACAAAATATGGAACAGTAATAGAAAATAATAAGGGGAAACTCTAACTTGATCTCATTCATCATCACACAATCCTGCACTCTGTACAAAATAATCCTCTTTCACTACCTGTGGAGCAGGTCAGCTCTCGGTAACCTAAATCCTAAAGACTGTACTAGGAGGTAAGCTTATCTGTTCTAATTTTAGCAGGATGTAATGTTTCTTGGACTGGCACTGCCATCCTAGACCCCTGCTTGTTTTCTCAGATCATCAGCTCATTACCTTTTCTGGCCATCTCCACTGCCATAGAATGTATTTTCCTTCCTCTTTCTCTTCAGAATGTTTTAATTAACTCTTCTTCCTTAGATCATGAACGACCAGAATGTCTTATTTATTCAGGGCTTAGGCTACTAAACCATGGCCACTTCAACATGCAGAAGTGCTTTATCACCACCAAAGGAACATTAATTTACCTGGTTCATCCCTGGTGTAATGACTTATGAGCCTTCCTAATTTTCTTTTCTTTTTTTTTTTTGAGATAGTCTCGTTCTGTCACCCAGGTTGGAGTGTAGTGGTGTAGTCTCAGCCCACTGCTACCTCTGCCTCTCAGGTTCAAGTGATTCTCCTGCCTCAGCCGCAGAGTAGCTGGGACTACAGGTGCCTGCCACCATACCCAGCTAATTTTTGTATTTTTTAGTATAGATGGGGTTTCACCATATTAGCCAGGTTGGTCTTGAACTCCTGGCCTCAAGTGATCCACTCACATTGGCCTTATTTTCTTTTTAAATACCTGTTTTGTAAATCCAGCTGCACAGTATCTGGCCAGTATACCAACAAAGATCTGGTAGTAAAACCAGAAAAAAACAAAACAAAAACTAGATCTGGTAGTAAAATCCAGGGTTGGTAATGTGGCCTAAAGAGTAGATTAGAATTTCTCTCTCTCTCTCTCTCTGTTTGAGACAAGCTGGGCAACATAGTGAGACTCCTGTCTCTAAAAACCAAACAGGGACCAGGTGTGGTGGCTCACGCCTATAATCCCAGCACATTGGGAGGCTGAGGCAGGTGGATTGTATGAGGCCAGGAGTTTGAGACCGGCCTGGCCAATATGGTGAATCCCTGTCTCTACTAAAAATACAGAAATCAGCTGAGTGTGGTGGTACACTTCTGTAATCCCAGGTACTTGGGAGGGTGAGGCACAAGAACTGCTTGAACCTGGGAGGCAGAGGTTGCAGTGAACCGAGATCACACCAGTGCACTCTAGCCTGGGTGACAGTGAGAGACTGAAAAATAAAAACAAAAAATAAACAGGTGGGCCATGTTGAGAGAACAAGGAAGGAAAAAGCCAAAAGGAAGGAGGCATTCAAAGGACGATGTAAAGGCCATAGAGAATCTATGAAACCACTTTCATAGATTTCAACCACTAAGATGAGCCCTTTTTATTATCCTCCATTTTTCCCAAAACAGATTTAGGCTGACCACATGGTTAATTCTAGATTGCACAACGTATGGATGCCTCCTCAGAAGAGCTAAGAAGTATTTATCAACTCTAATTTGCTATTAATATTTTAAACTAAAACTGACCAAGGCAAAGAGTCACCGATTATGATAAACACATAACTGTACTAAAAAGTATTAAGTCAGAAATCATACAAGTAAGGCAAACAACTGAGCAAATTTCCTCTGGTGAGAGTAGCTCCAGAGTCTCCAACTGATCCCTCTGGGGCTTACCGGATTTGAGATGGACAGCACCTTAGACTGTGGCACTCGTGGTAACACCAAAGGGTGTGGTTCACTCAGCACACAGGGACTTTCTGAATTGGGTCTGGTAACTGCAGCATTACTCTCATCATCTGGGCAAAGGAATAAAATCTATTATCCATGGGTAATCTTCTGGCCCATAGCAACAGTATTGTGAAAAAAATCTCTCCTGAGAATTCATAGTCTTCACTTATTTTTGCAGCCCAATTTTATACCACCTGCATGATTCAAAAAAACCCTCAAACCAAGACTAGTTGAAAGTGGTTTCCCAGGCACCTGGCAGAAGGAGAAAAATATCTCTAGAGCAAAGTCGTCCCACACACCTTTGGAGCTGATGGAAATGTTCTATAACTGTGCTATTCAGTGTGGTAGCCACTACCCTCCTGTAGCTATAGAGCGCTTAGCATGTGGCTAGGGAGTGAGGAACTAAATTTTATTTTTAATTTTAACTGATGGCCAAACGTGGCTGATCCCTACTCTAATGGACAGTGTAGCTCTAGTGGAGCCTTAATTAATCCAGACCTCAATTTTGACAGGTAAAGTTCTGAGATTAGAAACTGCTGTTAAGAATCATATCCAGAAAGAAACAAGGCATCTTGAAAAAGAGCAAGCAAAAACAACATAATCAGATCAGCAAGGATTTCAGAAATTGGAATTGATAGATGTAGAATATAAAACAAAAGCAGAAATAGAAAATATGACTAAGAACAAGACACCATAAAAATGATCAAGCAGGCTGGGCATGTTGGCTTATATCTGTAATCAAAGAACTTTGAGAGGTGGAGGCAGACTGTGTGAGGCCAGTAGTTCAAGACCAGCCTGGGCAACATAAGGAGACCCCCATCTTTACAAAAAAAAATTAAAATTAGGTAGCCATGGTGGCATGTGCCCTTGGTCCCAGCTACTTGGGAGGCTGAGGTGAGAAGATAACTTCAGCCCAGGAGGTTGAGGCTGTAGTGAGCTGTGATGGCACCACTGCACTCCAGCCTGGACAACAGAGTGAAACCCTGTTTCAATAAATAAATAAATATATATTAAACTTTTCTTCATTAATTTAGACTTTAAAACTCTTGATTAAAAGTTAAAATGATTATAAAAAGTTATAAATACGTGATTACATTTCATCAGAGTTTTATATACTTTGAGGTTAAAGTTCACAGACCATGTAGTCCTACTGCATATATTGCAAACCTGCATGTAGTTGGCTTCTTCACACAGAGTTTGGAAAAGTTGCCCTAATAGTAGAGATAGGTTTGTACCAGCAACTTTCAGTTTGTTCTAACAACAATGAACCAACTGGTCCACGACAAAGCCAAAACTGCAAGTGTTCTCTTTCTATACTTCCAGGTATTCCAATAAAAAGTAATGACAACAGCTAACATTTACTGAGCTCTTACGTATTCCAGGATCTGCCCTATATACTTCGATGTAACTTATTTCTTAAACAATCCTATGAAACAGATATTAGTATTTATACTCATTTTATTGATAAAGAAACTGAGGCTCAAAGAAGTTAAGCAACTTGCCAAGGGTGTAGATAAAGTTAGTGTCACAGCCAGCAGTCAAGCCCAGTTGTCTGGCAATGTAGTCTGTGCTTTAACCATTAAATAACACTGCTTCTCATGGGGATCACATTTCAGAGCAGGGTTGGCAAACTATGGCCCATGGGCCAAAACTGGCCTGCTACTGAAAAAAATATATATACATTGTGGTAAAATACCTGTGATTTACCATTTTACACTCATGTCACTTAACAGCAGGGATACATTCTGAGAACTGCATCGTTAGGTAATTTTGTCATTGTGTGAATGTCTGAGTGTATTTACACAAACCTGGGTGGTACAGCCTATTACGCACCTAAGCTAAATTGTATATAGCTTGTGCCTAGGCACAGGCCTGTACAGCATATTACTGTGCTGAAAACTGAAGGCAACTATAATTCAATGGTATTTATTTAAACAAGCCTACACAGAAAAGGTACGATAAAATTATGGTACAAAAGATAAAAATTGTACACTTGCATAGGGTGCTTACCATGAATGGAGCTTGCAGGAATGAAAGTTGTTCTGAGTGAGTGAGTGAGTGGTGAGTGAATGTGAAGGCCTGGATCATTACTGTACACTACTGTCTATAAATGCTGTACACTTAGGTTACACTACATTTTTTAGAAATTTCTTTTTCTTCAATAAATTACCCTTAGTTTATTTTACTTTTTTAATTTGTAAATTTATTTTTTTAACCTTTTGATCCTTTTGAAATAACCGCTTAAGACATAAACACTGTACAGCTGTATAAAAATATTTTCGATTTCCTTATTCTGTGAGGTTTGCCCATTTTAAAATTAGTTTTTACTGTTCAATCTTTTTTGTTAAAATTTAAGACACAAACACACACATTAGCCTAGGCTTACTTGATATAAACTTACTTTGTAATTTTTTATTTATATATTACCCTTCAATAAAAACATTTTTTTTCCTTTTACTCCTGGCAAGCTGTGATTCAATAAGAAGTTTAAAAATGTGTTTGCTGGATTTCTCCTTCCAGCCAAGATGGAGTAACATGAACTGGGTTTACTCTCCTGCTTAAAACAACCAATAAAACACACAATGGCTTTCAAGACACTGTACATCAGATAATGGAAGTTCATAAACCCTGAGATGATAAACAAATGAGACTAGACCTGCAATTGCCTTGAAAAAGTTTCCAAGATATGGCATAAAGAGAGGGAACTGGCCGGGAACAGTGGCTCAAGCCTGTAATCCCAGCACTTTGGGAGGCTGAGGTTGGCGGATCACAAGGTCAGGAGTTCAAGACCAGCCTGGCGTGGCGAAACCCCGTCTCTACTAAAAATACAAAAATTAGCCAAGCGTGGTGGTACATGCCTGTAATCCTAGCTACTCAGGAGGCTGAGGCAGGAGAATCGCCTGAACCTGGAAGGTGGAGGTTGCAGTGAGCTGAGATCGCATCACTACACTCCAGCCCAGGTGACAGGGTGAGACTCCATCTTAAAAAAAAAAAATGCACACAAAGAGTGGGAACTAAGGCACAGCCTGGTAACTCCCTGAGTTGACAGTCCAGAGACCAAGGCAGCTAGGATTCACAGAACAGAGTATCTTAGAGAAGAGAAATATACAGGAAGAGAACCCATGGTGTCTGTAGAGGGTGGGGCATCGTTTGAGCATTCAGAATATACTGATCAGTGTACATATCAGAAGCCACCTGAGGCTATGGGGAAAAAAAACTAAAAGAAGGGAACAAGGAATACTGCCTGTTCCTACCCTCCAAACTAGAACAAAATCTATTCATGGAGCACTGGGCAGAATAAGATCTTGCCCCAGTAGGTGGGTAACAAATTAGCTCTAGATTGAACATTGCTCCAGACCTAACAAATCATAAAAGAAAGACCAGAATGGATCAAACTGTTTGCAAGTAACTTAATAGCATTTCAGAACAAAGCTCAAGAAAATATGCAGTAATAAAAAGAAAAAAGGAAATTCACCCCTTATGTAACATTCACAATGTCGAATCCAGTCAAAGATCACCAGGAAAATACAAGTCATAATGAAGAGAATATAAATAACTGAAACCAACCTAGAATCAACAGATATTCAAGTTATTCCATTATTCCACATTTTCAAAAAATCAAATAGAGGCATGGAAAATATATATGTCTTTCTCAAATCATACTTTGAGATGAAGATGAAAATATCTTACGTGAAATTCTGTAAATGAGCAAATTCAACACTTTAGAAGAAAAGATTAATGAACTTGATGGCATAACAATAGAAATTACCCAAAACGAAATACATAAAGGAAAAAATAAAATAAAATTTTTAAAGCATGAGTTATCTGATGGATAAACAGTGATCAAACGGACTAATTTGAAAGTGACTGAAGTCCTGATGGAGGATGTGGGACAGAAAAAAAAATCTGAAGAAATAATTGCTGAAAGCTTTCCAAACAAACAAACCTACAGCTCTATGAAGTTCAACAGACTCCAGGCAGAAGAAACAAAGAAAATTACATTAAGGCACATCATAATCAAATTGTTCAAAACCAGTGCTAAAGAGAAAATCTTAACAGCAGCCAGAAAAAGAAAAGATACATCCACACAGGAACAAAGGATGACAACAGATTTATTTTCAGAAACAATGCAAGTGAGAAGAAAATGAACAGCATTTTAAAATTACTAGGAGGCAAACTATTGACATAGAGTTCATAAAATTATTTTGCAAAAATGAAAGCCAAATAAAAGAATTTTCATATCTACAAAAGAAACAATTCATCACTAGCAGAAACACATACACGCAATGTTAATGGATATTCATCAGGCTGAAAGAATTAAAAAAAATGTTTTTAGCTTATAAAATTCATATAACATAAAATTCACCATTTTAACCATTTTAAAGTGTACAGTTAAGTGGTTTTTAATATATTCACAGTGTTGTACAATCATTACCACTATGTAATTTTGAAAAATTTCCATCACTCTGAAAAGAAACACGGTACCTCTCAATTTTCCTCTTTATCCATTCCCTGGCAACCACTAAACTACTTTCTGTCTCCACAGCTCTGCCTATTCTGGATATTTCATATGAATGGAATCACACAATATACATGGTGCTTTGTGATTGTCTTCTTTCATTTGGCATATTTTCAAGGTTCATCCATGTTGTAATGTATCAGTACTTAATTGCTTTTTATGGCTGAATAATATTCCATTGCATGGTATACTAGTCTGCTAGGGCTGCCATAACAAAATAGCACTGATTGGGTGGACTGCACAATGGACATTTATTTTCTCACAGTTCTGGAGGCTAGAAGTCCAAGATCAAGCTGCTAACCTGGTTTTGAGGTGGCCATCTTCTTTCTGTGTCCTCACATGGCCTTTCTCCACATGTGTGTAGAAAGAGATCTCTGGTGTCCCTCTTCTTACAAGGACACTGGCCCTGTTGGATTAAGAGCCCACTCTTATGACTTCACTTAACCTGAATTACCTCTCTAAAAGCGCTATCTTCAAATACAGTCACTTTGGGTTGTAACATAAGAATTTTAGGGGGAAACAATTCATCCCATAACATAGAGATAAACCAAAATTATGTTCATTCATCAGCTGATGGACATTTGAGTTGTTTCCACTTTTTGGCTCTTATGAATAATGCTGCTAGGAGCATTCATATACAAGTTTTGTATGGACATACGTTTTCTCTTCTCTTGGTTATAAACCTATGAGTGGAATTTTCTTGGTCTTTTAATAATTTTATGTTTAACATTCTGAGGAGCTGCCAAATTGTTTCCACAGTAGCTCCAGAGTTTTTTGTTCTCACTGCAATGTGTGAGGGTTCCAATTTCTCCCTATCTTTACTAACACTTGGATTTTTCCTTTAAGAAATAAAATTTAATTAAAAAGGTATATACACATAGCCATCCTAGTGGGCATGAGGTGGTATCTCAATGTGGTTTTGATTTTCATTTCCCTAATGACTAACGATGTACAACATCTTTCATGTGCTTATCAGCCATTTGCATATCTTCTTTGGAGAAATATCTATCCAAATCATTTGTCCATTTTTAAATTGGGTTGTTTGAGCTTTTATTATTGAGATGTAGTTCTTTATTCCAGATACTAGATCCTTATATGATTTGTAAATATTTTCTTCCATTTTACAGCTTGTCTTTTGCTTCCTTGATAACGTCTTTTATGGCACAAAGTTTTACATTATGATGAAGTCCTAACTATCATTTTTTCTTTTGCTGCTCATGCTTTTGGTGTGATATCTAACAATGTATTATCAAATCCAAGGTCATGAAGACTTACTCCTTTGTTGTCTTCTGAGAGTTTTATAATTTTGGCTCTTAAATTTAGGTCCTTGATCCATTGTGAGTTGATTTTTGTATATAGTTTGAAGTCAGAATCCAACTTTATTCTTTTCCATGTGAATATACAGCTGTTCCAGCATCATCTGTTGATGAGGCTATTCTTCTCCCATTGAATGATCTTGGCACCCTTGAAAACTAATTGGCCACATATGTGTGGGTATATTTCTGAGCTTTTGATTTTATTCCACTGATCTATTTGTCTGTCCTTAGGCCAGTTCCACACAGCCAGTTTTGATTACTGCAGTTTTGTAATAATTTTTTAAATCAGGAGATATGAATCCTCTACCTTTATTCTTTATAAATACTGTTTTGACTATTCAAGGTCTCTTGCATTTCCATATGAACTTCAGGATCAGCTTGCCCATTTCTGCAAAAAAAGGCAGCTGGAATTTTGATAGGGATTGTACTGAAACTGTAGAGTATTTGGGGAGTATTACCATTTTAACAATATTAAGCCTTCTACTCCATAAACATAGGATGTCTTTCCATTTCTTTAGTCTCCTCTACATTCTTTCTATAATATTACATAGTTTTCAGTGTGGAAGTCATCTTTTTTTTTCGAGACAAAGTCTCACTCTGTCACCTAGGCTGGAGTGCAGTGACATGATCTCGGCTCACTGCAACCTCCGCCTCCCAGGTTCAAGCAATTCTTCTGCCTCAGTCTCCCGAGTAGCTGGGACTACAGGCACACGCCACCATGCCCTGATAATTTTTGTATTTGTACTAGAGACAGGGTTTCACCATATTGGCAGGAGCCTAAGACAAGAAATTATCTGAAAAGATATACATATGTGGCTTTTGTCTAATTTAGTGAACCCCACTGATACCATGGAGAGCCATAAAGTTTTTGAGAAAATTATTTCAATAGAAAAACTGCCAATTTGGACTAATAGGACAGAGTCAGTACAAAATGGAAGAAGGTTGTCAGACCCCCAAAATTGTACGGCAATAAGCAGCCTGATAAAACTACTTCGCTACAAACATGTGCTGCCTTTCATGAAGAAAGGGAAGATGATTGAGAGGGTGAAACCAGTCCCCTGAGAATGGAGCAGAGAACTGCAGAGGATGAGTCCCAGGTCTTGAAACTTAATCATGGAACTCCCACTATTTTTTACCCAGCTAGATTTCAGAATTGCTATGAACCCTTTTTTTTACCTTCCATTCCCCTCTCCTTTTAACTGTACTGTCTATAACTATTATCCTTTGCCTGTCCCACTCTTGTATGTTGGGCATGTTGGGGGCCAGACAGCTTGTCTCTATAGTTTCACAGATCTACAGATAGAGAGAAATTGTGTACAGAACCTGTACTGAATGGATTACATTTAGGAACATCATCCACACCAGGACCTGATTTAGATGGTAAGATTCTGGATCTTTGAGCTGATGCTACAATGGGATGGGACTCTTGAAAACCTTGGGAGTGAGGTGAATATATTTTGCATGTGGGAGAACATGACTTATCGGGGCATGTGGTAGAAAGACTCTAAGATGGCCCCTGCACGATTCCTACGTCTTGGTGTTCATGCCTACATGAAATCCCCCCACTCTGAGTGTGAGCAAGACTTATGACTTGCTTCAGACCTATAATAGATAATGGTAAAGTGATGGGATGTCATTCCCATGATCATGTTATATTATATAGGCTTTTGTCGTTAGTTCACTAGCTCTCAGTCTTTCTTCCTGGCTTTGAAGAATAAAGCTGACATAAATACTATAGCTCTAAGGAACTGTATGCTTCTAAGAACATACAAAAGTGTAAGTGGCTCCTTCTCTAATTAAGTCTCCACATAAGAGCCCAGCCTGACCAACAACTTGATCACAGCCAGGTGAAACCCTAAACAGAGAAATAGCTAAGCTGTTGCTGGACTTCAGACTCACAAATGTGTGAGGTATGTTGTTTGAAGCCACTGTTTGTGATAATTTGTTGAGCAGCACAGAAAACCTATATAAACAGGGAAAAATCGAAAGCATTCCCTAAAACTAAAACAAGACAAGGATGCCCAGTTTCACCACTCTTACTGAACAAGTCCTTGTCAGAGCGATCAGGCAAGAGAAAATAACAAAAGGCATCCAAATTGGAAAAGGGGAAGTCAAATTGCCCTGTTTGCTGATGGCATGATCTTATATCTGGAAAACCTGAAAGACTCTATCAAAAAACTTAGATTTGATAAATAAATTTAGTAGTTTCAGGATACAAAATTAAGACCCAAAAATCAATAGGGTTTCAATACACCAATAATGATCTAGCCAAGGACTAAATCAAGAAAGCAACTCAATTTACAATAGCTATAAGAAAAGAAACTATCCTTGGCCGAGCACGGTGGCTCACACCTGTAATCCTACCACTTTGGGAGGCTGAGGTGGGTGGATCACCTGAGGTCAGGAATTCAAGACCAGCCTGACCTTCTTTTTTAAAAAAAAAAAAAAAAACTATCCAGGATTATATTTAAGCATAGAGGTGAAAAATCTCTATAAGGAGAACTACAAAACACTGACTAAAGAATTCATACATGATACAAACAAATGGAAAAACATCCCATGTTCATGGATTGAAAAAATCCATATTGTTAAAATGACCATATACATCAAGCAGTCTACAGATTCAACACAATCACTATCAAATTACCAATGCCATTTTTCACAGAATTAGAAAAAAATACTAAAATTCACGTGGAACCAAAAAGAGCCCAAGTAGCCAAAATAATCCTAAGCAAAAAGAACAAACCTGGAGGAATCACATTACCTGACTTCAAATTATACAGGGGCATAGTAATCAAAACAGCCTGGTACTGTTTTAAAAACAGGCACACAGACTAATGGAACGGAATAGAAAATGAAGAAATGAAGCCATATACCTACAATCAACTGATCTTTGACAAACGTCAACACAAATATACACTGGGGAAAGGAGTCTATTAAATAAGTAGTGCTGGGAATACTGGATGGCCATATGCAGAAAAATGAAACTGGATCCATACCTCTTACCATATATAAAAATTAACTCAAGATGGATTAAAGGCTTAAATCTAAGACCTGAAACTATAAAAATCCTAGAAGAAAACCTAAAAAAACTCTTCTGGACATTGTCCCGGCAAAGAGTTTAAGACCAAGTCTTCAAAAGCAAATGCAATGAAAACAAAAATAGACAAATGGGATTCAATTAAACTAAAAACCTTCTGCAGAGCAAAAGAAATAATCAACAGAATAAACAGACAACCTACAGAATGGCAAAATGGCAAAAATAAATGTGCAAACTATGCATCTGACAAAAGACTAATATCCAGAATCTACAAGAACTTCAACTCAGTAAGAAAACAATAAATAACCCTATTTAATTTTTTTTTTTTTTTTGCAGAATATTAAAGCTATCCCATAAAACCCCTTGTCTTTTGGTTATACAATAAAATGCCAATCTAGGTGCTATTGTGATGGGATTTTGCAGAAACAATTAAGGTTCCTCATTTGACTTTAAAATAGGGAAACTGCCTGGATGTGGTGGCTCATGCCTGTAGTTCAGCACTTTGAGAGGCTGAGTCAAGAGGACTACTTGAACCTAGGAGTTCAAGACCAGCCTGGGCAACATAGTAAGACCTGGTCTCCACAAAATTCAAATTTAAAAAATTAGCCAGGCATGGTGCTGTGTGCCCAATCTCAGCTATTTAGGAGGCTAAGCTAGGAGTATCACTTGAGCCCAGGAGGTTGAGGCTGCCACTGTGATCATGCCACTGCACACTAGCCTGAGCAAGAGAGACTCTGTCTCAAAAAATCAAAACAAATAAATTAAATAGAAGGATTTTTTAAAATTTCTATTTATATGTTTTTAAGTATATCTTATTCTGTAGTGTCTAATACACTTCTTTTTATTTTATTTTATTTATTTTTAATGGATTGGAGGTGGGACGGGAGAATCACAAGGAATCAGGTGTTCAGAGGAATGTATTGAGTAGAGGTGAGGAACTAGGATGTTGAAAAGTAAAAAAAGGAGAGAAGGAGAGGAAGAAAGAGGAAGAAAAAGAGGGAGAGAGAACAGGAATATTGCTTCATTCTAAAAATGGGTATTAATAATGGCCAATCAATATTTTGTGTATTTAAAATGGAGAACTCTATAAATATTTATTGAGTTTACTTGTTCCAGATCTGAGTTGAAGTCCTGGATATCCTTATTAATTTTCTGTCTCGTTGAGTCTAAATCTCGTTATGGGTCTTATCTGGGTATTAAGATCTCTTATTGTTGCATTGATCCTTTTACCACTGTATCTTTGTTGCTTTGAAATCTATTTTACCAAATGTGAGAATTGCAACTCCTGCTTTTTGTTTATTTATTTTTGCTCTCCATTTGGTTGGTAAATTTTTCTCTAACCCTTTGTTTTGAGTCTTTGTGTATCTTTGGATATACCGTTAGGTTTTGGCTGTATCTTTTGATTGGGGGATTTAGTCAATTTAAATTTAGGGTTACTGCCATATGATGTTAACTGGCTATTTTATCCATTCGTTTATGTAAATTCTTCTTTATGTTGATGCTCTTTACTTTTTGGTATATTTTTAGAAAGGCTCATACTGGTTGTTCCTTTCTATGTATAATGCTTCTTTCAGAAGTTCTTATAAAGCAGGCCTGGTGGTAATAAAATCTCTGAGTACTTCCTTGTTCATAAAAGATTTTATTTTTCCTTCAATTGTGAAGCTTAGTTTGGCAGGATATGAGATTCTAGGCTGAAAGCTCTGTTCTTTAAGTATGTTGAATATTGGCCCCCACTCTCTTCTGGCTTGTAGGGTTTCCGCTGAGAGATCTGCTGTAAGTCTAATATGCTTCCCTTTATGGGTAACCTGGCCTTTCTCTCTGGCTGCCCTTAGTATTTTCTCCTTTTCAATCCTGGTGAATCTGACGATTATGTGCCTTGGAGTTGCTCTTCTTGAGGAATATCTTTGTGGTGTTCTCTGTATTACCTGGGGTTGAATAGTGTCCTGCTTTGCTAGATTGGGAAAATTTTCCTGGATGATATCCTGAAAAGTATTTTCCAGCTTGGATTCATTCTCTCCATCACATTCAGGTACACCAATGAAACGTAGATTGGGTCTTTTCACATAGTCCCATATTTCTTGGAGACTTTGCTCATTCCTTTTCATCCTTTTTTCTCTATTCTTGTCTTGTCATTTTATTTCATTAAGTTGGTCTTCGACCTCTGATATCCTTTCTTCTGCTTGATCCATTCTGCTATTTAAACTTGTGCATATTTCGCTAAATTCTCGTGTTGTATTTTTCAACTCCATTAGTTCATTTATATTCCTCTCTATATTGTCTATTCTTTTCAGCATTTCATCAAACCTTTTTTCAAAGTTCTTAGTTTCTTTACATTGGGTTAGAACAAGTTCTTTTAATTCCCAGAAGTTTCTTATCATTCACCTTCTGAAGCCTACTTCAGATAATGGAACACAGTCCTTTTCCATCAGGGCTTGTTCCATTGCTGATGAGAAACTGCAATCCCCTGTAGAGGGAGAGGGGTTCTGATTTTGGGTATGCTCGGCCTTCTTAGGCTGGTTTTTTTCCCTTTATTATAAATTTATCCATCTGTCGTCTTTACAATTACCGCCTTTCTAATTAGGTTTCTGAGTCCACGTCCAATTTATTGATTCCTGGTGCTGGGATTCAAGCAACCCACTGCGCTGGCCAAAATAGCAGCGATAAGACTGACGGTGCTCTTCTGCCGGGAATCGCTGGTCTGGCTTCCTTCTTGAGTCCGCAACAAGCAGCTCTGCCTTCCTGGAGCTCCAAACACCGGTCAGTAAGGGAACCAGTCCCGTTTACTCTGCATGAAGAGCTGCCGCGCCAAGGCGCCGGCAAAACCGCTGCGCTGGCCAAAAGAGTCGCGCTGGTGCCCCGTGGGGCTCCTCCACTAGAAATCTGCCGGTCCGTGAGTGACGAAAATTCATCTGAAAGTGTGGCGTCCTCTCGTTCTCTGAGCTTTCACTGGGAGCTACAATCCTGAGCTGTTAGTGATCAGCCATCTTGGATCTCTCCGAAAACAATAAATAACCCTATTTAAAGCTGCAAGAATTAATGTGAATTGCAGGACACATTGATCATCCAAAAACAAACAAACAAACAAAAACAAACCCTATTTAAAAGGGGAAAAAGAACATGAACAGGCTGGGCATGGTGGCTCACACCTGTAATCCCAGTACTTTGGAAGGCCAAGAAGGGCAGAATGCTTGAGCCCAGGAGTTTGAGACCAGCCTGGGCAACGTGGGTAAACCCTATCTCTACAAAAATATACAAAAAATTAGCCAGGTGTGGTAATGTATTCCTGTGGTCCCAGCTACTCAGGAGGTTGAAGTGGGAGGATCACTTGAGCCAAGAAGGTCAAGGCTGCAGTGAGCTGTGACTGTGCCACTGTACAGAGAGAGAGAGAGAGAGAGATCTGAGAGAGAAACAAACAAAACAGGACATGAACAGATATTTTTCAAAAGAAGACATCTAAGCATCCAACAAACATATGAAAAATGACAGACATTGGCAAGGATGCAGAGAAAAGGGAACACTTATATAGTCTGTGGGGAAGTAAGTTAGTACAGCCTTTATGGAAAAGAGCATGGAGATTTCCCAAAGAACTAAAAATAGAACTACCATTTGATCCAGCAGCTGCTCTACTGAGTATATATGCAAAGAGAAATCATTATATCAAAAAGATACTTATAGCCGAGTACAGTGGCTCATGCCTGTAATCCCAGCACTTTGGGAGGCCGAGGCAGGCGGATCACCTGAGGTCAGGAGTTCAAGACCAACCTGGCCAACATGGTGAAACCTTATCTCTACTAAAAATATAAAACATTAGCTGGGCATGGTGGCATGCACCTGTAATCCCAGCTACTCAGGAGGCTGAGGCAGGAGAATCACTTGAACCCAGGAGGTGGAGGTTGTAGTGAACCAAGATTGCGCCACTGCACTCCAGCCTGGGTGACAAGAGTGAAACTCTGTCTCAAAAAATATATACTTATTCACACTCACATGTTTATTGCTCCACTATTCACAGTAGCAAAGATAGGGAATCAACCTAAGTGTCCATCAAGAGAGGACTGGATAAATAAAATGGAGTACACATATACTACGGACTACTACTTGGCCATACAAAAGAATGAAATCATGTCTTTTGAAGCAACATAGATGGAGCTGGAGGCCATTATACTAGCAACATAACTCAGAAACAGAAAGTCAAATACCACATGTTCTCACTTACAAGCGAGAGCTAAACAATGGTACATATGGACATACAGAGTGGAATAAGAAACACTGAAGACTCCAAAAGGTGTGAAGGTGGGAGGGTGGCAAGAGTTGAAAAATTACCTAGTGAGTACAATATTCATTATTCGAGTGATGGGTACACGAAAGACCCAGACTTCACCACTAAGAAATACATACACATAAGAAACTGGCACTTGTACTCTCTGAATACATAAAAAATAAAATGGAAAGAAAAAACTGTGTGGTTTATTATATATTGATTATACTTTAATACAGCAGTTTAAAAAACATGCTACTTGCACATGATATTTCATCATAAATCATTATATTCAAAGAGAAAGTGCAAGCTCTGTCTAATCATAGTGTAGGCCTTTTTATTTATCTACTCATTCTCAAAGATTTACTAAATACTTGTTAGTTTCTGTGGGGAATACAAACATAAATCACACCCACTGTGATCTGAAATCAGGGGCAGAGGCTAAATGTATGGTCATATCATATCATATCATATCATGAGATGACAATAAACATATTTGGCCTCTACCCCTGGTTTATGACACACAGCTCCTAAAACTCTTAGAATACCCAAAGTGGTAAGTGTTTTTTGTATGCTAATGATATGGCTGGTGGTTAGGGGCTCCTGGATAGTCTGAGGATTGGGTAGGGAGACAGTGGTTGGCAGGGGAACCAATCATGAAATTAGAAGGTTGGAACTTTTTCAGTTTTTCAGCTCCATCCTTGACCTCTAGGGAGAAGACAGGGGCTAAAGGTCAAGTTAATCAGCGATGGCCAACAATTTAATCATGCCTACAAAATGAAACTTCCACAAAAAACTCTAAAGGACTAGGTTCAGAGAGCCCTAAATAGCTGGTTGGTCAGAAGTACAGGTCACAACTTGGAGCTTGCAACTGGCATCTGAAGTTGGGGGTAGTGGGACTGGACCCTTAATTTGTGGGATCTGACAGTATCTCCTGGCAGACTGTGTCAGAACTGAATTGAATTACAGGGTACCACATTGATGTCTGCTGGAGAATGTGGTGTCAGAATTGCTTGTGTTGTGGGGGAAAAAACTCTACCCACTGGTATCAGACATGTTGTGATATGTGAGAGTAGGAAAAAACACTTAGGTTTTTCCTACTCTCTCATATCCACTTTTTTTTTTTTGAGACAGAGTCTCTTATGCCCAGGCTACAGTGCAGTGGTGCAATCATAGCTCACTGAAGGCTAAGAATCCTTGACCTCCTGGGATCAAGTGATGCTCCCACCTCAACGTCTTGCATAGCTGCAACTACAAGTGTGTGCCACCATGTCTGGCTAATTTTTTATTTTTTATAGAGATAGGATCTCACTATGTTGCCCACGCTGGTCTCAACCACCTGGGCTCAAGTGATCCTTCTCCTTGGCCTCCCAAAGTGTTAGTATTATAGGCATGAGCCGCTGTGCCTGGTGCATATGCACCTTTTGCACTAATGAAGCATATCATCTAATAGACTGGTTAGGGTTTAGAAATCATAAGCAATTTTTTTTTTACATTATTTTCACAAAGATCCTTACCAGAGGCAAATCCTTCCCAGTGACTACGTGTCAACTGCTCCATACAGCTCACAACCTTGCTCCATACATTGTCAAACACATAAGCAAGGACATCCTCTTTCATGCAGTAAAACGGAGCAATGGGAGGATACCCTAATTTCTGTTTCTCTGTAGCTGCTTCTGATTTCTTCCCATGAAATCCCTCTTCCCTGTAAAAGAAGCAAGAGGGAAAGATTTTATGATTATTCTTCACTGAATGTTCACCATTGTCCTTTGTGTTTCTTAGGAAGGATTGGTGTTCCCACCTGCCTGCCCTGCTGCCCGCCCAGCATATGAGCACATGTACAAGGCTTCTTGTGAACTAAGGCAGTTCTCAACAGAGGAGACTGCATTTTCCTTTTTATCCCCACTCCATCCCACTATTCGGCCAAAAACTAGAACAAGAAAAAGAAGTCTAAGAATCATTATTGCATTCACTAATTTCCCATACATGTTTTGGCTTATTTTTCAATTAGGAACATTCTAAAGGTCCAACTACTGATTTTGTGTCTTTTAGCTTTAAATGAATGAGTATTGTCAATTGTGCAATCAGTTATAATAGTAAAGAACACAGAAATAATATTTTTTGTTTTAACAGAGAAAACTTAATTTTTGTTTGTTTTGACATGGAGTCTCACTCTGTTGCCCAGGCTGGAGTGCAGTGGCTTGATCTTGGCTCACTGCAACCTTTGTCTCCTGGGTTCAAGCCATTCTCCTGCCTCAGCCTCCCGAGTAGGTGGGAGTACAGGAGCCTGCCATCATGCTCAGCTAATATTTGTATTTTTACTAGAGATGGGGTTTCACCATGTTGGCTAGGCTGTTCTTAAATTCCTGACCTCATGTGATCCACCTGCCTCAGCCTCCAAAAGTTCTGGGATTACTGGCATGAGCCACTGCACCTGGCCCTTAGATTAATATTAATGTGATATTTAATCATGTGCATGGCATTGTCATGATGCTGTGTAATTATTATACTTGAAGCAATGATTCATTAGAGAAACATTCCACCCAAATTATTAAAATTAGTATAACTTTACTAAGCCAAAAAAATATTTGGTAATTGGTTAGAAAGGAAAAGGAGGGAAGCTAAACAGAACAGGCACTTGTCTGAGGCTCTTCTGGAGACACTTGTGTCTGTAGCCCAGAAAGTCACAGTTAGCCAAGTCTATCTCTGCTTCATCAGATGGGAATATCAATATCCCTGGAGTTCTGGGGGAAAGAATCTAGCTGATAGTTGTGCTCACCTAAGATAGATGTATTATAGAAACTAAGACAAAACAAATTCTGAAGCTGGCTTAGAATAGGAATAAATAACTCCAGGTCTCTACAGTGAAAGTTACCCCTAGGGCAACAGAGATCTCAAGTATTAAGAAAGTGTAGGCAGGAAAGAAGGGTGCAATAAGGCTTATGCAGCATAGCTACAGACTCTCATCTCTGCCTTCCCTAAGAAGACTTAGCCTGACATTAGGTGGGGGAGTATGGTGAGTAGTATTAATTGTGTTTAAATTTATATTTCTTTTTAGAGGAGACAACATAATGTGATGAAAAAAATTCAAATTGTACAGAAGGATGTATAGTGAAAAAGATGTTGCCTACATTTCTGGCTTCCAGTCCCCATCCCCAGAAGCAAATGTTGTTCTAGAGAAACAGTTACATTATACACTGTACTCCCTTATTCTTTATTTAACAATGTATCTTGGCCCTTGATCCCTATCAATACATATTAATCTAGGCTGGGTTCCGTGGTTCATGCCTGTAATCCCAGCACTTTGGGAGGCCACGAGGGATGAACTACTTGAAGTCAGGAGTTTGAGAGGAGCCTGGTCAAGATGGCAAAACTCTGTCTCTACTAAAAATACAAAAATTAGCTGGGCATGGTGGTGCACGCCTGTAATCCCAGCTACTCAGGAGGCTGAAGCAGGAGAATTGCTTGAACCAAGGAGAAGGAGTTTGCAGTGAGTGAGATCATGCTATTGCACTCCAGCCTGGGCAACAAAGTGAAACTCTGTCTCAAAAAAATAAAACAAAACAAAACATATTAATCTGCCTCGTAAAAAACAACTGCAGAATATTCCATTGTGCGTACTGTATCTTAACTTGCCTCTTATTGATCAACCAATCTTTGGCTCTTATAGTCAATGTGCAAATTGATTATCCTTAGGCATAGTTCTTTGGCTTCATAAGCAATTATCTCTGTAGAATAAATTCCTATAAATAAGCTTATTGGGTTAAAGGATTTCAATTTAATTGAAATTGAAATTTTAAAAATATTGCATTTCAATTTAAAAGATATTGCCAGATTTCCTCTAAAAAAGTTACATGGCCCAATGGTAAAAGAATATGTCTGTTTACCCACTCAAGGAATTTTTTTTTAATTGCATTTTAGGTTTTGGGGTACATGTGCAGAACATGCAAGATAGTTGCATAGGTACACACGTGGCAGTGTGATTTGCTACCTTCCTCCCCTTCACCCACATCTGGCATTTCTCCCCATGCTATCCCTCGCCAGCTCCCTCCACCCACTGTCCCTCCCCTATTCCCCCCAATAGACCCCAGTGTGTAGTGCTCCCCTCCCTGTGTCCATGTGTTCTCATTGTTCATCACCTGCCTATGAGTGAGAACATGCAGTATTTCATTTTCTGTTCTTGTGTCAGTTTGCTGAGAATGATGTTCTCCAGATTCCTCCATGTCCCTACAAAGGACACGAACTCATCGTTTTTGATTGCTGCATAATATTCCATGGTGTATATGTGCCACATTTTCCCAGTCCAGTCTATCATCGATGGGCATTTGGGTTGGTTCCAGGTCTTTGCTATTGTAAACAGTGCTGCAATGAACATTCGTGTGCATGTGTCCTTATAGTAGAACAATTTATAGTCCTTTGGATATATACCCAGTAATGGGATTGCTGGGTCAAATGGAATTTCTATTTCTAGGTCCTCCACTCAAGGAATTATCAAACTTCTTTATCTTTTGTTCTCTGCCAATCTAACAGATAAAAGTGCCTCATTATAGTTTTAATTTGTATCTCTAATTACAAATGAGGTTGAATTTCATTTACGTTTAAAATATATTTTATTTTTATGTTGATATCCTTTGTCTTTAGTCTTTTCTTTATTGATGTATATATTAAGGAAATTAACTCTTGTCTGTGAATGAACTACAAACATTTTTGCCTAGTGTGTCATTTGTTTTTTGACTTTGAGTTTGTTTTCAATTCCTACTGTAGAAATTAGCTTTTTTCTATTTTTACATTTATTTTTTCACAGCAGCATTGTATTCTAGAAATGAGGTTTTTTCTATGTAGAAATTTATTTTATATAGTCATTTAAGAATTTGTTATGATTTGTAGGTTTTGTGTTATAGTTAAAAAGGCCTTCATTCCCAAATTATATTGTTTACAACAGTCTCCCATATTTTGTTTTTTCTAAATGTATATGATTTCATTTGTCATATTTAATTTTTTTAATGTGTGAAGTTTATTTTTATGGAAAGAATAAGTTAGGGACCTTATATTTTTTCCAGATGGTTTTTCCATTTGTAGTAAAATCATTTGCTGAAATTACTGATTACACTGATGTCCTATAGGTGTTTTGGTTTATTTTTCAACTCTCAATCTTTTCAATAAGGAACATTCTAAAGGTCCAACTACTCTGTCATTTTAGAAGACATCTTAGAGGTATCTCTAAAGGGAAGGCTGCCATTCTAAAATCATCCACATGTTACCTGAAAATTCATTTTGGTTAACTATCAGAAAAAGAGAAAGAGATGCCATGGGGACACTATCAGCCATTCACATCACATATAAAATTAGTTAGATCAGATTTATTTTTCATAAACTTAAACCAAAGAAGACGACCTTTGATTTGAGGAAAAAATGGAAAACCGAAGTAATCTGACATAGGCCAGGATAAGTGAAAGGGAAGGGGGCAGTCTTTGGAAAACCAAAAGAACTGCTTACAATTCTAGCTCAGTGGCATTATGTATAGAAACCTGGCTTATATTTAGCTGACCCTAGGGCTGTGTGCACATGAGTGATATGTGAGTGAACATGGCTCAGCAGGAAATACAATGGGGAAAAAAATGCGTCCAGAATCATGTGATGTAATACTAACTAGACAGCTGCACAGCCTAAAGAGAAATTTTCACTCATTTTCTTTTTTTTTTTTTTTTTGAGACGGAGTTTCGCTCTTGTTACCCAGGCTGGAGTGCAATGGCGCAATCTCGGCTCACCGCAACCTCCGCCCCCTGGGTTCAGGCAATTCTCCTGCCTCAGCCTCCTGAGTAGCTGGGATTACAGGCACGCGCCACCGTGCCCAGCTAATTTTTTGTAATTTTTAGTAGAGACGGGGTTTCACTATGTTGACCAGGATGGTCTCGATCTGTTGACCTCGTGATCCACCCGCTGCTGTGAATATCAATTCTGGAACTTTTTTTTTTTTGAGACAGAGTCTCACTCTGTCGCCAGACTGGAGTGCAGTGGCGTGATCTCAGCTTACTGCAACCTCTGCCTCCTGGGTTCAAGCAGTTTTCCTGCCTCAACCTCTAGAGTGGCTGGGACTACTACAGACATGCGCCACCACCCCCAGCTAATTTTTGTATTTTTAGTAGAGAGGGACAGAGTTTGACCATGTTGGCCAGGATGGTCTTGATCTCTTGACCTCATGACCTGCCCACCTCAGCCACCCAAAGTGCTGGGATTACAGGCATCAGCCACTGTGCCCGGCCCAATTCTGGAACTTTTAAAGGCTTAGAGGAATAGTTTAAGAGGCTAATGTTTCAGAAAAGTAGCATGGAATAGTGAAAAGAAGACTAGATTGAGAATCAGGTGAATAAGGTTTTGGTTTTAGCTTTACTTTAGATAAATCATTTAACTACTCTGATTCTCACCTATCCTGTAAAAAAGATAAATCATATCTATGTGATAGGACTACTGTTAGAATATAGTAAGAATAGATATAAATAGAATTATTAATTGTAAAATCTGTGCCAATCATAACGTTTTATACAAACTGTATTTACCTTTTTCTTTTCTTGATTTGTTTCGTTTTTTGGAGATGGAATCTCGCTGTCACCCAGGTTGGAGTGCAGTGGTGTGATATTGGCTCACTGCAACCTCCGCCTCTAGGGTTCAAGCGATTCTCTGGCCTCAACCTCCCAAGTAGCTGAGATTAGAGGTGTATACCACCATGCCCAACTAATTTTTGTATTTTTCACAGAGAGGGTGTTTCACCACATTGGCCAGGCTCATCTCGAACTCCTGACCTCAAGTGATCTGCCTGTCTCAGCCTCCCAAAGTGCTGGGATTACAGGCATGAGCCACTATGGCTGGCTGTGTATATACCTTTTTCAAATAGGATTTATGTAAGCAAGTTCATATCTCTTCAACTGCTCTTTTAAAATTATCATTCACTGGTTGTAGGGAGCCAGAATAGCCCACCCGCTCTCTGGGGGGATCAGCAGCAAGGCTGCTGTGAACTTTGGTTAAACTTCAGAGAAGTGAAACCATAATAGGTGGATGTGTCTATCTTGGAGTAGGACAGATGGGCTTAGAGAAAGATAACCAGCTTTCACTGACCTTGCTGCAAGATAGTTTTTAGCTGAAGTATGTTAACTGATGTATTAGAATTTTAACCACAGGCTGTTCTAAGTAGCTGTACCCTCCCTCTGCTATGTGCTTTGTAAACATATAAAATAAAGCACACTGATACAGATCGGGGCCAAAGAGCCTGACATCCTCATCTCTTGAGCCACCTTGCTCAGATTTCTCTATGTCTGTGTCTGTGTCTGTGTCTTTCTTTATTCCCCACCATTCCCTCTTAGGTCTTTGAACCCTTGGGCAGCGCCGGACGCAGCACACGTCAGAACTGGTGATAATTTGCAAAAGAGTAAAATCAAACTATGTGGGAAACAAAATAAACTTATTTTAAAATCTTCAATCTCAGGAACAGGAAAATGATGTGTGAAGGTATGAAATATACAAGGAAGCCTAGTATACAGAAGCAATAAGTGAAAAGATAAATTCTGGATACCTGAGAAATAACATAAAATAAATAACAGAAACTGGCATATATCTAATTATAGATAATATTGGTAGCACCATTTAGAAAAAACAGGTATTCATACACAAAATAAGAGGGGAGTAAAAAGCTTAAAAGACATAATACTCACATATCTGTATGGTCGAATGCTAGGTATTCCTCAAGTATTCCTTCCAAGACAATTATAGAGTCTTCCTCATCTTTCTCCATAGAAGAAAAGCTAGAGGATTTGGCAATGGAAGATGCTTTATGAGCATAACAAGAGGAAAAATGTAACTTCTTCCCCCTTATACAAAATCTTGGAGAGGAAAAAAGAAGTAAATATTAATTGTGTAAACATAAACAGTTTTTACGGTAACACAGTTACATGAGTTTCAGCTGAAAGTCCTCTTGCCCTGGCAATACCTTCCTGGACTATTCTAAGCCTCAAAAATGGGTTATTTCTCATTTCTCAGAACAGGAAGATTAAATTCTGGTCATAGACCTATTCTGCCTACATATGCTGTGGACTATCTGATACTGCTTGCTGTCTTTTCAGGTACAAACAGCTATAGCTATGTATTAGGTCATCCTTGCCTTGCTGTAAAGAAACATTTGAAACCAGGTAATTTATAAGAAAAGAGGTTTAATTGGCTCACAGTTCTGGAGGCTGTACAGGAAGCATAGTGCTGGCATCTGCTTCTGTAGAGGCCTTACAAAGCTTTTACTCATGGTAGAAGGTTCAGTGGGAGCAGGAGCAAGAGAGAATGTGTATGGGAGAGGAGGTGCCACACACTTTTAAATGACCACATGTCACAGGAACTCACTATCGCAGAGACAGTACAAAGCCATAAGGGATCCTCTCCCATGACTCAAACACTTCCTACCTGGCCCCACTAGCACTGGGGGTTATAATTCACAATGAGATTTGGGCATTCTGCCCTTGGCTCCTCCCAAATCTCATATCCTTCTCACATTGCAGAATACAATGTTGCAGAATGGTCATTTAGCCAGATGTCTTAAAAAGGATGAACTAATTGCTCAGACTTGATTTCTTATTTCCTTGAAAATTAAATTTCTAAATGGATCTACCATTGATAGTTATAAAATAAGGCACATATAAAGTTTACACTAACAGATCAGGTCAATATATCCTAATAGCAGGATATGAGTTATGTAATTTTGATCAGAGAGAATGAAAGAATACATCATTTCTGTGGAAGACATTAGGCTGTAAAATTTTTCATATTGTATAAAAGGAGTAAACTTAACTTATCCATATAATACAAGAGATTTAAATTGAAAAAGAATGCCTAATGACCAGCAGCTTGAGTTTAAATCACTTTAGGAACAGCAAACAAATACCATTATCTGACCAAAAATCAGTTGATAACCCAGATCCCATAACCCTAACAGTAATGTTTTACTTTGTGGTCTGGAGAGATTACCACAAGCCCAAGAAAGCACCAAAGTATTCCTACAACTCTTGGAAGGTATCAAATAAGTAAAAATGGGAAAAAGAATAGGAATACTTTTTTTAAGTGAATTAAAATGATGATATTATATTTTACAGTAGATTTAAGCATAAGCATGGGTTTCAAAGTAATGATATTTGGGTTTATTTTACTGCTGTTTTAAAAGTCTGAGGTGTTCAAAAGATTTAACCATTTAAAAATTACTTTGAAGTTTAACTTCTCTAAAGAGATTAAATTATAATTAATAATTGTAATTGTAATAATTTAAAAATCACTTTTTCAACTTTTTTTAAAAAAGTTTTAAAGTCTTTTTCTTAGACTTCTACATTTAAAAAAACATTCAATTTAAACAATTATGCCAAGAGGGAAGTGTCCATATTTATATATAGATGTAAATAAGATACCTAGACCTGAATAACAAGAATATCCTTAAGCACTATTATATGGTTTGAATATTTGTCCCCTCCAAAATTAATGTTGCAGTTCAGTCCCTAATCTGGCAGTGTTGAGAGGTGGAGCCTTTAAGGGGTAATTGGATCATGGAGATTCTGCCCTTGTGATTAATCAGTTATCAAGGAAGGGGGCTTTATTATAAAGCTTATTATAAAGGTAGCTTCATAATAAGAGAAAGAAACCTGAGTTGCCACATTAGCATGCACAGCCCCCTTGTCATGTGAATCCCTGCACTGCCCTGGGTCCCTGCAGAGAGTCCCCACCAGCAAGAAGGTCCTCCCAGATGCTGCCCCTTGACCTTGGACTTTTTAGCCTCCAGAACTGTAAGAAATCACTTTCTTTTTCTTATAAATTGCCCAGTTTCAGGTACTCTGTCATAAGCAACAGAAAACTGACTAATACACTCCAGGAAAGGTCTAACTTTTTGAACAAAAAAAATTACATAGCAAAACTTTAATATATGCAAAGACTATGGACGATCTTACAGAATTTGCTATGCTTTACTAAATACCAGTAAGTAGGAATAAGTATTTTAATCCCTTAGTACAACTGTTAGGATATAATACTTGCATATTAGGGCACATTGAAATACTTACATAATGGATACTCACATAGTAGAATCTCTTTCTTGAGACAAGGTTGTTTCATATGAAGCTGAAATAGCAGAAGGGGACCTAGGATACAGTCTGTAACCTTCACTTGGAGTGATGATCTGCCTACCTAGAATCCTTCAAAATGAACAAACATAGACAAAATTAAGCACCTTCACTGGCATACATACAAAATCTAGATATATTTTAAACACATTTGATAGTTCTATATAAAAGTCTGGTAGTCTGATACTGATTAAGAATGAGAAAATGTGAGTCCAGAGCCTTAATACAGGTGTATCTCTCTTCCATAGAATGGAGATAGAAAAGATAAATCTATAGCCTAGGAGTTAAAAAAAAAAAACCAAGAAATCTAAGCAAACATCTATAATTTGCCCTTTGTGCTCTATACTAGTCCTCATTCAATCAACCAAAATGGGATAAAGGCCCTACCAAATTAGTGAAAGCTATGATTTACATTCTTTTTTTTGGGGGGGGGGGAGGAAGGCAGGAAGGAAGGGAATAAGGACCGTAAGGAGGAAGGAAGGGAGGAAGCGGGGAGGGAGGGAGGGAGGGAAGGGAAGAAAGGAAATCAAGCAATGAAAGAGACATTGCCAACCTGGATCTATAGGTTTACAAGTTGATTTCTTTTTTTTTGAGAGAAGGAAAGAAAAAAAAATAAGTAAAGGAGAGGAAGAAAGAGGAAGAGAAAGAGGGAGAGTAAATGGAAATATTGCTTTATTTTGAAAAAAATTGGGTATTAATAATGGCCAATCAATGTTTCATTTAAACTAATGGGTAGGTGTGATGTGGTATTGACAAGAATGTATATTTTGTGTATTTGAAGTGGAGAGCTCTATAAATATTTATTAAGTTTACTTGTTCTGGATCTGAGTTTGAGTCCTTGATATTCTTATTAATTTTCTGTCTCATTGACTCTAAGTCTCCTATCTGGGTGTTAGGATCGTTAGCTCTTGTTGTTGCACTGATCCTTTTACCACTATATCTTTGTTGCTTTAAAATCTATTTTATCCGATACAAGAATTGCAACTCCTGCTTTTTATTTATTTATTATTTATTTTTGCTCTCCATTTGGTTGGTAAATCTTTCTCCATCCCTTTGTTTTGAGTCTTTGTGTATCCTTGCATGTGAAACAGGTCTGGATGTAACATGCCATTGGGTTTTGGCTGTGTCTTTTGATTGGGAATTTAGTCAATTTAAATTTAGGGTTACTGCCATTTGATGTTGACTGGCTGTTTTATCCATTTGTTGGTGTAAATTCTTCTTTATGTTGGTGCTCTTTACTTTTTGGTGTATTTTTAGAAAGGCTAATACTGGTTGTTTCTTTCTGTGTGTAATGCTTCTTTCAGAAGCTCTTATAAAGCAGGCCTGGTGGTAATAAAATCTCTGAGTTCTTGCTTGTTCATAAAATATTTTATTTCCTTCAGTTGTGAAGCTTAGTTTGGCTGGATATGAAATTCTGGGCTGAAGGTTCTGTTCTTTGAGGATGTTGAATATTGGCCCCCACTCTCTTCTGGCCTGTAGAGTTTCTGCCGAGAGATCTGCTGTAAGTCTGATAGGCTTGCCTTTGTGGGTTATCTGACCTTTCTCTCTGGCTGCCCTTAGTATCCTCTCCTTCGTTTCAACCCTGGTGAATCTAACGATTATGTGCCTTGGGGTTGCTCTTCTTGAGGAATATCTTTGTGGTGTTCTCTGTATTACCTGGGGTTGAATGTTGACCTGCTTTGCTAGTTTAGGAAAATTTTCCTGAATAATATCCTGAAGGGTATTTTCCAGCTTGGATTCATTCTCTCCGTCGCATTCAGGTACACCTATCAAACTTAAATTTGGTCTTTTCACATAGTCCCACATTTCTTGGAGACTTTGCTCATTCCTTTTTATCCTTTTTTCTCTAATCTTTTCTTCACGTTTTATTTCATTAAGTTGGACTTTGACCTCTGATATCCCTTCTTCTGCTTGAACAATTCGAGTGTTTAAACCTGTGCATACTTCTCGGAGTTCCTGTATTGTATTCTTCAGTTCCATTAATTCACTCATACTCCTCTCTAAGTTGTCTATTCTCAATAGGATTTCATCAAACCTTTTTTCAAAGTTCCTAGTTTCTTTACGTTGGGCTACAACATGTTCTTTTAACTCACCCAAGTGTGTTATTATCCATTCCTTGAAGAGTGATTCTGTCATCAGGAGGCGCTCATTCTCCATCAAGCCTTGTTCCATTGTTGATGTGGAGCTGTGATCATCTTTAGAGGGAGAGGCGTTCTGACTTTGAGTATTCTCAGCTTTTTTACACTGGTTTCTTCCCGTCATTGTAAATTTACCCTCCTGTCGTCTTTGAAATTACCAACTTTCAGATTAGGTCTCTTGAGTGGACGTCCAGGTTGTTAGTTCCCAGGGCCAGAGCAGCGGCATTAAAACTGATGGTGCTTTTCTGCCCAGGATTCTCCTGTAGGGCTTCCTTCTTGTTTCCGTAGTAGGCGACTCTGCCTTCCCGGGGCTCCAAACCTCGGTCAGAAGGGGAACCGGTCTTGTTTACTCTGCGCTGCGCGCTGCTGCGCCGAGGTGGCGGCGGAACCGCTGCGCCGACCACGAGAGTCGCGCTAGCAACTCGTGTGTTTCCACCACTGGGGGATCTTCTGCTCCGTGAGCGACCAGACTTTGTCTGAAAGTGTGGCGTCCTCTAGTTCTCCGCGCCTTCCCTGAGAGCTGCAATCCCGGGATGTTAGCGATCGGCCATCTTGGATAGTTCGATTTACATTCTTAAGAACAAGAGGCTTTATAACTTTTGGGTATGTGCAATAAGTGGTACTTCAGTTTCTGAAGGAAGCTCTTGAACAGACGATATCTGGTTTCAAGTGTATATGAGAATTTTTTTTTTCTTTTTCTTTGCTTCAACTAGGTGAACATGAGAATTTAATTGTATACAACAGTGTACATTTTCGAATATCTTGTTCAAAAGAAGTGCTTTTTGGTATCCAGATACTCAGATCTCAGCTGCTGTTGTAGAAATAGTTTTACTTGATTAGGATGACACTTTTTTTTTTTTTTGAGGTGGAATTTCACTCTGGTTGCCCAGGCTGGAGTGCAATGGCATGATCTCAGCCCACTGCAACTTCCGCCTTCTGGGTTCAAGGGATTCTTCTGCCTCAGCCTCCTGATTAGCTGCTATTACAAGTAGCTGCAATTGTGCCATTGTACTCTAGCCTAGGTGACAGAGCTAGTGCCACCACACCTGGCTAATTTTGTATTTTTAGTAGAGATGGGGCTTCTCCATATTGGTCAGGCTGGTCTCGAACTCTGGACCTCAAGTGATCCACCTGCCTCAGCCTCCTAAAGTGCTGGGATTACAGGCGTGAGCTACTGTGCCCGGCCAGGATGACATTTTGTTAGTTATGGAAACTCTGGAAACTTCTACCAACTTAAGTTTTCTCTTAGCTGAGGCTTTATACCACATGGCCTTATTTATATTCATTAAAGTCATGCTCATAAAGATTCCAGAATACAAGCTTATTTTTTTTTTATTTTTTTTATTTTTTTGAGATGGAGTTTCGCTCTCGTTACCCAGGCTGGAGTGCAATGGCGCAATCTCGGCTCACCGCTACCTGCGCCTCCTGGGTTCGGGCAATTCTCCTGCCTCAGCCTCCCGAGTAGCTGGGATTACAGGCGTGCGCCACAATGCCCAGCTAATTTTTTTTTTTTGTATTTTTAGTAGAGACGGGGTTTCACCATGTTGACCAGGATGGTCTTGATCTCTTGACCTTGTGATCCACCCGCCTCGGCCTCCCAACGTGCTGGGATTACAGGCTTGAGCCACCAAGCCCGGCCAAGCTTATTTTTTAAAATCCACTTTTTAAATTTTAGTATTAGCCATGAATGCAAGTCAACTGCAGGGCGTCAGTACCTGAGGTGAGGAAAGCTGGCTGTCCACTGTTGGCACTCTTCTTGTAGACTCTTGGTATGCACGCTCAACTTCTGCTCATACAAGAGTTCATCAATGGCCATGAACATTGCCTGGACTTTTTCAGTGGCATTTTGATTAAGTTCCTAGAAGGAAATATTCCCCCAAAATATTTAGGTGAGCTTCACTCTCCATTAAAAATTATAAAGACTGAAAGTAGTAAGACTTGTTTGGTTTAAATATTTAGTCTACTTGAAATACTGTTGTGTTTCCATGAAAGAAAAATTAAATTAGTGAGTTTTTAGATCTTAGAATTTTCAGATATCTCCTCCATTCATATTTAAAGAAAATTTGGATAAATGTCTATTTTTTAGGCTGGTCCAAGTACAGTGGTGTTTATAACTAATTGATCAGAACCACTTATGGATTTCTTTGTTTCTTCTCCACTCCCAATGCCTCACTTGACTAGCCTTAAAAAAAAAAAAAAAAAAAAGGCCAGGCGTGGTAGCTCACATCTGTAATCCCCACACTTCGGGAGACAGAGGTGGGTGGATCTCTTGAGGCCAGCAGTTCAAGACCAGCCTGACCAACATAGTGAAACCCCATCTGTACTAAAAACACAGTTAGCTGGGCATTGTGGTGCATACCTATAATCTCAGCTACTTGGGAGGCAGAAGTTTTAGCAAGCCAAGATTGTGCCATTGCACTCTAGCCTGGGTGATAGAGCTAGACTCTGTCTCAAAAAAAAAAAAGTCTATATTTTTAAAAGTAACATATTCTTATTATATATAGTATTAATTGTAAATACTTTAAAAAATAAGTATTAAGAAAAAATTAAAATTACCTATAATTCCAGCATTGAAAAATAATGATTGCTAATTTTAATACAGTTGCTTGGTTCCACTGTTTTTTAAGAAAAGGTAGACAGGGTCGGGCGTGGTGGCTCATGCCTGTAATCCCAGCACTTTGGGAGGCCGAGGCAGGCAGATCACCTGAGGTCAGGAGTTCGAGACCAACCTGACCAACATGGAGAATCCCCATCTCTACTAAAAACACAAAATTAGCCAGGTGTGGTGGCACATGCCTGTAATCCCAGCTACTCTGGGGACTGAGGCAGGAGAATCACTTTAACTGGGAGGTAGAGCTTGCAGTAAGCCAAGATTGCGCCATTGCCCTCCAGCCTGGGCAGCAAGAGTGAAACTTCGTCTCAAAAAGAAGAAGAAAAAGTAAAGGTAGACAGACAATCCTATGTATATTACTTTGTATTCTGCATCCTTCACTTGACAACTGACAATTTATGTTATGTCCCTGCCCTCTGTAATCCATCCTTTAAGAATAGTCACGCCAGGCACAGTGGCTCATCTGTAATCCCAGAACTTTGGGAGGTCGAGGCAAGTGGATTACCTGAGGTCAGGAGTTCAAGACCAGCCTGGCCAACATGGTGAAACTCCATCTGTACTAAAAATATAAAAAATTAGCCGGATGTGGTGGCAGGCACCTGTAATCCCAGCTACTCGGCAGGCTGAGGCAGGAGAATCGCTTGAAGCTGGGAGGTGGAGGCTGCAGTGAGCTGAGATTGCGCCACTGCACTTCAGCCTGGTAACAGAGCAAGACTCTGTCTCAAAAAAATATGTATATATAATTCCACTTATAGTCACTCATTATTTGAGCTATATTTACTTCTACAAGGATAAACTCCCTCTTTATACATTTTAGACACATTTCAGACACACACTTTATATATCATATATTAAATACAAGCGCATATTCTGCTTTAATCAGTCAGTTGTCCTTTAAAGAACAGACAAGGCTGGGCATGGTGGCTTACGCCTGTAATCCCAGCACTTTGGGAGGCCGATGTGGGCAGTTCACAAGGTCAGGAGATCGAGATCATCCTGGCCAATATCGTGAAACCCTCTCTCTACTAAAAATACAAAAATTGGCTGGGCTTGGTGCATGCCTGTAATCTCATCTACTTGGGAGACTGAGGCAGGAAAATCACATGAACCTGGGACACAGAGGTCGCAGTGAGCTGAGGTTGTGCCATTGCATTCCAGCCTGGCAACAGAGTGAGATTCTGTCTCAAAAAAAAAAAAAAGAAAGAAAGAAAGAAAAAGAAAAACAGACAAAAATATAGACTTTTATATTTACCCATTAATTAATTTCTGGTTCTCTTCTCCTCCCTGCCCTGAACTCTGGTCTCTGCTCTTTAGCACAGTGGGACCACCATTGCTTTGCTTGGACTCTAGTTCACTCTTACATAGTAAGAAAATTGTCCCCAGGTAGGGGGCCAGAGAAAATAGGAGGGTATCTGTACAGGAGGAAGGCCTAGTGTGTGATAGGAGCCCAAAAGACATAAGAGAGTGCCTAAGCAGTTTTTACGACCTTGAGCAGCGTGAGAGGAGTGCTTCAGTTACTCTGGCAGTGTAACAAATTACTTAAAACAACAATAATCATGTATTATCTCTCTGGGTTTATATGGATCAGGAATTTATATAGATCACAGCAGGAATGGCTTATCCCTGCTCCGTAATATCTGAGGCCTTAGTCAGAAGACTCAAAGGCTGGGAGCTGAAAACATCTTAATGCTCATTCACTTACATGTCTGGCAGCTGATGCTGGCTTTCAACTGGGGCTTTAATTCCTTTGTACATGAGCCTTTTCATGTAATCTGAACTTCCCTGCATTATGGTGGGTGGATTCTGAGGTCCACGATTCAGACAGAAAGAGACAGAAAGAACCTAGAAAGTTATGGAGGAAGGTTCGGTGAAGTGCTCATGCCTGTAATCCTAACACTTTGGGAGGTCAAGGCAGGTGGATCACTTGATATCAGGAGTTCAAGACCAGCCTGGCCAACAAAGCAAAACCCTGTCTCTACTAAAAATACAAAACTTAGCCAGGCATGGTGGTGCACTCCTGTAATCCCGTAAGCTGAGATCATGCCATTGTACTCCAGCCTGGGCTACAAGAGCTAAACTCAGTCTCAAAAAAAAAAAAAGATATAGACTGGATAAATGAATGAAAAAACAAAACCCACTGGTCCGCTGCCTATAAGAAACACACTTCACCTGTAAAGACACACATAAACTGAAAATAAAGGGATAGAAAAGGATATTCCATGCCCACAGAAACCAAAAAAGAGCACAAGTAGCTATATGTATATCAGACAAAATAGATTTCAAGACAGAAACTATAAGAAGAGACAAATAAAATCACTATATAATGATAAAGGGGGGTTGATTCAGCAAGAGGATATAACAATTTTAAATATATATTCACCCAACACTCCAGTACCCATCTATATAAAGGAAGTATTATGAGAGCTAAAGAGAGGTATAGGTCCCAATACAGTAAGAGTTGGGGACTTCAACACCCCACTGTCAGCATTGGACAGATTTTCCAGACAAAATCAAGAAAGAAACATCAAACTTAATCTGCACTATAGACCAAATGGATCTAACACTTTTACAGAACATTTCATCCAACAGCTGCAGAATACACATTCTTTTCCTCAGCACATGGATCATTCTCAAGGATGGACCATATGGTAGGTCACAACACAAGTGTTAAGACCAAAAAAACAAATAATATCAAGGGTCTTCTCTGACCACAATGGAACAAAACTAGAAATTAATAACGAGGAATTTTGAAAGCTATATGAACACATGGAAATTAAACAGTATCCTCCTGAATGACCAGGGGGCCAATGAAGGAATTAAGGAGACTGAAAAATTTCTTGAAATAAATGATAACAGAAACACAACATAGACAAACCTGTGGGAAACAGCAAAAAAGTACTAGGGGGAAGTTTATAGCTTAAGTGCCTACGTCAAAAAAGAGGAAAAACTTCAAATAAACAATCTAACAATACATCTTAAAGAACTAGAAAAGCAAGAGAAAACCAAACCCAAAATTAATTGAAGAAAAGAAATAATAAAGATCAGGGTAAAAATGAATAAAATTTATGATTACCAGAGGCTAGGAAGGGTAGTGGGGGGTGAGAATTGGGCAGATGGGGTGAATACTGGATACAAAAAAAAAATAGAAAGAATGAATAAGACCTACTATTTAATAGCACAAAGGGTGACTACTATAGTCAAGAATAACTCAATTGTACATTTAAAAATAACTAAAAGAGTGTAATTGGATTGTTTGTCATTCAAAGGATAAATGCTTTAAGGGATGATTTTTTTTTAAGCCATGAAAAAGAGTATCATAACATTCCATTTTTCTAAAGATAAAATCCTGATTAGTGAAGAAATAAAGGTCAAAAGTAAGATGGTTTGTACGTGAATATATTTTAAAAACATGTTAGACTGGTTTTTATGCCAAAAGAAAAGCAAGAAAATGGGAAACATATGTATGACATTTTTAAGTAATAAAGAGATACTAATCATAATATAGAGAGAAATAATGGAAATATATAGTCAGTATACTAAATCTTCCTGATGAGGTATCTAATTAATTAATTCCCTTAGAATACAATTTAAATTCTTTATCATGGCCTGCAGAGCCCTACATGATCTAGTTCCAGCTACGTCTCTGAACTCATTTGTGCTTTTCTCCCCCCTGGTTTTCCATCATCCAACCACCCTGACCTTTTATCAGTTGCAAGAATACACTGAACACTTTCCCTTGGAAACACGAGGCTCTTCTCCTCCTTGGGCTTTTGCATATGCTGCTGATTACCTGTCTGGAAACTCTTTTCCTCACTCTTCACATGGCTAGCTCTTCCATCTTCAAGTCTCAGATCTACCTTACCTGAGATCCCTATCTAAAGTGAATCCCCCTTATAATGTTCTATTTCAGCACCCTGTCATCTTCCTTAGAGCACTTATCACCTTTTGTATTTTATTACTTTTGTCAATCTCCCTCATTAGACTATTGAATCATGTAAGTCTCATTCACCCCATATTCCCAAGGCCAAGTACGGGCAAAACAACCATGCTCAATAAATATTTGTTGAATGAAGGAAAAAAAATGTGACAACCCAAGTATTAGATAATAAGGGAAAGCTCCAGGCCAGGCATGGTGGCTCTTTGGGAGACAGCACTTTGGGAGGCCAAGAAAGGCGGATTACAGGGTCAGGAGTTGGAGACCAGCCTGACCAATATGGTAAAACCTTGTCTCTACTAATAGTACAAAAATGAGCCAGGCTTGGTGGTGGGCGCCTATAATCCCACCTACTCAGAAGGCTGAGGTGGGAGAATTGCTTGAACCCAGGAGGTGGTGCTTGCAGTAAGTCAAGATCACGACACTGTACCCCAGTCTGGGTGACAGAGCGAGACTCCATCTCAAAAAAAAAAGGGAAAGCTCCAATTGTGATATATTAAAACAAGAAAATATATAACATTCAGATTGACCAATATGGAGGTAGTAAATGTCTATATGAAATGATGGTAAATAAAAAAACTTGGCCACAAAATACTATGTACATGTATCATACAACTACATATGGAAATGTATATATACATTCAAAATGATTAGAAAAAACTCAGGCTAATATAAATAGATTTTAACAATTAGCAGGCTTTTTGTTTTAAAAAAAAAAAACGGGTTTCTGGCTGGGTGCCGTGGCCCATGCCTGTAACCTCAGCACATTTCGAGGATGAGGTGGGAGAACTGCTTGAGGTCAGGAGTTCCAGATCCCACCTCTTTAAAAAAATAATAATGATATCTTATGAGATCTGATGGAAATAAATGAAAAAAAAAAAAAATAGCAGGGTGTGGTGGCATGAAACCTGTGGTCCCAGCTTCTCAGGTGGCTAAGGCAAGAGGATGGCTTGAGCCCCGGAGTTTGAGGCTGCAGTAAGCTATGATTGTGCCACTGCACTCCAGCCTGGGTGACAGAGCACGAAAGGAAAGGAAAGAAAAGAAGAGGGAAGGGAGGGGAGGGGAAGGGGGAAGGGAGAGAAGGGAGAAGGGAGGGGAGGGTCCTAACAATATTATATAAAGTCAGTATTGTGGAAAAGTATTTATAAAATGATATTAGGTGAAAAAATACAGCATATTACATGTATATCATGATTATAACTAAGCAAAATTAAATACAGATTGAAAAAAGATATAGAAATAAAAATGTCTATTGCATCAAGGTGATAAAATTATGAATAACAATTGTCTTTTAAAATTTTTTAGGGTTGCTGGTCTTTTAAAAATAATATTTTATAATGGGAAATAGCCAAAAATAAAGAAATAAAAATCACTCATTATCTCATCACCTAATTAATAACCACTGAACAATATTTTGAGTAAATATTCTTGGTCCTTTCCTCTAATATAGGCAAGAATATATATAAAACAAAATTAGAGTGACACTACACATACGATTTTTAACCTGATTGTTTTCATTTGCCAATATACCATAAACTTTCCCAGCATAGGCTTAATAATAAACTTCCAAAAACATTTCAAACAAGGTAACATTAATGGTGAAGACAGAGATTAGTGGACTGGGCATGGCAAAAGGAATAGATTCAGAGCCCAAATCCATACTAACCTGCAACTGTTTAAGTTGAATACTAAGCATGTCTAAGGCTCAACTACTGTATCAATAAAACAAAGCAAATACTGAAAGAAGATGAGGACTGATGCTTCTTTACAGCTATTATGACGTATAATAAATGCAGGAGAGTGAAGGATGAAATATACTGACAAATCCTAACTCCCAGAATTGTCTCCCAAGCACTCCATCAGACTTATCAATCATACAACTCACACCATATCCCCAGGAGAAGTCCGAGCTGCCTTCAGTAGATATCCCTCCGCCTGCATAACTTGGAAAAGCAGACCGTGAATTCCCAGTGTCGGATGATGTAAAAGGTGATTCTCTTGTGATGTCAGACTCACTAAAGGTACAATTTAGGAGGAGGAGAGGAAAAAGAAAGTTTTTCATATGTCCTCAAGTTTCTGTATCATTAACTATTCAGCAACTTATCAGGTGATAAACATGTACAAATATATTCACATAGATAAAAATAAATGAAGAATTTGAAATTGGAGCATCATGAAGGAGTCCTAATTCCTATAGAATTAATGGCAGTCATTCCAAATAATTCTAGTCATAGTTTACCATGAATCCTTCAACATCCCACCTATAACATACTCTTTTTTTTTTTTTTTTTCGAGACAGAATCTCATGCTGTTGCCCAGGCTGGAGTACAGCGGCACAATCTTGACTCACTGCAACCTCTGCCTCCTGGATTCAAGTGATTCTCCTGCCTCAGTCTCCAAACTAGCTAGGACTACAAGCATGCACCACCACACCTGTATTGGTGAAACCATCCCCTACCCCTACCACACAGTCCATGGAAAAATTATCTTCTAAAAAACTGGTCCCTGGTGGCAAAAAGGTTGGGGACTGCTGCTATAAGATATACTATTATCAGGTAATAGCTCTCACAGGAACTAATTTTTGTATTTTAGTAGAGAAGGGGTTTTACCATGTTGCAAGGGCTGGTCTTGAACTCCTGAGCTCAGATAATCCAACCACCCACCTGAGCCTTCCAAAGTGCTAGGATTTACAGGTGTGAGCCACCATCCCCAGCATATAATATACTCTTGACAACTAAAGACATTTCAGAAATGTTAATAGTAGTATCTGAACTTGTATAGCACTATTTATTTAACTATCTATCTAATAGCACTATCTATCTATCTATCTATCTATCTATCTATCTATCTATCTATCTATCTTGAGATGGAGTCTCCCTCTGTCACCAGACTGTAGTGCAGTGGCACAATCTCGGCTCACTGCAAACTCCAACTCCCGGGTTCAGGCAATTCTCCTGCCTCAGCTTCCTGAGTAGCTGGGACTACAGGCACATGCCACCATGCCCAGCTAATTTTATATTTTTAGTAGAGACAGGGTTTCACCATGTTGGCCAGGATGGTCTCAATCTCCTGATCTTGTGATCCACCCACCTTGGCCTCCCAAAGTGCTGAGATTATAGGTGTGAGGCCTGGCCAGCACTTGTTATTTTTTTTGAGATGGGGTTTGTCTCTGGCACCCAGGATGGAATGCAGTGGTGTGATTTCAGCTCAGGGCAGCCTCCGCTTCCTGGGTTCAAGTGATCCTCCCACTTCAGCTTCCCAAGTAGCTGGGACTACAAATGCATGCCACCATGCCCAGCTAATTTTGTTTGTACTTTTGTTTTTTGAAATGGAGCCTCACTCTGTTGCCCATGTTGGAGTGCAGTGGTGTGATCTTGGCTCACTGCAACCTCCTCCTCCCAGGTTCAAGTGATTCTCCTGCCTCAGCCTCCCGGGTAGCTGAGACTACAGGTGTGCACCACTACACCTGGCTACTTTTTGTATTTTTAGTAGAGACGTGGTTTTGCCATGTTGGCCAGGCTGGTATTGAACTCCTGACTTCAAGTGATCTGCCCACCTCAGCCTCCCAAAGTGCTGGGACTACAGGCATGAGCCAACGTGCCCAGCTTTCTTTTTGTATTTTTGGTAGAGATGGAGTTTTGCCATGTTGCCCAGGCTGGTCTTGAACTCTTGAGCTCAAGTGATCCACCTGTCTCAGGCTCCCAAAGTGCTGGGACTACAGGTGTGAGCCACCACGCCCAGCCTATGATTATATAATTTTTTAAAATCACATATTGCATCTCAGACACTAACTGAAGTTCTAAGAGACTGAAGAACTGTCTTCCCTATTGTATTACATAAAACAACTACAGCTAATATTTATGCATCATTTTTTTTTATAGAGCAAGCATTGTGCCAAGTTTTATATACATTATCTCATTAATATTTGCAACATCCTATAAGACAGGGGTCCCCAACCCTGGGGCCACATGTTGGTCTTTGGCCTGTTAGGAACTCTGGCCGTTAGGAGGTGAGTGGCCGGTGAGTGCATGAAGCTTCATCTGTATTTACAGCAGCTCCCCAGGGCTCACGTTACCACCTGAGATCTGCCTTCTGTCAGATCAGTGGTGCATTAGATTCTCAAAGGAGCACGAACTGTGAATGCAAGGGATCCAGGTTGCGCATTCCTTATGGGAATCTAATGCCTGATCATCTGTCACTGTCTTCTATCATCCCTGGAGGGAACTGTCTGGTTGCAGGAAATAAGCTCAAGGCTCCCACTGATCCTACATTATGGTAAGTTGTATAATTATCTCATTATATAGTACAATGTAAAAAATAATAGAAATAAAGTGTATAATAAATGTAATGCACTTGAATCATCCTGAAACCATCTCCTACTCCTACCACACAGTCCATGGAAAAATTAGCTTCCAAAAAACTGGTCCCTGGTGGCAAAAGGTTGCGGACTGCTGCTATACTATTATCAGGTAAGTAATTTGCCCAATGTTACTCAGCTCATAAGTTACAGGACCAGGATTACAAATCAGATGTCAGACTCCTCCTGAGTCCATGTTCTTTTTTATTCATGTTATGTTATTTTATTGTTTGTTTTTTATAATCTTGTTCTTTCTGATATTTTTTTATTAATATTTTTTCTTGAGACAAGGTCTTGCTCTTTCACCCAGGCTGGAGTAGAGTGGTGCAAAACAGCTTACTGCAGCCTTGACCTTCTGGGCTCAAGCAGTCATCCCATATCACTTCCCTAGTAGCTGAGACCACAGGTGCGGTGCACAGCATGGTACCATGCTTGGCTGTGGTTTTTTTTTTTTTTTTTGGTAGCAATGGAATTTGCTGTGTTGTCCATGCTCGTCTTAAACTTCTGGGCTCCAATGATCCTCCCACTTCTTGGCCTCCCATAGTGCTGGGATTATAAGTACTGAGCTCCATGTTCTATTTTTGTTTGTTTGTTTGTTTGTTTTCACTCTAATCCCATAGCATATTAGCCATGTTCTTAACTATTTTATAATACTACTTCTCAAAGGTTATGAAAATACCTATGATGCTGTCATTAGCAGTTTCAGAATGAAAACTAACTGGTACTGAAAACATGGCAAAAATTCTTACTTTGTTTTCATTAGCACAAGGCTTGATACCAACCCTAAGCCAAAAACAAAACCTTTGCCATAAGCAAGTGCAATAAATAAACAAGTATGCTTTGTGTTATTACCTTTGGGAACTTGTGTCTTTCTCATGGCTGTCACTGGTGGGGGAAATTTCTTCCAGCTTCTCTGGAGGGGGATGATGGTTAAGAGCATGTTTTGTTATTCCTTTCCTATGAAAGACAAAACAAAGTTATATTTCCCATATAAAAATACATACAATTCAATCATTTAATCTAGAAGTTAGTCACCTACTTCCTCTGCTCTGGACCTGCGATTTTTGACATGGTAGCCACCCTGTTTAAAATGTGTCTAGTCAGAATTGTAAATTGAGTGTAAAACACATTGGATTTCAAGAAACATGTGCAATACCTCATTATATTATCTTGATTACATATTAAAATGATAATATTTTGGATATATTGGGTTAAATATATTCTTAAAATTAGTTTCACTACAAATTGAACCTATAGTAGATATCACCACACACCAATTAGTACAGCTAAAATTAAAAATAATAACACAAAATGCAGGCATGGATGTGGAGAAACCAGATATCTCATATATTATTGCTGGCAGGAATGTCAAACGGTACAGCCATTTCAGAATTGTTTGACAGTTTCTAATAAAACTAAACATATGCATTTACCCAGAGCCCTAGCAGTGGCACTCTTGGGCATTATGCCTAGAGAAATGAAAACTTACATTCACACAAAATCTGCATACAAATGTTCACAGCAGCTTTATTTACAATTGAAAAAATAACTGAAAACAACTTAAATGCCCTTTAACATTTATATATCCACCTAATGGAATATTATTCAGCAATAAAAAGGAATAAACTATTGATACATGCAGCAACTTGGATGGATCTCAAGAGCGCCATGCTTTTTAGTGTAAAAAGCCAAAGCCAATAGAAAAACATTAAATACTACAGTTGACCTTAAACAACACAGGCTTAAATTGTGAGTCCATTTATATACAGCTCTTTTTCAATAAGTATATTGGAACATTTTTTGGAGATTTGCAACAATTTGAAGAAACTCAACAGATGAACCATGTAGCCTAGAAATATCTTTAAAAAGTTAAGAAAAAGGTATGTCATGAATGCATAAAATATGTATAGCTACTAGTCTATTCTTGTGTTGACTATTTATGTTATTGGTAATGCTTCTAGTCAACAGTAGGCTATTAGTAGTTAAGTTTTGGGGAAGTCAGAAGTTAAACGTGGATGTTTTACTGTGCAGGGGGTTGATGCCCCTAACCCCTGCATTGTTTAAGGGCCATTTATATAATGGTATATTGGATAAAACTATAGTGGTAGAGAACAGATTAATGGTGGCCAGGGAAGGAGACAAGTGGATATAACTATAAAGAGATAGTGATACACGATGAAGTTCCCTGATGGTGATGAAACAGCTCTCTATCTTGATTTATAGTTGTATTTGCAGCAATCTATAAATGGGACCAAATTGCATAGAAAGAAAACTAGGTACACACATACACACACACAGGAGTGGATGTAAAAACTGGCTAAGTCTGTAGGTCTAGTTAACAGTATTGTACCAATGTCAGTTTCCTGGCTTTGAAATTATACCACAGTTAGCTAAGATGTCATCATTGGGGGAAGCTGAGTAAAGGGTTCATGGGACTCTCAGTACTATTTTTACAACTTCCTGTGAGTCTACAATTATTTCAAAATAAAAAGGTTAAAAAATTTCTTTTTGAGATGAGGTCTTGCTGTGTCATCCAAGCTGGAGTATAGTGATGTGGTCATAGCTCACTGCAGCCTTGACCTGGGCTCAAGAGATCCTTCTATCTCAGCCTCCTGAGTAGCTGAGATTATAGGTGCTCACCACCACACCTGGCTAATTATTTAATTTTTAATTTTTTTTGGTAGAGATTGGGATCTTGCTGTGTTGCTCAAGCTGGTCTCTAACTCCTGGCCTCAAATGATCCTCCCACCTCAGCTTCCCAAAGTACTGGGATTCAAGGCATGAGACACTGCACTCAGCCTATTTGACCTTTCTTTTTTAATGTGACCACCTGAAAATTTTAAATTACATATGTGGCTTATATCATATTTTTATTGAATATTGTCACTCTAGAGATTCCAATGTGCGCACTGGATTAAGCTATGGGGTCAATTATTATATGTTCCAGTCCTAGTAATCTACAGTAGACTTTCCTTCTCACAAAATTATGTAGTCAAATAAACTTAGGAACTGTGATGGGTTAAACAAAGTTACACAGGTTTCTTTACAAGATGTCTTCCAGGTCTTTAATAAGAAATGTGTACCGTAAATCTCAAATATTCTTATTTCAAAGGAAACTAAGGAACAGAGGGATTAAGTAACCTGCTTAAGTTCATAAGGTTAGTAAGTGATGAAGCCAGGTTTCAAATCCTAGTAGTCTGGCTCTCAGAGGAAGGTCTCTCAAGGAAATAAAGAGTTTGAGATTTTAGTGAATTGTACCATTGTTCTACATAAAGATAAAGCTAAGAGCCCAGTCAGTGGAGCTTGCACTACAAATTATTTCTCAAATTATAGAGATCAGTTTATGCAGACTTATCTGTATGTCTCTCATTTAGCAATCCTATAACAAAGAGCTTGTTTTTAAGAAAGTGGTAAGGATCAGAAATACAAATTCGAGTTGTGAAATAGAGACTTAAGACATTTTTTAAGTCTGCCAGGGGAATCTATGAATTGACAATTAGATAACAAAGAAATATCATTAAATTTAGTAACAGCACTATAACTACATACAAAAATGTCCATAATTTTTAGAGATGCACGACATGTATAGGAATGAAATGACAGTGTCTGCTTTTGCTTTCCTTATTTCACAGAGAGACACAGAGAAGTTAAGAAAGCATAAGGACGATAGATGAAGCAAATATATTAACTTTGATAACTATTGAAGTGGAGATACAGGTAGTTCTCTATATGTTTTCGTTTGAAATTTTTCATTAAAAAATATGAAGCTATGTTGAAAATCATTCCTTTCCCAAATTCTTTTCAACAATTATAATTTGTAATAGGTAGAAAACTAAAGTTACTACTTCAAAGCAGGTTATCATTATTATGACATCTAAAGTAAAAATCGCTTTGAATTTGCTCCCATTTAGATACACTTTACCTTCATTATTCACTTCATCCTGACTCCAGCTACCGAAGCATCTTTTGGGCCTTATAGGGAGTATCAAATCAACAATCAAGGACAAGTAGGCCAGGTGCAGTGGCTCACATCTCTAATCCCAGAACTTTGGGAGGCCAAGGCAGGCAGATCACTTGAGTCCCACAGTTTGAGACCAGCCTGGGTCTCTACTAACCCCATCTCTACTAAAAATACAAAAATTAGCTACGCATGGTGATGTGTGCCTGTGGTCCCCCTACTTGGGAAGCTGAGGTGGGAGAATTGCTTGAACCTGGGAAGTGGAGGTTGCAAGTGAGCCAAGATTGCACCACTGCACTCCAACCTGTGCAACAGAGATTCAGTCTCAAAAAAAAAATACTGGTACAACTATATTAATATTAATATTTCTGGCCCAATAAATGCCTATCATTTTTTTCATATAAGATTTTTTTTCACTTTCAGAATGGTTGGAATTAATTATAAAAGCAGATTTTTTAACTAAACCTCAGTCACTTTATTGGGAAATAACTGTTTTTTCTCAATTTAAAAAAAAAAAAATAGTAACAACACATTCCAAATCTAAGAGATAACTGTTTCTTCTTCCTAGTTCCTAAAGAGTTTACTAGGAACCAAATTGCTACCATGTATAGCTCCTATTCCTTAATAATAAGCTTCTAAAAGGCAAAGAGAGGTTTTAGACTTATTTTCTTTGTATGCCTATTGTATCCCAAGTAAAAGTGAGAAGGGACAAGGAAAATACCATTTATTGAGGAGGTTTATGTGTCAAGCTCCACATCATCATTTTATTTTTATTTATTTATTTATTTATTTATTTATTTATTTATTTTTGAGATAGACTCTCCCTCTGTCACCAGTTGCCAGGCTGGAGTGCAGTGGCGCAATCTCGGCTCACTATAACCTCCGCCTCCTGGGTTCAAGCAATTCTCCTACCTCAGCCTCCCAAGTAGCTGGGACTACAGGTGTGCGCCATCATGCCCAGCTAATGTTTGTATTTTTTTTAGTACAGACAAGGTTTCACCATGTTGGCCAGGATGGTCTCAATCTCTTGACCTCATAATCCACCCGCCTCAGCCTCCCAAAGTGCTGGTATTACAAGCATGAACCACCATGCCCAGTCCCTATTTTTTATTTTTTTGAGACAGAGTCTTGCTCTGTTGGCCAGACTGGAGTGCAGTGGTATGATCTCGGCTCACTGCAACCTCTGCCTCCCTGGTTCAAGCAATTCTCGTGCCTCAGCCTCCCAAGTAGCTGAGATTACAGGGGTGTGCCACCATGCCCAGCTAAGTTTTTTGCATTTTTAGTAGAGACAGGGTTTCACCATTGTTGCCCAGGCTGGTCTTGAACCACTGAGCTCAAGCAATCCGCACACCTTGGCCTCCCAAAGTGCTAGGATGACAGGCGTGGCCCAAACTATAATTTTAAATAAGCTTTTAGATAAGGTCTTATTCCTATATTACAGAAATGAAGCCTCAGTGATGTAGTAATTTGCCTAAAAGTCACATGACTAGAAGACAGCCTAGCCAGAAACCCAAGAATGACTCAAAATATCATGCTTGCAATTATTATGTACAGTTAATATTAATAAATTTATGGTTGCTAAAATTACATAGTTCAATGAAGGAAAAAAATTGGAATTTGGGGTTAAAGTCCAAGCTCAACTCCTGACTTTTTTGGCTATAGAATCTTAAAATGTGTAACATTTCTGATACAATTTCATCTTCTGAAAGACTGAAGATAATCATGCCCATTTTACAGAGTTGTTAAGATCAAAAAGTGAAGTCAGCTGGGCATGGTGGCTCACACCAGCACTTTGGAAGGCTGAGGTGGGAGAACTGCTTGAATATAGGAGTTTGAGACCAGCCTGGGCAACATAGTGATACTCTGTCTCTACCAAAAAAAAAAATTTTTTTTTTTAATTAGCCAGTTGTGGTGGCATGCACCTGCAGTCCCAGCTACTTGAGAGGCTACATTGTGAGGATCACCTGAGCCCACGGGTGGAGGCTGCAGTGAGCAAGGATTGCACCATTGCCTTCCAGCCTGGACAAACATAGCAAGACCCTGTTTCAAAAAAAAGTGAAAGCCCTTTTGGAAGTGTAAAGCATTAATAAATATATGATACTTATTGCATTCAAAATTATTATACAACACTTCAGTCAGGGTAGGGGGTGGATCTTTTTTAAGTCAGAAATATTTGCTCTCTAAAGTCTCAAAAACAAAACTGATCTTTATGGATTCTGGTGCTTAACTGCAGAGCTGGTGAGGCAGTATGTGTGATGGTTATGACCACAGGCTTCAGAATCAGATCGACATCAGGTTTGTACCTCTCAGATCTCCCACCTTCAAGCTGGGTGATCTTTGGCATGCTTACAGTCTTTAAATTTGGGATCTTTATCTGTAAAATATGCAACATAATAGTCCTAATCTGATATCCTTGTTGATAGGATTAAGTAAGCAAATGCATGTAAATAGCTTTGCACAGTGTCAAGTGAGCACTTTACTGGAGCACTCAGCTATTAATAACTTTTCGAGCTGACCATGGCCACTGACAATGGGACCTGAAGCACTGCGGAAACAAATGATTCAGGAGACCCAGTGCTTGAGCTCAGAAATTACATACCAAGGGCGACACGCCCTCAGCTGGAGATGGAGGAAGTAGGGACAGCATCCAGCAGGGCTGAGAGGAGGGAATTCCGAAGAAAAATCTCTCCCCAGCCCTAGGACAGGAGAGGAGCTGAAGGACTGGTAAAGGAGGGTCCCCAGAGCGCCCCCGGCCCGCCCCGGATGGGGTGGCTGAGCAGTCCACTCACAGCTCCAAGCTCTGTGGCACCGCCTTCCGAGTGTATCTGGAGATCATCCTCCTCCTCCTCCTCAGCCGCGGCCGGGGCGGGCACGCCAGGGTGGGGGCCTCCGGGCCTGGCCCTCCTGCCGGCTCCGGCCCGGCCCCCTCCCACCACCTACCGGCCCCGTCTCGCCCCGTCGCCTAGACTCCGATCCGCCACCTCCCCAGGGTCCCCATCTCTCCAGTTCTCCGACTTCCCTGCTTTCCCGCGAGAGCGGAAGTGACGAAGGCACTCGGGCACCCGCAGACGCACAGCAATGACAACACCCAAGCTTCCGGGGACTCAGCGGGCTGACTTTCTCCCAGGATTTCCGCTGGCCCCAGGTCCCGGTTTGGCGTCGGAACAGAGCCTGATCTAGGCTTCGGCGGCCGCTGGCAGCTCTCGATCAGCTCTCTCAGTCGGAGACGCGGCTAAGAAAGGTGCCACAGCGGAGACGCGCAGGAGCGGCCCTAGAACTGTAAGAGAAATTGGCTTCACTTTGTTAGACGGCAGGAGGGAGCCTAGACTGAGTAAAGAGCACTAGACTCCAAATCAAGCCCTTGCTGCGTGGTCGCTTCTCTTTCTGTGCTCCGGGTTTTCTCATATGTACAGTAAGGCATTCGCCTGAGTGATCGTAGAGTCCCTTCCATTTCTGACATCAAATTCTGCATCATGAGGTGTGTTTGGCGTTATGGAGTGGGTGGGTAGAATTACTGTCTGTCCCTCTGGGTTGAAAGGCAAAATGATTTGTTCAGACTGTGGTGAGTGGGTGTCTGGTTAGAAGCAGCAGATTCCTCCTTTAGAAACCTTGAGTAAGGGCAATTGGAATCATTTTGTTAGGGTGGTCCATCCAGTGCAGTTCCTTCCTTTACCACGCATCACCTGGAAGCCAGAATAAACTAGTACTCTTACTTGTAAGGAAAGCCCTTAGAAAATTAAGAGATGTCAATGCAACCTCCATCAAAATACCAATGACATTCTTCGCAGTCATAGAAAAAATGATCCTAATTTTTTTTTTTTTTTTTTTAATTGAGAAGGAGTTTCACTCTTGTTGACCAGGCTGGAGTGCTATGGCACGATCTCGGCTTACCACAACCTCAGCCTCCCAGGTAGCTGGGATTACAGGTATGCACTGCCACACCTGGCTAATTTGGTACCTTTTTTTTTTTTTTTTTTTTTTTAGTAGAGACGGGGTTTCTCCATGTTGGTCAGGCTGTTCTCGAACTCTTGACTGCAGGTGATCCTCCTGCCTTAGCCTCCCAAAGTGCTGGGATTACAGGCGTGAGCCACCATGCCTGGCCTAATCCTAAAATTTATATGGAACCAGAAAATACCCAAAATAGCCAAAGCTATCCTGAGGGGCGGGGAGAGGGGGGGACTGGAAGAATCACATTACCTGACTTCAGATTATACTACAGAGTTATAGTACCCAAAACAGCATGGCACTGGCATAAAAACAGACATATAAACCAATGGAACAGAATAGAGAACCCAGAAACAAATCCATATGTCTGCAGTGAATTCATTTTCAACAAAGGTGCCAAGAATATACCCTGGGGAAAAGACAGTCTCTTCAATAAATGTTACTGGGAAAACTGATACCCATATGCAGAAGAATGAAACCAGACCCACTATCTCTCACTGTATACAAAAATCAAATTAAAATGAATTTAAGACTTATATCTAAGCCCTCAAACTATGAAACTACTAAAAGGAAATATTGGGGAAACTCTCCAGGACAGTGGATTGGGCAAAGATTTCTTGAGTAGTACCCCACAAACAGAGATAGCAAAAGCAAAAATGACCAAATGGGAGCACATCAAGTTAAAAAGCTTCTGCACAGCAAAGGAAACAATCAAAGAAGTGAAGAGACAACACACAGAATGGGAGAAAATATTTGCAAACTACCCATCTGACAAGGGATTAATAACCAAAATATATAAGGAGCTCAAACAACTCTAGGAAGCAATCTAATAATCTGATTAAAAATTGGACAAATACTCTGAATAGACATTTCTGAAAGAAGACATAAAAATGGCAGATAGGTTTATGAAAAGGTGCGCATGTCTTTGATCATCAGAAAAATGCAAATGAAAACTACAATAAGACAGCATCTCACCCCAGTGAAAATGGCTGTTATCTGTAAGACAGATAATAACAAATGCTGGCAAGGATTTGGAGAAAACACTGTTGGTGGGATTGTAAATTAATGCAGTCACTATGGAGAACAATTTTGGAGATTCCTCAAAAAACTAAAAATAGAGCTACTATAGATCCAGGAATCCCATTGCTTGGTATTTACCCAAAAGAAAGGAAATCAGTATATCAAAGAGATATCTGCATGTTTATTGCAGCACTGTTCACAATAGCCAAGATTTGGAAGCAACCTAAGTGTCCATCAACAGCTAAGTGAATGAAGAAAATGTGGTACATACACAAAATGGAGTACTTTTCAGCCATAAACAAAATGAGATTTTGTTATTTGTAACAACATGGATGGAACTGGAGATCATTATGTTAACTGAAATAAGCCTGGCACAGAAAGATAAACTTTAAATGTCCTCATTAATTTGTAGGAGCTAAAAATTAAATCAGTTGAACTCATGGAGATAGCAAGTAGAAGGATGGTTACCAGACTGGGAAGGGTTGTAGAGGGTTGATGGGGGAGTTGTATGGTTAAAGGGCACAGAAAAATAGAGCAAATGAAAGCTAGTATTTAGTAGCACGACAGGGTGACTACAGTAAATAATTTAATTGTACATGTAAAAATAACAAAGTTCTGAGGAGAGCATATCCTGGCTATAAAGAAGTTTTTTTAATGAAAATAAAGTGTATAATTATATTGTAACACAATGGATAAATGCTTAAGATGATGGCTGTCTCATTTACCCTGATGTGATTGTTATGCATTATATACCTGTTTCAAAATATCTCATGTACCCATAAATTTATACACCTATTTTTTCCCCTTAAAAATTAAAAAAAAAAAGAAAGAAAGAAAGACATATCTACCATCCCATGAGATTTGAAAAAGGGGCAAATTTAGGACAGAGGTAAGATGACAGGACACGAATGTTTTGTAGTTCTGAATTCCTCTACACTATGCAATGTTCATAAAAGAGAGAGGATTACATTCTGCAGAGCAAAAGAGATTATTCTTTAGAGTTGAACAAAATTTTAAAGCAGGGAGAGATTTTAGAGATGGTAGATAACTTATCCTAAATTAAAGAAAAAAACCCAGAAAGAGAAAGTGAAATGTCTACAGTGGCACAGCTAATTAGTGGCAGAACTGGGATTTTTGATAGCATGTAAACAGTGGATGTTAGTGCAGTGTTTCTTGAAGTATGTTACACATACCACTCCTAGTACAAGGGAAAACATTGAAAATTTCATTTTTCACTTGCAAAACAGGAAAAATATAAAAAATAGTGATGTTATTCTTATTAATTGGGGAATGTGATACGGGTTTCTATTCACTGTATTATATCAAGGTTTCCTTTGAACATAATTTTAAACATAAAGTTTTAAGTGTAAAGTGTCATTAAAAATAATGTTAGACCAGGCACAGTGGCTCATGCCTGTAATCCCAGCACTTTGGGAGAGCAAGGGAGAAGGACTGCTTGAGCTCAGGAGTTCAGGACCAGCCTGGGCAACATGGCAAAACTTTGCCGCTACTAAAAATACAAAAAAAATTAGCTGGATGTGGTGGCACATGCCTGTGGTCCCAGCTGCTTGGGAGGCTGAGGTGGGTGGATGGCTTGAGTCCAAGCAGTAGAGGTTGCAGTGAGCTGTGATCATGCCACTGCACTCCAGCCTGGGTAACAGAGGTGACTCATGCCTATAATCACAGCACTTTGGGAGGCCGAGGCAGGCGGATTACTTGAGGTCAGGAGTTTGAGACCAGCCTGGCCAACATGGTGAAACCTTGTCTCTAACAAAAATTAGTTGGACATGGTGGCATATGCCTGCAATCACAGCTACTTGGGAGGCTGAGGCAGGAGAATTGCTTGAACCCAGGAAGCGGAGGCTGCAGTGAGCCAAGATGGAGCCATTTGCACTCCAGCCTGAGTGCAAACAATGTTTGCCCTTGTACTAGGAGTGGGCAACAAGAGCAAAACTGTGTCTCAAAATAAATAAATAAAGTTTAAAAAAATTAAATAAATATTACTGTAGGTAGTGTATGGTTAAGGCAAAAACCATGATGATGGTATGTGCCTAACTAAATCTTATTTTTTTTATTTTTATTTTTTTGACATGGAATCTTTGATGCCCAGACTGGAGGGCAGGGCATGATCTCTGCTCACTGCAACCTCTGCCTCCTAGGTTCAAGCGATTCTTCTGCCTCAGCCTCCCGAGTAGCTGGGATCATAGGCATTTGCCACCACACCCAGCTAATTTTTTGCATTTTTAGTAGAGACGGGGTTTCACTGTGTTGGCCAGGCTGGTCTCAAATTTTAGAAAACAATGTTCATAGAGTCATCTAAAAAAGAGTTCAGAGAATGTGATGTTACTTCTGCATTGTTCTATGTGGTTTGTATTTTGGAACTTTAAATGTAGTTTTCAAAGAAGAATGGAAGAATCTATGAAGCTTGCTATGGTGGAAGACACCGTGGAGTACCGCCTGTTCCTGATACCAGATGAATCAAGGGACCCAGAAAAACAAAAAGAGGTTCTTCAGAAGTATATTGAGAGAATAATGACCCAGTTTGCACCTATGCTGGTCTCCTACATCTGGCAGAATCAGCCTTTCAATCTGAAATATAAACCTGGGAAAGGTAAGGCTCTTTTATTTGTTTTGATTAATGTGATTTTTAATGTTATTCTGACAACAGTAATGTGTAATAGTCCACACTTCATTCAGTATTGTCAGGAGGAGATTAATACACTAAACTTGTTAGATAAGTGATACTTGTCTATATTCAGTTAGCCTTAAACCTAAAGCTCTTTAAAAAAAAAAAGTAATGAAAGCTTTCTAAATTTGCCTTAGGAATTAGCATGTGCTAAACATTATTAAACTCATAGCTATTCTTTTAAACTTTCGTTGCTATACAGTGCCATAATGTATCTAACTATACTGAACAGTGTCAGGCATGTGGCTTTAATCCTAGTTCCTTTTGGTTTTACTCAGTATTCCTTATTTTGTTAATGTGTTTAGTAACCTGCCTTGTTTCATATAGCTGTTTTGGTGAGGATCTGAGTGTCTCTGCCGGGCTTATAAAGATAAATAATTGGGCTTTATGACTACTATTTGCCATTCAGGAGCATTTTGAGGTTTCTTTATTGCTCTCCTGTGTTGTTGATGCTTGAGATCTGACCTCTGCCAAATATGATACTCTGTCCTGTTATGAGAAAAACCCAGGATTATACAGAAAAATGTTCCCCCAAACTAGGAGGGAGCTGAAAGACCAAAGAATGACTCGGACAGGTCTATCTTGGCAAGTAGATGAGTTTATTCGGACTTACACACAGGACACTCCTGGGCAGCAGCAGGACAGCTCTAGAAATCTGCCCCACCTTCTGTCTCTAAGCTGCTTGTAAGCTAATTTTTTGGCTCTTTGCCTACTGTGTATATGCAGACACTGTTTTCCTTGGTATGTTCCCAGCTATGCCCTGAGATGTTTGGGTTCTCAGGACCTGCTCGTCTGCTGGGCACCATGGCTTTGGCTTGCCAGCTGGCCTTCAAACTTTAAGCAGCAGACATACTGCTTAAAGTGGGAAACTGGTCACACTACAGCCCTGTCATTTCTTATAGTTTTATGAAAATTAATCATGGGTAGGTGACCAAGGCTCTACTCACACTGTGACTTCTGTGAGGTCTTATTTGGGATCAGGAACCTGGCATCTTGTGATGCCATCACAAGATAGCCCCCATGTATACATAACAAGTGTACATCACTGTGATACTCTCAGTTTAGTGCTTATCTGCTGTCTTTTGGCTAGCATTGCTACATATCTTCTCTACTGTTAATTTTGTTGAACTCTTATTCATCGAAATACATATATATTTATTGGCAAGAACACTGTCATGTTGGTGCAGCACATCCAAAACCAACCCTTTATCTGTTCTCTAGAAAGCCATTTTTACCCTATGTTTTCTTATCTTGTTTAATGGCATTGCCATCCACCCAGTTATTCAAGCTAGTCAATAATTCAGAATCATAATCAGTTCCTCACTTCACCATGTTCGGTCAGATGCTAAATCCTTAATGCTTTGAAAATATGACCCCTTCTCTACATCTATTTGGCTTCAGCGTAGGCCCTTTTTATCTCTACATCTAGAAAACAACAATAACCTCCTAACTTACCTCTCTGGTTCCAGTCTTTGTAGTTCCTCACACTGTTGCCAGTTACCTTTGTAAAACACAAATTTGATTGTGTCACTCTGCTGCTTAATATCCTTCAATAGTTCCCATTGCTTCAGGATGAAGTTTAAATTGAAGTCTAATATAGACAAAAATAGATACTTTAATTGGAGTTCTCTAGTTGAAGAAACTTGAGATCTGGGGTGGGGAGAAGAGTTGGTTGGGCTGTTCTTCCTGTTGTTTGCCATGGCAGCTCTTGAGACACTCTGTAATGTACTTGTTTGACCTTCATTCTGTTAATGTGGGATGTTACTGTACATTGATTTTCATGTATTGAACCATCCTTGCATCCCAGGAATAAATCCCGCTTGGTCATGGTTAACCATCTATTTAATGTGCTGCTGAATTCAGATTGCTGATATTTTGTTAAGGATTTCTGCATTGACATTCATCAGGGATATTGGTCTACAGTTTTCTGATATTGTCTTTGTTTGGTTTTGGTATTAGGGTAATGCTGGCCTCAGAAGGAATTTGGGAATTCCCTCCCCTTCATTTTTTTGGAAGATTTTGATGAGGATTGGTGTCAAATTCTTTAAATGTTTGGTAGATTTCCCCGGTGAAGCCAGCTTTTCTTTACTAGGAGCTTTTGGATTATTTATTCAATCTCCTTACTAGTTATAGATCTGTTCAGATTTTTCTGTTTCTCATGATCCAGTCTTGATAGGTTGTGTGTTTTTAGGAATTTGTCCATTTCTTCAACATTATCAAATTTATTGGCATGCCATTGTTCATAGAATTATCTTATCCTTCTTATTTCTGTGACATAGTTTGTATTGCCCCCTCTTTCATTTCCGATTTTAGTTATTTGAGTATTTGCTCTTATTCCTGGTTAATTAAGTTAATAGTGTGTCAATCTTTTTTAAAAAAAACTAAATCAGTTGTTTTGTTTTTCTGGTCATTTCATTTATCTCTGCTGTAATGTTTATTATTTACTTCCTTATGCTAGGTTTGGGTTTTGTTTCATTTAGTTTTTTTTCCCCCTAATTCTTTAGGGTATAGATTGTTGATCTGAGATCTTTCACAACTACAAACTTCCTCCTTAGCACTGCTTTCTCTGAATCCCTTAAGTTTTGGTATGATGTGTGTTCATTTTCATTTGTCCCAAGATATTTTCTAATTTCCCTGTGATTTCTTCCAAGAGTGTGTTGTTGTTTAGTTTCCATGTGTTTGTGAATAGTGCACATGTTCCATCTCTATCCAAATTTGGTCCATCCAAATCTAGCGTTCTGGTATTCCCAGAATACTCTATACGTGCATACTTTATACACTATGCCTCTGTGCCTTTGCACATACTTTTCCATTTTTCTGGACAAACATAGCACAGATATCCCCTCCTTTATACTCACATCGCCCTTACTGCATACCCCTGTTTTAGAGTTCATTGTCTTGTTTTGAGATCATTTGGTTATCTAGTTTTACCCTGAGCTCCTCAGGAGCAGGCTTCTTGTTCAGGATTGCAACCCTGGCTCCCCAGTACTTAGAGCAGTCAGTCAATGAATGTTTATTCAATTGAATGATTATGTGCATTTTATTTGCAGTAACAAATTTATCTGGTTACATGGTTGCTTTTCTCTTGTTTTTAGGAGGTGTTCCTGCTCATGTGTTTGGCATGACAAAGTTTGGGGATAATATTGAGGATGAATGGTTTATTGTTTATGTCATAAAGCAGATTACAAAGGAATTTCCAGAGTTAGTAGCAAGGTATTATAATTATTTTAATTATTCTAAAGAAATTCTATTACTGAAATAAAGTGACTACATTTTTATCTATTTAGTGATTTATTTTTCTCCTAGTCTGCTGGAAATTGTACAGATTTGGGACAGATTTTTTTTTTTTGAGACACAATCTGGCTCTGTCACCCAGGGTGGAATACAGTGGTGTGATCATGGCTCACTGCAACCTCTGCCTCACAGGTTCAAGTGATTCTGCTGCTTCAGCCTCTCGACTAGCTGGGATTACAGGCACGCACCACCACAACTAGCTAATTTTGTATTTTTAGTAAAGATGGGGTTTCACCATGTTGACCAGGCTGGTCTTGAATCCCTGACCTCAGGTGATCCACCCTCCTCGGCTTCCCAAAGTGCTGGGATTACAGTTTTCTTTCTCTTCTCTTGTGACTTCCTTTTCTTGAGAAAGAAAGTACTATCGAAGAGTTCAACTTCCAAAAGATTTCAAACAAAACCTAGGGTTCTACTGCTCTGGCTTCCCAGAAGTAATCACCATTAAATTCCTTGTGGATCTTTGGAAAATAAAATTCCATTCATTCACATACATATTTTCCATATTTTAAGTATGTATGCCTCTACTGGACCATAGCTATACTTTTTGAGAAATCATACACAGAAACAATTTAAAGAGAAGTCAGTGAACAATTGTATAGGAAGCAAAGTAGGTAACACTGCATTAAAAATGGGACTTGAGGTAGGGTGCGGTGGCTTACGCCTGTAATCCCAGCACTTTAGGAGGCTGAGGCAGGAGAATCGCTTGAACGCGGGAGGCAGAGGTTGCGGTGAGCCGAGATTGCACCATTGCACTCCAGCCTGGGCAACAAGAGCAAAATTCCATCTCAAAAAGAAAAAAAAAGTGTCTTGCTATTTTGCCCATGCTGGACTTGAACTCCTGGGCTCAAGCCATCCTCCTGCCTCAGTCTCCCAAGTATCTGGTACTACAAGCACATGCTACTGTGCTTTATTTTATTTTATTTTTTTGAGACAGAGTTTCACTCTGTTGCCCAGACTGGACTGCAGTGGAACAATCTTGGTTCACTGCAACCCCTGCCTCCCGACCTCAAGTGATTCTCATACCTCATCCTCCTGAGTAGCTGGGGATACAGGCGTGCACCACCACACTTGCCTAATTTTTGTATTTTTTGTGGAGACAAAGTTTCACCATGTCCCTACTTTGGGAGGCCATCTCTACTTTGGGAGGCCGAGGCAGGCAGATAACAAGGTCAAGAGATCGAGACCATCCTGCCAACATGGTGAAACCCCATCTCTACTAAAAATACAAAAATTAGCTGGGCATGGTGGCGCATGACTGTGGTTCCAGCTACTCGGGATGCTGAGGTAGGAGAATCACTTGAACCCAGGAGGTGGAGGTTGCAGTGAGCCAAGGTTGCACCACTGCACTACAGCCTGGCGACAGAGTGAGACTCTGTCTCAAAACAAAATAAATAGAGTAAAAACGGGACCTGAGTTTTCTATAAGTACCAAGTATTGCCAGCAGAGGGCGTTCCGCCCACTTATATTTTGTCCTAGTTTTCCTAGTCAGCACCCAAATTCTCATCTTTTTTTTTTTCTTCCTTCAGGGAGGCCAGAATGGAATAAATTCTGATCTTTTTTTTTACCCACCCCAGCCTCTTTCCCAGCAGAACAAAAGAGAAGGGGAAAAAAACCTTTGAAAACTTATTATTTAAATTTTAAATATACATTAAAATAGAATGAACCCACGTGTTCCCATTACCCAGCTTCAACAATCACCAACTCATGGTCATTATTATTCTATCTGTAGCTGTCATTTGATTCTTAAATACTTCAGGATGTAAATCAAAGAGATAACTCATTTTATTTTTATCTTTAAATAAATGTATTTAATTTTTTTTAATGTTTTAAATTTATTTATTATTTATTTAGTTTTTTAAAGACAGGGTCCTAGGCTGGGCGCCATGGGTCATGCCTGTAATCCCAGCACTTTGGGAGGCCAAGGCAGACGGATCACCAGAGGTCGGAAGTTCAAGATCAGCCTGACAACCATGGAGAAACCCCATCTCTACTAAAAATACAAAATTAGCTGCACATAGTGGCACATGCCTGTAATCCCAGCTTATCAGGAGGCTGAGGCAGTAGAATCACTTGAACCCAGGAGGCAGAGGTTGCGGTGAGCCGAGATCGCGCCATTGCACTCCAGCCTGAGGAACAAGAGTGAAATTCCATCTCAAAAAAAAAGACAGGGTCTTGCTATTTTGCCCAGGCTGTACTTGAATTCCTGAGCCATCCTCCTGCCTCAGTCTCCCAAGTATCTGGTACTACAGACACATGCCACTGTGCTCTATTTATTTTATTTTATTTTATGTCTTTGAGACAGAGGCTCACTCCTCAGTGGAGTGATACTGGCTCACTGCAACCCCTGTATCCCAGACTCAAGTGATTCTTATACCTCATCCTTCCAGGTAGCTGGGGCAACAGGCGTGCACCACCACACCTGCCTAATTTTTGTATTTTTATAGAGACAAGGTTTCACCATGTTGTCCAGGCTGGTCTTGAACTCCTGACCTCAAGTGATCCACCTGCTTCAGCCTCCCAAATTGCTGGGATTACAGGCGTGAGCCACTGCACCTGGCCTGTTTTTTAAATTGACAAATAAAAATTGTATATATTTATTATGTATAACATGTTGTCTTGAAATACATATATGTTGTAGGATGGCTGAATTGAGCTTATAACATATATTACTTCACATACTTATTTTTTTGTGTGCGGTAAGAACATTTAAAATCTGCCTTAGCAAGTTTCAAGAACACAATACATTGTAGGCTGGGCACAGTGGCTCACACCTGTAATCCTAGCACTTTGGGAGGTTGAGGCAAGAGCATCACATGAGGTCAGAAGTTGGAGACCAGCCTGGCCAACATGGTGAAACCCTGTCTCTACTAAAAATACAAAAATTAGCCGGGCACGGTGGCCCACGCCTGTGGTCCCAGCTACTTGGGAGGTTGAGGCAGGAGAATCACTTGAGCCCAGGAGGCAGAGCTTGCAGTGAGTATGACTGCACCACCGCACTCCAGCCTGGGCAACAGAGTGAGACTCTGTCTCAAAGCTAAACTAAAATAATAAAAATAAAAAAATAGAGCTAGAATGGTATATAACAGTATATAAAATACACTGTGTCTTGTGTACAAAAGGGAGAAAATACAAATATATATTTCTATAGCTAGATTATGCATAAGCAAACTCTAGAAGGATATACAAGAAACAGCAGTGATATGTGTAGGGTTGAGCAGATAGGAACAAAAGTAGGAGGGAGACTTTTTCATTTTGTAACTTTTAATATATTTTTTAAAATTTTAACCATGTTAATGTATAACCTGTTAAAACTTTTAAATTTAAAAACATGATGCCGGCTGGGCACAGTGGCTCATGCCTGTAATCCCAGCACTTTGGGAGGCTGAGGTGTGTGGATCACCTGAGGTCAGGAGTTCAAGACCAGCTTGGCCAACATGGTGAAACTCCATCTCTACTAAAAATACAAAAATTAGCCAGATGCTGTAGTGGGCACCTGTAATCCCAACTACTTGGGAGGCTGAGGCAGGAGAATCGCCTGAACTTGGGAGTGGAGGTTGCAGTGAGCCAAGATCAGGCCACTGCACTCCAGCCTGGGCAACAGAGCCAGACTGTCAAAAAAAAAAAAAAAAGTAATGCAAATGATTATCTTTTCAGGTCCAAATACCACCTCTTACATGAAGGCTTTTCTAATCTCTGCTATGTTTTTTTTTTCTTTTGGAACCCTATAGTACTTTATGTATTTTTATATTTTTGTTTAATATTTCTTTATGTAAATTGCTTATCTTCTCTCCTTATTATCTACCTTCAACTCCTTACAGTCTTATAGTCTCCTCCTTTCCCATAGCTATCTACACATGGTTCATACTCAAATATTTACTAAGATGAAAAGGAAAATGTATTAGAATAAGACTGTTTTGGTTACTAGCAAATATGTGCTTTTTGAATGCAAAATTGGAAATTTTCTTGCATTAGGATTGAAGACAATGATGGCGAATTCTTGTTAATAGAAGCTGCTGACTTTCTCCCTAAATGGTTGGATCCTGATAATAGCACCAATAGGGTAGGTACACCCAAGTTTTGAAAATTTATAGAGATGAAATCATACTGGATTACATTCAATATGTACCTAGAGTTTGCCAGTGCCCCCTATGAAAATTAAAATGTACTATTTGCAGGTATTTTTCCACCATGGGGAATTGTGTATTATTCCTGCACCAAGAAAAGCTGGAGAAGAATCTTGGTTACCCAACACACCCCCAACAATTCCACAAGCATTGCATATAATCTCAGCACATCCAGAAAAAATACTTGCTTCAGAATCTATACGAGCTGCTGTGAATAGACGCATCAGAGGGTAAGAAAAATATCACTTCCGTTGCTGATTAAGGAATCTTTTAGTTTCATGTAGTTCAATCTTTCTTTGATTTTTGTTTTTCTTTAAGTTCTGTTGGTCTTAATCAGTCTTTCTCTGACTATAAAATGTCTTTCACCGATATTAACGCTAATTTTCCTTTTGTCTTCATTCCTCTTTATGAAATTGACTAATAAACTTACAGATTTTAAAATTGGAAACAAATACATCTTTAAATTTCCCATTCAGAAGGGTTATAATCTTGTCCCAATATTTTTGCATTTATTTACCCTAGATATCATGGCTAAGTATTAGCTCTATCCATGGGTAAAAATTTGAGACCTTCAAAAAACGGAAACCTAATGGAGCACAAGGTGCTCAGGTTTTTTTGTTGTTCTGGGTCTCTATCTGGGATTCTTTGACCTATGTCAGAATTCAATTTCTGAATAAAACTTTAGCTTTTATTCAGAAAAGAAGATCTTAACCTAGTAACATATTAGTTCATCCATTCAAATTTGGGTGCCTATTAAATATGTAGCACAATTTAGGGCTTAACAATATTAAAAATATTTTAGCTTCAGTATACTTTGTACCATTCTTTTAGAAGAAAAGCTTTGATTTTATCTTTACTCCAAAGTATAATAGGTTTTTTGTTTTATTTTTGAACTACAATAATCCCTTTTCTTTATTTTCCATTTCTTCCTACTTTTTCTTTTTCCTTCTCTTCCTTCTTATAGTCTTAAGTGTATGTGCAGTATCTGTTTTCATCTCTCTGTACATACTACTCTTGATGAACAAAGACAAGATGTTGAAAAGAAAGTGAAAGATACAAGAATTCTAGGTATTTGTATATTGTAAAATGAAAATAATATGTTACCTGTCCCAGGTACCCAGAAAAAATTCAGGCCTCCCTTCATAGAGCACACTGCTTCCTTCCAGCTGGCATCGTGGCAGTGCTAAAGCAGCGCCCCAGATTGGTGGCTGCAGCAGTCCAGGCATTTTACCTGCGAGACCCTATTGACCTACGAACCTGTCGTGTTTTCAAGACATTCTTGCCTGAAACTCGAATAATGACATCGGTGAGATTTCTATCTTGGTCATTTAGTTTCTCTCATGGGAAACAGAGTTGAAACATGATTTTTTTTTTTCTTTTTATATTTCTCAGTGCTCAGTGAATGAAACATTATTTTAGTTGCTCTCTAGAAAAAACAAGGAAATATTCTATTTCTTTGTAGCATGTTGATATAGGTTGAATATTCCTTATCTGAAATGCTTGGGACCAGAAATATTTCAGATTTCAGATTTTTTTTTTTTTTGGATTTTGGAATATTTGCATTATACTTACCAGTTGAGCATTCCAAATCGGAAAATGTAAAATCTCACAACTTTGAGCATATCGTTGGCACTCAAAAAGTTTTGGATTTTGGAACATTTTAGATTTCAGATATTCACATTGGGGATACTCAAACTATTCACATTTTTTCTTCTACCTCGTGAAGGAAATTTTCAAGATACCTGACTCCCCATTTATTCTTAATGTTTCATACCTATTTTTGACCATATTTTTCTATTTCTATAATTATTTCCTCCTTTTTTTTTTTTGAGACAGAGTCTTGCTGTGTTACCCAGACTGGAGTGTAATGGAGCCATCTCAGCTCACTGCAACCTCTCTGCCTTCTGGGCTCAAGCGATCCTCCTGCTTCCCAAGTAGCTGGGACTACAGGTGCCTCCCAAGACACCTGGCTAATTTTTGTATTTTTAGTAGAGACAGCATTTCGCCATGTTGACCAGGCTGGTCTTGAACTCCTGACTACAAGTGATTCACCCATCTTGGCCTCCCAAAGTGCTGGTATTAGAGGCATGAGCCACCATGCCCGGCCTAATTATTTCCTTCTTAACAATAAAACATTTCATCTCTTCCAGGAAATTAAGAATTATTCTTGGCCAGGCAGGGTGGCTCACACCTGTAATCCCAGCACTTTGGGAGGCCAAGGCAGGTAGATCACTTGAGCCCAGGAGTTCGAGACCAGCCTGGGCAAGATGGTGAACCCCATCTCTACAAAAAATAAAAAAATTAGCCAGGTGTGATGGCGGGTACCTATAATTCTTGCTATTTGGGAAGTTGAGGCAGGAGGATCACTTGAGCCCAGGAGGTTGAGGCTTCAGTGAACCATGATTGCTCCACTGCACTCCAGCCTGGGCAACAGAGCAAGACTCTGTCTCAGAAAAATAAAGAATTCTTCTTTATTTTCACCCCTTAAATTGCTGCATAATGTAGCTAATGATAAAAATTTTACCAGTGATTACTAAAAGTGGACAGTAGGATTTTTTTTTTTTTTTTTTTGAAACAGAGTCTTGCTCTGCCGCCCAGGCCGAGTGCAATGGTGCAGTCTTGGCTCACTGCAACCTCCACATACTGGGTTCAAACAATTCTCCTGCCTCAGCCTCCAGAATAGCTGGGATTACACTTATGCACCACCTTGCCTGTCTAATTTTTGTGTTTTTAGTAGAGACAGTTTCACCACGTTGGCCAGGCTGGTCTCAAACTCCTGGCCTCAGGTGATCTGCCTGCCTCGGCCTCCAAAAGTGCTGGGATTACAGGCATGAGCCACCATGCCCAGCCAGCCACAGGGTAAATTTTATGGTATGTGAGTTATATCTCAATCCAGCTCTGAAAAACAAGTAGGCAGTGAATAGGTTAAATTTTCTTTGCATTTCATATGAATTTGATGCTTATAAATGGACTTCTTACTTAACTCTGAAGTGATATTCACAATTTTAATTTCAGGAAAAGACTCATGTATTTTGTGTCTTGATGCCCAGGTCACATTCACTAAATGTCTGTATGCACAGTTGGTGCAACAAAGGTTTGTGCCAGACCGGCGGAGTGGATATAGGCTGCCTCCTCCATCTGATCCCCAGTACCGAGCCCATGAATTGGGCATGAAATTGGTAATGTTGAAACGGAAATGTTGTTTTCTTTTTTTATGTAAATGGGCTGTTAATAGTATAGTGGCACAATATAGAAAGTCCAGAAATGCACCCTGTTTATGTAAGAATGCAGTAAAATGTGGCATTTGAAATTAGAATGAAAACATTTATTATTTAGTAAGTGACAATGGGACAAGTGTGAAGCCATCTGAAAAAGTGAAGTTGATTCCCTAATACCTATACCAAAATAAATTCCAATTGGATCAAATATTTAAACATAAAACTTGAAACTATACAATTTGAAATACAAACAAGAACTTTTTATAATCTGAATAGGAAAGGCCTTTCTAAGTATGACTTGAAACCAGAATTTATAAAAGGGCACTGATTATGCAAAAATTAAGCATTTCTGCATGGAAAAGAAAAACTCCATTAATAAAGTCAAAAGATAGCAAACCTGGAGAAAGTTATATTTGCAATCTAAATGAAAAAGAGCTGATTTCTCTAATATATAAAGTGTTCATTTAAGTCAATATGAAAAAGATAATACTAACCAATTGATTTTTAAAATGTTCAGGAACTATGAATATAGTCCACATAAGAGGAAGTACAGGTGACCTTTAAGTTAAACATATGAAAAATATTGAATCTTACTCACAATAAAAGAAATACACTTTAAAGCTACAAAATAGTGTTTTTCGTCATTATGTTAGCATGTATCAAATGGCCTGATAATACATACTGGGTTGTTGAGAATATATAGAAAAAAGCATACTCTCAGACATTGTTGATAGGAATATAAATTGACTGTATCCCTTATGAGAACATTTTGGCAAAATAGATGCTCCACAACTTACAGTAGGGTTACTTCCTGATAGACCCATCAAAAATTGAAATTATCATAAGTCAAAAATGTATTTAATACATCCAACCAAATGAACATCATAGCTTAGCCTAGCTTAAATAGGCTACCTTAAATAGGCTCAGAATACTTACATTAGCATACAATTGGGCAAAATCATCTAACAAAAAGCCTATTTTATAATAAACTTTTGAATATGCTGTGTAATTTATTGAATACAGTACACTGTAGAGCACAGTATTGGTTGATTGCCTTTGTGATCACATTGCCAACTGCAGCTTGCTGCTGCTGCGTATCCAGCATTATGAGAGAGTGCATATTGCTAGTCTGCGAAAAGATAAAAATTCTAAGTAAGGTTTCTGCTGAATACACATTGCTTTCACACCATCATAAAGTCAAAAAATTGTTAAGTCAAACTATCATAAGTTGGGGACCGTCTGTTATCCATCAACATTTAAAATGCACAAATGTTTTGATCACCATTTTCACTTCCAGAAAATTATTCTCTCTGCATTTTAAGTATACACAGGGACATATATGGAGCATGCTCATGACAGCATTGTTCATAGTAGCAAAAGATTAGAAACTACTTAAATGTCCATTAGTAGGGGAATAGTTAGATAAATTGTGCTCTAGCCATGAAGTAAGATGAATGAATTTGTGTCTTCTCATGTAAATGATCTCCAAGGTATATGGTTTAGTGTAAAAAGCAAGGTATAGAATAGTGTGTAAGCGTTCACTGAGCAACAAAAGGTGTGGAGTAAACTATGCATACAGAGAGGCACACACGTGTCTGCTTCAGTGTACAGATTACTTCTGAAAGGATGTGCAAGAAGTTAGTAACAGTGTTCTCTGGCTTAATCAGGAAAGTTCCCTGTTTGAATTATTTAACCATGTGCATCTGTTATATTTTTTTTAATCAAAGGACTTTTTTAATGAAGTTATTTCCTCCCTTTACTATGTCTGAGATCATGTTCAGTTTATGTATAATTTCTGCTGGACAAGAAACCTTTTGTAACCCTTTTCTTAATTAAACAAAAAATAAATGGAAATTTCTGGTTTTGTAATCAGCAGGAAAAGGAATCTCTTTGAAGAGAACAGGAATCTTGGTTGTATATCATTTTCTTTTCCTTTATGATTTTTACTATTCTATGATGATTAAGAAACTTGGAAATAAGTTTATGTTTTTCATAAAATTTTAAAAAGTGTTATAATTTTCCAAATGCCCATGTATCCAGTCACCTAGTTTTAGAGTGTGGCTAAGTGGAAAGAAAGTAATGTATTATAATAAGATACAGAAAAAAAGGAACTTCATAACAAAAATTCTACCTATCTCATCTAGGCTCATGGATTTGAGATCTTATGCTCCAAATGTAGCCCACATTTTTCTGACTGCAAGAAATCCCTTGTAACTACCTCACCACTCTGGGCCAGTTTCCTTGAAAGTCTGAAAAAGAATGATTACTTTAAGGTAGGACTTGCAATGTACTGGTTTTTAAGTATACAATCCAGACAAAATCATGCTGGCGACTTAAAGTCCTATGGTCCATGTTTAAATGTGTGACATCATTACGGAAGGTAGAGTTAAAGGAGCCTTTTCTAGTTCAGTGATAATGAAGGAGGTATCTATGAACTGTTTCCAGTATTAGAGAAAAACGAATACTGTTTATATTAAATGATGAAAGTGATTATTTGTACCAGATAAAACAACTTGCAAAAACTTGGTAACACAAACATGAAAAACACCAGATAGCTAAGTGTATTAGGTGAATGGATCTCTCAAAAATTGAAGGGGGGAAAAAAAGAAAACACCGGATAGGAAAATGAGCAAAGAGTTAGATTTTAAAATTTATTAAAAGATACCTAGTAAATTTCTCTTATTCAACTTCACAAGTAGTAAAGATATACATATGAACACAGTAATGAAGAATGTCTTTCATGTATGTACAAAAGGATATGAATGATATTCAGTGCTGTCGAGAGTATGGTAAAACTAATACTCCTATACCTTTCTGGTAACATTGAAAATTGGTAAAACCTTAATTGGAAAGTAATTTGGTAGTGTCTTCCAGGAGCTATAAAAAGGTTCAAACTTGGAACCTTCACTTTGAATAATCTTTTAAAAGGAAATATCTAAGAAGTAGAAAAATTTGTAAGAATATGATGATGATAAAGATGGCACAGCAATATGAAAAGTACTTATAATATTATAGTATATATATCGTGAGGTTTTTTTTGAGATAGAGTTTCGCTCTTGTTGCCCAGGCTGGAGTGCAGTGGCATGACCTCAGCTCACTGCAACTTCCGCCTCCTCAGTTCAAGCGATTCTCTTGCCTCAGCCTCCCGAGTAGCTGTGACTACGGGCACACACCACTACACCTGGCTAATTTTTGTATTTTTAGTAGTGATGGGTTTCACCATGTTGGGCAGCCTGGTCTTGAACTCCTGACCTCAGGTGATCCACCCGCCTTGGCCTCCCAAAGTGCTAGGATTACAGGCATGAGCATGAGCCACCGTGCCCAGCTATTATTGTTGTTGTCCAGGGTCTCACTCTGTCATGCAAGCCAGAGTGTTGTAGTAGGATCATAGCTCACTGCAACCTTGAACTCCTGGGCTCAAGTGATCCTCCAGCCTCAGCCTGTCAAATAGCTGAGACTATAGGCATGTGCCGCCATGCCTGGCTAATTTTATTTTATTTTATTTTTTCTTTTTAGTAGAGTTGAAGTCTTGCTATGTTGCCCAGGCTGGTCTCAAACTCATGTCCTCAAGTGATCCCTCCCACCTCTGCATCCCAAAGTACTGGGATTATAGGCATGGGCCATGGTGCCCAGCAAGTATATTCTTAAAAAAAATGTAAAATACTAAGTATGGCTACCACTATAAATAGGCATTTAGAAAACACAAATGATAGTAATGGTGGGATTTTGCCATTTTTTTATTCTACTTGGCAAACTTTCTGTACTTTGTTTTGTGAATTACTAATCAGTTATATCTTTTTTTTTTTTTTTAATTTTTGTTTTTGTTTTTGTTTGTAGAGGCAGGGTCTCACCATGTTGCCCAGGCTGGTGGTCTCAAACTCCTGAGCTCAAGCAGTCTGCCCATTTCATCCACCCAAAGTGTTGAGATTACCAGGCATGAGCCACTACACCCAACCAATTATATCTTAATAATTAAGTAAAAGAAAATAGTAGAAAACTCTCCAAACTGGAAGTAGGCCCATAATGGTGAAAAAAATTAGGAACCACTACATGTAGCTGCGTCCCCTCATTTGAAGAAACTGGAGCTCAGACAGGCACATTAATGACAAAACAGGACCTAGGCCTTGGGCCACATGATTCCTGAGCAGTAGATTATTTGCTGCCTCTCTGAAAGTTGCTGGTGAACACATTATTTTAATGACAACTTGTGAGTAATGTTCTGATGGACCATTTTTTTTAAGGGATTAATAGAAGGTTCTGCTCAGTACCGGGAAAGACTAGAAATGGCAGAGAATTACTTCCAGCTCTCAGTAAACCGGCCAGAAAGGTGAGTTATTTTTATTTTCTATTTTATTTATTTATTGTATTGTATTTTTGTATGGAGTCTCACTTTGTCACCCAGGCTGGAGTGTGATTGCACAATCTCAGCTCACTGCAACCTCCACCTTCCAGGCTGAAGCGATTCTCTTGCCTCAGCCTCCTGAGCAGCTGGGACTACAGGCATGCACCAACACACCCGGCTAATTTTTTATTTTTTTGTATTTTCAGTAGAGACAGGGTTTCACCATGTTGACCATGCTGTTCTCAAACTCCTGACCTCAAGTGATCTGCCCACTGAAGCCTTCCAATGTGCTGGTATTATAGGCATGAGCCACCACACCCAGCCTAGATAGTTATTTTTAAATAATAAAGTTTGTTGCCATAAAAGTAACATATACATTTAGTGAGCAAATACAGAAGGATGTGACAAGGAAAAAATTTGTACCACAGTCAACCAGTGTTATCACTTTAATTTATTGCCTTCCAGGGTTTGTTCCCCTCCATCCCACCCTCAGTTGATTTTTGTTATAGAATGGCCGGGCACGGTGGTTCACACCTATAATCAATCCCACCACTTTGGGAGGCTGAGGCAGGCAGATCACTTGAGGCCAGGAGTTTGATACCAGCCTGGCCAATGTGGTGAAACCTCATCTCTATTTAAAATACAAAACTTAGCTGGACATGGTGGCTTGCGCCTGCAGTTCCAGCTACTCAGAAGGCTGAGGCATGAGAATCGCTTGAACCTGGGAGGCAGAAGTTATAGTGAGCTGTGATCATGCCACTGCACTCTAGCCTGGATGACAGAACAAGACTCTGCCTCAAAAAAAAAAAAAAAAAAAGAGAAAGAAATCTTGCATCCTCCTCTATATGATTTTACTCATCATGATATCACATTTTTCATGGCATTACAAAGTCTCTATAAACATAATTTTTGAAAGCTGCACAATATTGCTGGGCATGGTGGCTCACACCTATAATCCCAGCACTTTGGGAGGCCAAGGTGGGCAGATCATTTAAGAAATGGAGACCACCCTGACCAACATGGTGAAATCCCATCTCTACTAAAAATATAAAAATTAGCTGGGCATGGTGGCACGTGCCTAAAGTCCCAGCTACTCAGGAGGCTGAGGCAGGAGAACCACTTGAACCTGCCACTGCACTTCAACCTGGTGACAGAGTGAGACTCCATTTCAAAAAAAAAAAAAGCTGCACAATATTGCACAAATGGATGTACCATAATTTACTCAACTATTTTTTGCTGTTGGGGAAATATTGCAAGTAGCTTAAATGTCCAACATTTTAATTAATGTTACAGGAGAGGCTCCCATTCTGCACACCAACATAATTTTTAAACAGTTTGAAAACAAACTTCCATCTCCCTCCAGAGCTATTGTTGAATTCCTAATGTTTGTGTTTTTTTTAAATAGCTGAATTAATATCATAGACTTGTTTTTTTAAGATTTACCTTTCATTTTCACTTTTTTCATTTATTATTATTATATTTATTTTTACTTATTTATTTATTTTTAGACAGAGCCATGCTTAGTTGCCTAGGCTGGAGTGCAGTGCTCCACCTCCCAAATTCAATTGATTGTCCTGCCTCAGCCTCCTGAGTAGCTAGGATTGTAGGCATGCACCACCACACCTGGCTAATTTTTGTATTTTTAGTAGAGACGGAGTTTTGCCATGTTGGCCAGACTCCTGACCTCAGGTGATCCACCCACCTTGGCCTCCCAAAGTGCTGGGATTACAGGCATGAGCCACTGCACCTAGCCATTAATTTTTTATTTTTAATTATTATGGATGCATACTAGTTATACATATTTATGGAGTAAATGTGGTTATACATATAATGTCCATGTAGCATACAATGCATAATGATCAAATCAGGGTAATTAAGCTTTTCATCACTTCAAGCATTTATCATTTCTTGTGTTAGGAATATTTTTAGTTCTATTTTTTTAAGGTATATTGAACTATATAATTAATTATTGTTAACTGTGGTTACCTTATTGTGCTACCAAACGCTAGCTCTTTTTATTTTTTTAAAATATTTTTTGGGGTTTGCCAGGAAGATGTTAACTAAAAAGGGTTCCAGATCCAGACCCCAAGAGAGGTTTCTTAGATCTTGTGTATAAAAGAATTTGGGGCGAGTCCATAGAGTAAAGTGAAAGTACATTTATTAAGAAAGTAAAGGAATAAAGAATGGCTACTACATAAGCAGAGCAGCAAACACTAGCCCTTACTCCTACTATTTAACTACATTTTGGTACCCATTAACTATCCCCTTTTTTTCTCCCACTCTCTGCTACCCTTCCCAGCCTCTGGTAACCATCATTATCCTTTTTAAATTTTTTATTTTTTTAATTGAATCAGGGTCTCACTCTGTTGCCCAGGCTGGAGTGCAGTGGTGCAATCATAGCTCATTGTAGCCTTGACCTCCTGGGTTTAAGAGATTCTCCTACCTTGGCTTCTCAAAGTTCTGGGATTACAATTGTGACCCACTGCACCCAGCCAACCATTATCCTGCTCTCTATCTCTGTGAGTTCAGAATTGTTTTTAGTTCCTACATATAATACCAGAGACTTTCCCCCAATTTATTAGAGATCGTAATAGTGAAAAATTATAAGCAATCCAAGTATCTATCAATAATGGATAAATGAATTACATTGTATTTATATGATGGCCTGCTATCCAGTAGTTAACCAGAGATTAACTAAACATACATATATCTGATTTAGGACTTATCAGTCTCAGTGCTACTGACATTTTGGATCAGATAATTTGTTGTGAAAGACTGGCTTGCACTTCTTAGGAGATTTAACAGCATCCGTGGCCTCTACCCAGTAAATATCAATAGCACTTCTCCCTTATCTTCCAATCATGACAACCAGAAATGTCTCCAGACATTGCCAAATTTCCTTGGGGGGCAAAATTGTCCCTGGTTGGGAACCACTGATCTAAATGAATGGATTTCAAAAACATAATGTCAGTGGGGAAAAAAAAGCAAGTTATAAATACGTACGGTAATGGGTACCAAAAAAAAACAACGAATGAGTAAGACGTACTAATAGATAGCACAACAGGATGACTAAAGTCAATAATAATTGTACATTTAATATAGAGTGTAATTGAATTGTTTGTAACTCAAAGGATAAATGCTTGAGAGGATGGATACCTCATTCTCATGATGTGCTTATTTGCATGCCTATATCAAAACATCTCATGTACCCTATAAATATATACACCTACATACCCACAAAAAATTAAAATGAAAAAAGAATAAAATAAACATATACAGTGTGGATGCTACACATATAAAAATTTTAAATATACAAAATACTATACATTATTTATAGATACATATATATTTATTAAACAGATATTTATTGAGTGTCTCCTATGTGCCAGGCCCTATTCCAGGTGCTGGGGATACAATAAATGAACCCAAGGTGTCCCTGTCCTTATAGAGCTTACATGCTAATATAGGAGAAAGCACATTTTATAATTTTATATGGTGGTAAGTGCTATGAAGAAAAAGGACTGTGTGGGGAGACAGGGGTAGAGACTGCTCTTCTAGATAGATTAGTAAAGGAAGGCCTTTCTAAGGAAGTTTTCTTTGAGAAGGGACCTGAATGAAGTGAAGGAGTGAGGCATTTGGGTATTTGGGGGAATAGCATTGCAGCAAAAGGACAGACAGCAAATACAAGAAATAGAAACAGATATATATATACACAGAGAGAGAGCAAAGTGCAGAAGTGTACTTGAGAAAGCAGTCACCTCCAGGCAACAGGACAATGGATTGGGATAGGTGGCAGTGGTCATCAAAGGAAACATTAATTTTCTCTATAATATTTTTAAGGTACATGATAAACCTGTATACTTTGTTGCCAATTTAAAATAAATAAATAGTCCGGGTGTGGTGGCTCACACCTATAATCCCAGCACTTGGGGAAGCCAAGGTGAGCGGATCGCGTGAGGTCAGGAGTTTGAGACCAACCTGGCCAACATGGTGAAACCCCATCTCCACGACAAATACAGAAAATTAGCCGAGTGAGGTGGCAGGCTTCTGTAATCCCAGCTACTCAAATTAAAAATAAATAAATAGCCAGGCACACGGTTCATACCTTCTGTAATCCCAGCTACTTGCTGAGTGAGGTAGGAAGATTGCTTGAGCCCGGGAGTCAAGACTGCAGTGAGCTGTGGTCATGCCACTGCACTCTAGCCCAGGTGACAGAGTGAGACCCTGTCTTAGAAAAAAAAAAAAAGCTATGCACAGAGATACTTACGTGTTGAGTGGGTAACATAATGGTGACATGATTTGTTATGTAAATTGATGGCACCCTGTTTGAACTATTAAGAATGGAGCAAATCAAGTTGTATAAAGGACTTGTTTTAATTGAATAAACATTTGCATACCATGCAAAATCATGTAGGTGATGGGGAACTGTCCCTATTCTGTATTATTAATATATAAACATTACTAGGAGAGAGAAAAGAATAACCCAAATAATCATAACAAAAGGCAAGATAAAAATCATTCTGAAATATCAAATGCTAAAGAGAGTCAATAGTGAGAAGGTAATTTCACTAGGGTAGAAGCAGAGAAGCTAAAAAAAGAAAGATAATGGAAAGGTTCAGGGAGGAGGTATTTGCATTACGACTTAAAAGAATGAGGATTTTTTTTAAATGCATAAAGATGTTTATTTTATAAATATATATATATATATATATATATATTTTTTTTTTTTTTTAATGGAGTCTCTAGACACCCAGACTGGAGGTAATGGTGCGATCTCAGCTCACTGGAACCTCTGGCTCCTGGGTTCAAGCGATTCTCCTGCCTCAGCCTCCCAAGTATACCTGGGATTATAGGCACCCACTACCATGCCCAGCTAATTTTTATATTTTTAGTAGAGACAGGGTTTCACCATATTGGCCGGACTGGTCTCGAACTCCTGACCTCAGATGATCTGCCTGCCTCAGCCTCCCAAAGTGTTGGGATTACAGGGGTGAGCCACAATGCCTGGCCTGCAACATTGTTATATCAACAAATTCAAACAAATGTTCATATGTAGAGAAGTGGTTAATTAAATTATGGCATGTTCTGGGAATGCTGTTTAGCTCAGTGTTTTTCAGTGTATCAAATCTATTTTGTAAGGACTTAGAAGGCCTTTCAAGTCGTACTAAGTAAAACTGACTGAACAATATGTTTATTATATTTCTGCATATTTGCTTTTTCCTTATTTGATGGGTTTCTGCCTCACCCTTCTAAGTAGCTTGGACCACACACATGTGCTACCATGCCTAGCTAATTTTGTTTGTTTGTTTGTTTGTTGAGACAGGGTCTCACTAGGTTGTCCAGCTCCCGAACTCAAGTAATTGACCTAATGTGGTCCCCCAAAGTGTTGGGATTATAGGCGTAAGCCACCCTACTCTGCTTCAGAGCCAAAGGGGAAGCAAATTGGCTAGATCTCTTTGCCTCTATCTTCCACTTTAATTTAATTAATGTATTTATTTTTTGAGACAGAGTCTTGTTCTGTCACCCATGCTAGAGTGCAGTGGTGCAGTACTGGCTCACTGCAACCTCTGCCTCCCAGGTTCAAGCGATTCTCCTGCCTCAGCCTCCCGAGTAGGGGATTACAGGCACATGCCCCCATGCCCAGCTAATTTTTGTATTTTTAGTAGAGACAAGGTTTCACCATGTTGGCCAAGTGAACTCCTGACCACAAGTAATCTGCCTGCCTCGGCTTCCCAAAGTGCTGGGATTACAGGAATGAGCCACCATGCCTGGCCTATCCTCCACTTTAATCAAAGCCATTTTTCTTTGAGCCCTTCTGTATTTTAGAGTTACTGGTAAAAGTTTTATTTGATGGGGTTTCATCATGTTGGGCAGGCTCATCTCGAACTCCTGACCTCAAGTGATTTGCCCCCCAAAAAAAAAAGGTTTTTTACTTGATAATTCAAGAAGAAAATTTTAAAAAATAAATAAATAAAAATAAAATTTAAAAAAAAGTTTTATTTGAGAAAAGGGGATCTGCAACCTAAAAATATGCTTAAAAACAAATTAGAGCCAGGTATTTTGGCATGTACTTATAGTGCCAGCTACCTGGGAGGTTGAAGTGGGGGATCACTTGAACCCAGGAGTTTGAGTTCAGTCTGGGCAACAGTGAAACCCCATCTCTTAAAAAAAAGAGCAAAAACAAACCAAGAACTCCCCAAATTAGACTGGTTAATCCCTATAAAGTAATTATAATATGTATAAAAACAATTTCGTAGAGGTTCCAACTTTAAAAGACTATGTATTTATGATTACTATTCTAAGTTCTTTTATGAAGAAATATTCATGGTTTTCATTTTTTATAGTTCTCTTGCTATGAGCCCAGGTGAAGAAATCTTAACCTTATTACAGACAATGCCATTTGATATAGAAGACCTTAAGAAAGAATCAGCTAATCTTCCCCCAGAGGATGGTAAGTGATGGACTGGGATACAGTGGAAGGGTTAAAAAGAAATTAAAATCTTCTACTAAGTCTCACAGGATCCTCTCCTGAAAGGACTTATCATGTGAATGTAGAATGGCAATATTATGCTTTCTTCTTTTTCAGATGACCAGTGGTTAGATCTCTCAGCAGATCAGCTGGAGCAGTTGCTACAGGAAGCTGCTGGCAGAAAAGAATCAGAGTCTATTTCCAAGGAGGAGAAGGAGCAGAACTATAACTTAACTCAAGTCTCAGAGAGCATGAAATCTTTCATATCCAAAGTCTCAACCCACAAGGGAGCAGAGCTGCCTAGGTAATTTGCATAAAAGTATAAATATATAAATAGTTAGAACCCAAATGTTGAAATCATTGGCCATTGCCATTTCTACTTTTTTTTTTTTAAGTAAATGAGTTGTACTGCTTTCTTTCTTTTTTGTACCTAGTATAGTGACAACTTACTTATCTGAAATCAGATTTCTAGAAGCCTCATCCTTTGCAATCCTTGAAATAAGCCAGAAAGATCACCCAACAGATCTAAAAACCATCATCTAGAACCACACAGGGAAACCATGTATTTTACTCTTTAATAGCCTTATGGGCTCAACATTTAGCTTTCGACAAGTTCAGACTTCTGATCTCCCACCCTACAAGCAGATTGGATACTGAAAACTCAAAGGGATTCATCAGAGGCAGAAATAATAACAGAAATGTGAAATTACATTTGGCAGGTAACAAGAAAAACAGGTAGATAGAATTGTTACTTATGTATCAAATATATCATTTTTAGTGTTGGTGCTCTTGAAGCTGGTGAAAGATCTAAATTTATGTTTGGTATTCTGTCTTTAATAAGGGAGGGATAAGGGAAGATATGTTCTTGTTTATTTTTTAAGCTTTAGTTCTTAAAAAAATAGGCTTTATTTAAATTAACTCAAATAAATAATGCTTTTACTAATGCTAGATATCTTACTGGGGCTAGAGAGTGGGTAGGTCCCTAAATTAGCATAAGTTAAATGTACATAAACAAGATGCAGTTTTTACTTTTCATTTATCAGACTTTCCCATTTCTGTTGTCCTGCAAGGCCAGTAAGCTCACGGATTTTTAAGACTTCAACTACAATTTTTCTTGCTGTGCCTCCTTAGAAATTCTATCTTTGGTAGCTTTCTTAAGAATGGTACCACTTTAGAAAAGTTTCAAACGGTTATATTTAGAATAAATTAATTGTCTTTGTCCTTTAATATTGCAGAGAACCTTCTGAGGCTCCAATCACTTTTGATGCAGATTCTTTTCTTAATTATTTTGATAAGATTTTAGGTAAGTAATGGTGTGATGTTCCCTTCCATTTTAAAACTGTAAGTAGCATGGCTGTTGCTAGAGCATTGGGTTATTAGATATTTCAGAAGCCAAAATATTTGCTTTCTCTTCCTGGTTTTGAATTGCTTTCAACCATGAACTACTACCCGTCAACAATTTTGCCTAGCTCAGTGCTTGACATATGTAGTAGCTGCTCATTAAATATTTGAGAGTGACTGAATGTTATGTGTTTAACTAAGGTTTTATCTTGGGTCCCATATTGTTCTTTCTGTTTTGGAATTACTGTGCTTACAAATCCATAAGAAAAAGACAGCCCAATAAAAAATTATAATATATATGTACAGAACTGTGGAGATAAAGATTAGGATACCCAGAAACTGCTAAAAGATGCTTACCTCTGGGAAGAGAGTGAGACTTGAGACAATACTTGTATGGCTTGAATGTTTACATCAAAATATATTCATTTATTAGGTAGTATTTACATTTTTTAAGAAAAATATTTTAATTAATTGAATTCACTTTTTTTAAGGTAAATCTTTTGACTCAGCCTGTACACTTTTCCACAACATTAAATGTACACATATCTACCAGCATTACCATTTGCAGAATGGATTTTTGTGAAGAAAATTGACTATGTGTATTAGTCTTTTTCTATGGATAACATTCTAATTATTTTGAGATGTGTAGTAATTCAAAAAATAATAATTACCAAGTGGCTCTTTCTATGTTGGGGTCTGTGTAGGGCCAAGACCTCATGAGTCAGATTCTGACTGTCTGGATGAGGAAGATTTTGAATGTTTAGACAGTGATGATGACTTGGACCTCGAAACACAGGAACCTGGTGAAGAGGCTTCTCTGAAAGGAACTCTTGATAATCTCAAGTCATACATGGCCCAGATGGACCAGGAACTAGCACACACCTGCATTGGCAAAAGTTTCACCACTAGGAAGCAAGTGGTATGTGTGTTTTTAACCTCTTTCTCTTTCTGAGTCTAGTAAGTATATCAGATAGCTAAAACCATATTTTATTATAGTTTTTCTTTTTTGGGTGTGTGAGATTTGAAATAAATAAGAATGTTAATTGTTTTCCTTACCAGTAGGATAAAGGATCATAAACTTAATTTCCCTAACCATAAGCTTAATTATATTACTTATTCTGTGTTATCTATCAGGACTTAAAATAAAAAGTCATATAATATGCTCAAATTAGAATTTGATTGCACACTACTACTACTTAAATGGATTTTTTTAAGGTAGTTAAAAAACAGCTGGATGCAGTGGCTCACGCCTATAATCCCAGCACTTTGGGAGACTGAGGCAGGCGGATCAGGAGGTTAGGAGATCCTGGCCAACACGGTGAAACCTCATCTCTACTAAAAATACAAAACTTAGCCGGGCGTGGTGGCATGCGTCTGTAGCCCCAGCTACTCGGGAGGCTAAGGCAGGAGAATCACTTGAACCTGGGAGGGAGAGGTTGCAGTGAGCCAAGATCACACCACTGCACTCTAGCCTGGGCGATAGAGTGAGACTCTGTCTCCAAAAAAAAAAAAGTGTAATGTTCTTTCTCAAGAGCTTTTGAGACTATGCCTCAGGCCACAGTGGATTAAAACATAAAATAACATAAGTAAATAAATAGAGATAATCTTAAGCATCCAAGTAACTTTCCAGTTTTAACAGTTTGTTTTGTATGTTTCCCTAATTTAGAGCCAAATTTATAATTCACCTTCCATTTATATTTTCATACTAGTTTTTATGCCATCCCTGTCTAATCCTAAACAGAGGTGTTATGGAAAGGGCAAGGACCCTGGAGTCTTATGGGTTAAGGTTTGAAGTGTAGCTTAGCTGTCCACTGTGAATGTATCTATAAACCATTAATCCTCATGTCATAGAATTAACATGAGAACCAAATGAGACAGCAGTAAAACCTATAATAGGCCTTTAATTAATGTTAATTCCCCTTGCTTTGGTCATCTAAACCACTTTAAAACTATAATCACTTCCAGAATTGTCAAAATCTAGTAGAAACCATATATTAGATTTATCTAAAGCAGTATTTCTTAAATTTTAATGTGAATATAAACCAAGGATCATGTTAAAATACAGATTCTGATTACTCAGGTCTGGGATGAAGCTGAGGTTTTTCTTTTATTATTTTATTATTTATTTTTTTGTTTGAGATAAAGTCTCCCTCTGTCACCAAGGCTGGACTGCAGTGGCGCGAGCTCGGCTCACTGCACCCTCCGCCTCCTGGGTTTAAGCAATTCTCCTGCCTCAGCCTTTCAAGTAGCTGAGACTGTAGGTGAGTATCACCATGCCTGGCTGATTTTTGTATTTTTAGTACAGACGGGGTTTCGCCATGTTGCCCAGGCTGGTCCCAAACTCCTGACTTCAAGTGATCCACCCACCTCGGCCTCCCAAAGTGCTGGGATTACAGGCATGAGCCACTGCTCTCAGCTGAGATTTTCCATTTTTAATAAGCCCCAAGCAATGGAGATTCTGCTTCTCCATGGACTACACTTTGGGTAGCAAGGATGTAAAAATCTATCAAGCTGTAATCTTTGAAATCCTTTCCCCAGCCTGTGTAATCAGAAGCCCAGCTAACAATTTAGTCTTTGTGGTTGGAACCACAAAGCCTTGTGTTTTACTTTTAAGCTTTTTCTTTGGAGGAAAAGAAAGGAACACTCACTTCTTTCATTTTGAAGAAAATTTACAGTATTACTACTTTTTATTTTTTTCTATCATCTCAAACACACGTGTGTATTCTTTCTTTCTTTTAAGACTCTTAGACAAGTTATAAAGGTACCTTCTTAATTCTTTTATCCCTTGAGCTCTTTCAAAATAGACATGCAATTTATTCAATTTGGAGGAATTTTTCCTGGGAAGAAGTGTGTTATAATCTGTAGAACCAAGTTTTAATATGTGTGCTAGGCCATACAAGTTTTTAGACTTCATTTTCAGTTTATATCACCAAGGTTAAGAAGGTTCCTTTTTAAGTTGGAATGCAGATTTACACTGTTGCTTAGTTATCTTTTAATTGTAACCACCATGCAACCTAATGATATATTATCCCATAATTTTCTTTTCCCTCCATGAATAAGAAACCTGTATCCCGGACTACTGATAACAATTCAGATGAGGAAGATTCTGATACAGGAGAATCTGTTATGGCACCAGTGGATGTAGACCTGAACCTGGTTTCAAATATATTGGAATCCTATAGCTCCCAAGCTGGACTAGCAGGACCTGCTTCCAATCTTTTACACAGCATGGGAGTGCAGCTGCCTGACAACACTGATCACAGACCAACAAGTAAGCCAATGAAAAATTAACCAGCAAATTTAGCTTCTCTTCTTTCTTTTTAAATAAATATTGAATCAAATTCTGTTCATTTCTAATTTACTCATTTGGTAAAAATGTTTCTTCATTACAAGTTTTACAGATTGACTTCTCCTCCATGCCCCAAATGTGGCCCTCTTAGCACAAGTCTTTGTGATCTCAACTGTGGTTTACACACAAGGTTTTGAACTCAGCAGGGTAGAACCTAGCCCCTAGACAGCCTTGAGATGAGATTCACACACTTCATTCTAAGGACACACCCTCCCACAATATATCCTTGGGGTAATTCTAAATGTTTAATTTCTCCCTTACCTTTATTCATTCTCAGATGAAAATTTCAAGTTGACACTTTTGGACATGATAAATCATTCACTTTTTCGTTTTTTTATTCTGACCTTATGAATGCATTAATGCCATTATCATTCACTTTTTCTTTTTTTTTAGTGAGGCATAACATACATATGGTTAAGTACACAAATCTTAAGTGTACAGTCAGTGAATTTTTTTGCATGTATGTACCTAAACCAAGATATAGAACTTATTTACTTGTTAAATAACAGGTTATATCTCAATATAGGTCATATACCAAAAAATTTACCCTTTAAATTATACAAGTCAGCGGCTTTTAGTATATTTACAAACTTGTGCAACCATCAGCACCATCTAATTCTACAATATTAGAAACCCCATGCTCACTAATAGTCTCTCATTCCCTCCTACTCCTAGCTCCTAGAAACCACTGGTCCACTTTCTATCTTTATGAATTTGCCCATTTGGGACATTTCATACCTGATACTATACTTGTTTTAATTAATTGGTTTGATATTTAATATAACTGATATATTTATTGCAAGGTGACATGTTTATTTCTTAAAATGATTCTCATATTCCTCTTAAATCAAGTATTATCTATATATCATAAAATTCACCATTAAAAGAAAAAGAAAGTCTTCTCTACAGATAGCTTCAATATTGACCATGTTTTTATAATCTAGGTCTCTGGATTTTTCGTTATTATTGTATATAGGAGAGAGATGCCCTTACCATGTCTTACCCTATCCAAGTAAAAACAATGGAAATAATTTCATACTGTTAGCTTTCCAGTGACCAAGGGAGGAATTAGGAAAGTGGTGTAGTAGAGTTCTCATTTGAGAACTTACTATCAAAAACTAATAAAAATTAAATATGGCCAGGCACGGTAGCACATGTCTGTAACCCCAGCACTTTGGGAGGCCAATGCTGGTGGATCACCTGAGTCAGGAGTTTGAGACCAGCCTGGCCAACATGGTGAAATCCCATCTCTACTAAAAATATGAAAATTAGCCAGGCGTGGTGGCAGGCACCTGTAATCCTAGCTACTTGGGAGGCTGAGGCAGGAGAATCGCTTGAACCTAGGAGGCGGAGGTTGCAGTGAACCAAGATTGCACCATTGCACTCCAACCTGGGCAATGAGCAAAACTCTGTCTCAAAGATAGATAAACAGATAAATATACCATAGTCCACTCCAATCCTTTCTCTTATTTTTATAACAGTGTTCATTGAAGTGAACTAAGGAGTGAACTAAGAAAGTAACACATCAGATGATACTGTATTTTTATTATCTGTTTTGAGGCTACATTTCTCATGTTAAAAATGGGGTCCAGATACTTTTGACCTGACATGAAAAATGTTATTAAAAAAAATGGGGTCCAGAATGCCATCCCAGCTTGACTATGAAAAAAAGGTTTTCCCCCATTGCACTTGTGGTACGTTAGGTTTTTCTTCATTGAGGACTAAATATTGTGTAGAGAAAGGGCAATAGACAGGCAAAAATAGAAATTAATTTTTTTTTTTATTCTGGTTACCAGGGTTGACTTTCAGCCAGGCTTACAAGATTTTACATGCTTTTCTATTCTGCATCACGCACCCAGATGGGCTCTATTTATCCTTAGCACCTTCATAATTAATTGCCCACATATATGTTCTCAGGTCATGTAGGCCCTGTACAAAAGTTTCTTTTATTTTTCTGCCATTTTTAGTACCCCAAGCCTGCCCTTTTCTGCCTCAGCTTTCAAATATCCTTGGGGTTCTATAGCAAAGCTCTCTTCCCACTCACTACTGAGAAGCAAAGTTCAATGTTGCAGCTCCTGCTGTTAGCCATTCTCATCTTTTCTTTTCCAAAAACACATTAATCAAAAAACAAACAGTTACTCCATGGTAAGTTTGGGAAACTCATAACCAGGAATTCCACACACTCCCCTTTCTATCAGTATTTTCAGATTGGGGATGTGTACACATGTGCTCACAAACACACCCACATAGCAGTAGAAAAGATTGGGAGATGGTAATACACATGGACCCTGAACTGTTTTCTTCTAACTGCAAGATATGAAGAAATCTCAGGACCTCTCTTTTGTGAGTGCTTTTCTCTTCTGCATGCTGGGGTCAGCCCAGGTAAAGGCAAGCTGCCAATCTAACAAGACAATCAGGTCCCATCACATATTATCCTTCAACATTTCCTGATAAAGGCACTTTGATTTCCCTGAAGCAATGATGGTTTGCTGGCATTGGAGAGAGCAGTGATGTTTTGGGATCAAAAGGAAATTCCGTGCTTTAACTTTTCTAGTTCTAGAATCTCTTTAGTCTTGTGGGACTTTGGGATCTAGTCCTATGAGACTTTGATGTGTAAATAACCTTAGGGTCTGGAGCTTGTGTCTTTAATCACAAATTAGTGACTAGAATCTTCTGAAAATATTATTTCCTCTTTTCAGCAAATATCTCTGACATTTCTCCTGCACATTGCTTCAGTTGTTCCACTGACTTGAAACCTGGACTTAAATGTTCAATTGTCACCAATAGGGGTCTTCTCCCCTACCCACAAATTCTCACCTTGTAAAATTTTCTCAATCCATAGGACAGAAAAAGACATCAGAACAAAGGTGTGGACATTTATTTTCTTTCCCCAAATAAATTTCTCCCTTATGGCATCATATATGAATGATGAGAAATCCTAAATTTAGTTTATTCCATAAAGTTTAAGAAATAGGTCAGGTTTGGCATCTGTTTATCTCCACTAATCCCTTTGTTAATCAACACTTCGTGGATATACAAATGCCAGCAACTGTTTTACATTTAGGAAAACAGGCATGGCAAAGTGATAGTGTTTCCCTGGGTCACAAATTATTATGTAACAGAGCTGAAAACAGAAAAAAAAGACTTACTGTCTGGAGTCCCATTAGGATTCTACTACCTCAACAGAGCCTCATGGCATCTGATTTATTGTAAAGTACTCTCAGTAATAATGACTTAATTAGGACTTTTATTTAAGAATGTACCTGTACATGAATTTTAAAATGTTATACTATGCTATTTTTCTTAATTCTGCAAGGGTAACAAGTAACTCAGTAATGACTTGAAATTTGCAATATATTTTCAATACTTAGATAAAAGTTTTAACCAAATATACAACAGGCACATTTTGGCAGTTAGTGTAAACACAGCATTAACAAGCCATATGCCAGAAGATGTTTGCTTCCAAGGCCTTGGAACAAGGGCCTACGTTCAAACTAATGCTTCCCTCTTCACCCTGATTTTGACAGTTGACAGCTCATCAGTTTTCTTCTCACACTGGCTTTTTGGATTGCCCATTAGTAGGAATTTCTTCCATTAACACTGATGATAGAGGCGTCTTTCTCTGCTCTGCCCTTCTGAGGTCCTTCTGCAGCTAGTCTTTGTCACTTCTCCTTTGTCAACTGATCTCTAGTTTGTCCCTCAGGAATACCAAGGCGAGATCTAAGATCTAAGTGACTTGATCTGGCCTAAGCAGGCAGGGAAGAAGAGGTCTGTTTTTCCACCCACTCCTTAATTAGTTGGTGGGAGATGGCTAACTTAGGGGGCAGCCAAAATGGCAAAGTCCCATTCTGTTGCTGAGTATAAGGGCCCTTTCTCTTCAGGGCTGTGGCTACCTCATGATGACTGAACCAGGCAGCTGTCTCTAATTCTCTCAAGTTCACCTGGATCTGAAAGACATAAGGAAGAAAAGGATGTAAGGTCAGGAGCTACAAAATTTAAAATACTATGGCCAAAGGTCAGAAAACGGTTCCAGAACTAAGCAATATTAGGAGATAATGCCTGGGATCTCCAGGTTAGGTAAAAGTCAGTTCTAGATACTGCCCAGAAGCAAAAGAGGCATAATTAAGAGGTGAGAATTAAATAAATTTGTAACATAGTAAAACAAAGATAAGATACATTAAATAAATCCTGGAAATACAAATACTAAAATATTAAGAGTGGTTAACATTGAGGGCAAATTATGAATAATACCTATTTTTCCTTGTGCCGCTATTGATTGAATTTTTCTATTAAAAAAGAACATATAAATATTACTTTTTATTTTTTTTGAGATGCAATTTCACTCTTGTTGCCCAGGCTGAAGTGCAGTGGCATCATCTCAGCTCACTACAACCTCCATCTCCTGGGGTCAAGTGATTCTGCTTCAGCCTCCTGGGTAGCTGGGATTACAGGCACCTGCCACCACACCTGGCTAATTTGTTTCTATTTTTAGTACAGACTGGGTTTCACCATGTTGGCCAGGCTGGTCTCGAACTGCTGATCTCAGGAGATCCATCCACCTCGGCTTCCCAAAGTGCTGGGATTACAGGTATGAGCCACCATGCCTGGCCATTCTTTTTTTTTTTTTTTTTAAGGATAAAGGTTAATGGTAATCAAAAGTATAGTCTCATCTTTGCAAGAAACTAATGCAAATTCCCCAGGAAGCTGAAATAGATTATATATTCTATAAAAACCAAAACATACAATAGCCAGACTTTGACAGGCAAAGACCATCTGTCAGGGATGCTACAGAAGTGCAAGATGAGATTAGGTAAGACAACATCTAGCCAGGTGCAGTGGCTCATGCCTCTAATCCCAGCACTTTGGGAGGCTGAGGTGGAAGGATCACCTGAGGTCAGGAGTTTGAGACCAGCCTGGCCAACATGGTGAAACCCTGTCTCTACTAAAAATACAAAAATTACTCAGGCATGGTGGTGGGTGCCTGTAATCCCAGCTACTCAGGAGGCTAAGGCAGGAGAATGGCTTGAATCCTGGAGGCGGGTTGCAGTGAGCCAAGGTTGCGCCATTGCACTCCAGCCTGGGGCAACAAGAGTGAGACCCCATCAAAAAAAGAAAAAAAAAAGAAAGAAAGAAAGAAAAGAAATTGTCTCATGATTGACATATATGCAAGGGAGAATGGAGATTATTTGCAAATTCCTTGAGGATATAAATCATATTTTATTTATTTTTGAGATATTTTATTTTATTTATTTATTTTATTTTGAGTCTTGCCCTGTAGCCTAGGCTGGAGTACAGTAGTGTGATCTCAGCTCACTGCAACTTCTGCCTCCTGGGTTCAAGTGATTCTCCTGCCTCAGCCTCCTGAGTAGCTAGGATTACAGGCATGCGCCACCACACCCAGCTAATTTTTGTATTTTTAGTAGAGATGGGTTTTTGCCATGTTGGCCAGGCTAGTCTTGAACTCCTGACCCCAAGTGATCTGCCCACATCAGCCTCCAAAATGTTGAGATTACAGGCGTGAGCCACCATGCCCAGCCTTAAATCATATTTTACAAATCTTTATATAATCTAGACAATGCTGGACTAGACAATTACATAATAAGTACTTGCTGATGAGCAGATTGGATGAAGCAAAAGAAATAATCACAGCATAAGGGAAACATAATAACTTACTTCTGTCTGCCCTGGTTTCACAGTTGCATGGTAAGCAATCATGAGTGAGCTATTAGGAAAGGGCCAGTGCTGGGATGCACAGTACTGCAGGCTTTCCACCTCCAATCCCACCTCTTCTGCAACTTCTCGACGGACAGTCTCTTCCACACTTTCACCTACAAGCACTCAGATTAATTCAGGACAGCCCTGTAGCTGGAAGGGTGATACAGACAGCCCATTTGAGAAAGGTTCCAAACACTGGCTCCAAAGTTTCAATGAAATGCTCTTGGGAGGGTCCTAAAACTCCAAGTCTTTCCAACAATAAGAATCAGGTCCAGAGTTTTGTGTTGAACCACAGTGCTTAAGCCTGCTAGGTTAGTTATAATGCAAAGTAAGGGTGACAGTAGGAGGGACTATTGCCCTCAGCTTTCATAAAATTCCACTTTTCACCATTTGCAAATTTGACCCCAATAGACTGGAGAAAAAAACAACCTCTAAATAAATACTGAATTCTAGCTAATGTTATGCATGCTGAAATAGTTAGGGAGAAGTATACTAACATCTGCAATCTATTAATGAATAGATAGATGGGCAGCTATGTGATAAAGTAAGTGTAGTAAAAATTCATGGAATCTAGAGGTGTGCTCAGAGCAGGGGGCCTGAAGAATGGTTCCTCTGTTTATAACACACCCAACAGGAATCTGGAGTCATTGAGATGAGAGGCGTGAAGCTTGTGGCCTCCCTACAAACAAATGCTCTACATGTGAAGAGGGAAAAATGTATGGAATCTGGGTAGTGGGTATATGGGTGTTCACTATATAATTATTTCAACAATCTCATATGTTTGAAAATTGGCTTAAAAAAATATTAGTGTGGCTCACACCTGTAATCCCAACACTTTGGGAGGTCAAGGCAGGCAGATCACTTGAAGCCAGGAGTTCAAGACTGGACTAGGCAACATGGTGAGACCTATCTCTTAAAAAAAAATTTTTTTTAATTTAGCTGGTCATGGTAGCCTGCACCTGTAGTCCTAGCTATTCGGGAGGCTGAGGTGGGAGGATTGCTTGAGCCCAGAAGGTTGAGGCTGCAGTGAGCCATGATCGTGCCATTGCACTCTAGCCTGAGCAACAGGATGAGACTCCATCTCAAATAAAAAGGAAAGGAAGAAAAAAACATATATATACATATAGCCAGAAAGCAGTTTTCTTGACATGATAGAAAAGAATGTGATTGGGAATCCAAGCACTATAGCAACAAGAAAGAGAAACACTTACTAGTAAGACTTTATATCTTCCAGTGTCACCTGTATATCCTCTACACTCCTTACCTATATCACAAAAACCTGCCAAGGCAGAATACATTCCCTTGGGAAAGGAGCTTTGGCGGGCAAGCAGGCATCGGGTCCCATCTGACACCAGAGTGATCACCACAGGAGCCACCTAGGAAAGGGGAATGGAAACTGAGATGCTGGCACTTTGGGGCCTGCCAGCAGGCTAAAGCAATGTATAATTAAGAAATTGTGCCGGGCGCGGTGGCTCAAGCCTGTAATCCCAGCACTTTGGGAGGCCGAGGCGGGTGGATCACGAGGTCAAGAGATCAAGACCATCCTGGTCAACATGGTGAAACCCCATCTCTACTAAAAATACAAAAAATTAGCTGGGCATGGTGGCACATGCCTGTAATCCCAGCTACTTAGGAGGCTGAGGCAGGAGAATTGCCAGGAGGCGGAGGTTGTGGTGAGCCAAGATCGTGCCATTGCACTCCAGCCTGGGTAACAAGAGCAAAACTCCATCTCAAAAAAAAAGAAATTGTACAGGCTTCCTTCCCCAGGACAGAGCAATGCACAGTCTTGGATTACTGTCCTCTTACAGCAATGCTTACCTGTGGATAATAGATGATATTATTGGAAGGGCACACACGCTTGCTGCCAGCCAGGTTCTTCTTGGTGGGCTGCCCACTTCTGCTGCAGAACTGATGAGCATCATGCCAGCGGAGAAGAGCTTGAGCCTAGGAACACAAAGATAGGCCTGGTTTCATTTGGAGAGAATTCAGGGCTCATCTTTAACAGCCCTGGGCCTAGTATCTGGAGCAACTCAGGGAAATGCCAATCCCTTTCCAGCTCACGTAATTTAAATGGTTACTGTTTAAATTTTAAGACAAGGAAACTAACTGAACATATTCCTCTAGCAACAAAAATCTGGATAAAAGAAAGTATTTTTTAAATGTATTATGATTTTAAACATATAACGTATATAAAGTAATAAAACGAACACCCATGTATTCACTAACTAGCTTAAAAAGAAAACATTTCCAGTAAAGTTGAACACCCCGAAATGTTCTTCTCCCTAGTATAGTTGGAATTTTTTGCAACTAAAAAATGTTTAGAGGTTTCTTTTTAAATTAAAGGCACAATAAAAATACTTTAGCAAGTGATATCTAAAGCTGTGAGGGCAAGTCATTAAAGCAATGTAAAATAATTTATCATAGGGAAAACATGATACTGTACATGTCATGCTGTGTGGGTCGTTAAAAATGTTTATGTGGAGCCAGGAGCCATGGCTCACACCTGTAATCCCAGCACTTTGGGAGGCCGAGGCGAGTGGATCACGAGGTCAAGAGATCGAGACGATCCTGGTCAACATGGTGAAACCCCGTTTCTACTAAAAATACAAAAAATTAGCTGGGCCCGATGGCGCATGCCTGTAATCCCAGCTACTCAGGAGGCTGAGGCAGGAGAATTGCCTGAACCCAGGAGGCGGAGGTTGCGGTGAGCCGAGATCGTGCCATTGCACTCCAGCCTGGGTAACAAGAGTGAAACTCTGTCTCAAAAAAAAAAAAAAAAAGTTTATGTGGCTGACAGATCCTGTTGCCATAGATCTGCATGTCCTTAGGAGACAATGGCCTTGACAGTGGTTCTGCCAAAAATAAGGACAAAAGAAGGAAGAATAAGCAATCTTCCTACAGCACATTGTCCTGCCAGTGTTTGTAGAAAGGACTATAATTAGCAAAAGAAGAAATCAGACCACTCTAGCCTTGTGTATATACACATGGATTTGCCCATATATACTGCTTTACTAAATTTCCTACAGAATGAGAAATCAAAATCTACCGTGGACAGCAAGGAGGCATCCTTTGCACTGAGTTGAAAGAGAGCCTTTCTCAGCTCAATGAAAGACCCCTTGAGCTCTGTCTCCATTTCAGGTTTGGGTAAGGAGGCTAGAAAATTAGAAAAGATAATGAAATTAAACAAATGACAAACTTTGCCTCAGGGCCTCTCTCCAGTCTATCCTGTTAAAACTGTTTCCCAAACATGCCTCATAAGATTCAACTGGAGAAAGTAAAAAATATCCAGGTTCTCAGCTGGGTGTGGTGGCATGTGCCTGTAGTCCCACCTACTCAGGAGGCCGAGGCAGGAGGATGGCTTGAGGCCATTGGGAGTTCCAGGCTACATACATACAGTGGACTGTGATCACACCTGTGAATAGCCACTGCACTCCAGTGAGACCCCATCTCTAAAATTTAAAAAAGGCGAAGCACGGCATTTTGGGAGGCCAAGGCAGGTGAGTCACTTGAGGTCAGGAGTTTGAGATCAGCCTGGCCAACATGGTGAAACCCCATCTCCAGTAAAAACACAAAAATTAGCCAGGTGTGGTGGTGGGCACCTGTAATCCTGGCTATTCAGGAGGCTGAGGCAGGAAAATCGCTTGAACCTGAGAGGCAGAGGTTGCAGTGAATTGAGATCGTGCCATTGCATTCCAGCCTGGGTTTCAGAGCAAGACTCTGTCTCAAAATAAATAAATATATAAAGTAAAATTAAAAATCAAGATTCTCAGGCCCCTACCTGGAGATTCTAAACCAGCTGGCATGGGGTGAGGCCCAGCAATCTCTATTTTTTGTTTTAACAAGCACCAGGTGATTCTTATATTCAGGATATTTCTCAAGATCTTTGGGGCAACAAGAACATTTGCATTAGCTTATCCTTGGAAAAGAGATGAAGTGGAACCTTATGGTTCCTATCTGAACCTCATCCCAGCATCACTACATTTACACCTAGACCATTAAAGACAGAAGGAAAGCCTGATAGGAGCCATGAGCCATTAGCAAAGTGGTTCCCAACTGCAGGTTTCTGGACCCAGAGCTACTCTGTGGAAACATTTTTATTCAACTGTATCGATAAAAGAAAGATGATGTCGTAAGTTTTTTAACATTTCTTATGGCATATTGAAGTATACAAAATGTATAAGCCAGGTGTGGTGGCTCATACCTATAATCTTAGCACTCTGGGAGGCTAAGGAGGAAGGAAGGACTGCTTGTGCCAGGAGTTTGAGACCACCTGGGCAACATAAGGAGACCCCCCCACCTCTCTGAAAAAAAAAATTAAAAATTAGCTGGGCATGGTAGCACATGCCCAGGAGGCTGAGGATCACTTGAGCCCAGGAGGTCAAGGCTGCAGTAGGCTGTGATTGTGCCACTGCACTCCAGCCTGGGCAACAGAGCAAGACGCTATCTCAAAAACTAACTAACTAAATGAATAAAATGT